TTTTAAAATATTGTTTAAACAGTCATGAAAATACTTGAAATGAAGAATTTGTTGCCCATCCTTTTCTATCAAATTGCAAAGTTGATGGGCGGAGAAGATGGCATATATAAACCTTACAATCCAAATTGACTTCAATTAAAAAAGTACATTTATTTTCTCTTTGAAAAACATTATAACGATTTTTTAATAAAAATAATCATTGTGTTAGAAACTTTACGGGACGAAAAGGAAAAGCAATTGATTCGTCTTTGGGTTTTTAATGAATCGAAGAAATAAGTTTGATTGTTCATTTTTTTATATGATATAAATAAGATATTTTTTTGATGATTCAAATCGAAGTAATTAAATATCTAATTTGAGCCTATATGACATGACCGATCAATAAAAATACTCCAACACTCCACCTTTGTTATATGTTCCATACATCGTACTAAATAGATATCATATTCATGAAATACGATTTACTTTCCAAATACCTTGATGGTAAAATGACAAACACGCGAGACTCAAAATCCGATGATGAGTGTTACTCGTTAAAGCACTCGGTTAAGCATCATTAAGAGAATTTATTGTATTTTATTTATTATTGAATTGCGATTAAATAAATAAATAATAAATAAATATTTTAATGAAAATGAATGGTGTTCCTTATGAACATTAAGTAATTGTTATTCTATATGCAATATTTTGAAGTGTTACAAAAAATTATATAATTCAAAAAAATGAATATATATATATTTTTTTATTGAATGTAGAGTTTACATGAGAACTCTAAAGAAAACTAGACAAAACAAATTTGAGGAAAACTGATCACATATATATTTTGTAAAACAATATGAAAACAATAAGAAGAAATAGTCTAAAAAAGAATGGCATCCAAGAGCGAAAAAAAAGAAGCATGATTTGCCAACAACTAATCTGCACGACGATTAGTCTCTATATACACGAGTAGTTTATACATGCCAAAGTAATTGTAGCGGTAAATGAATCGTACTGACTAATTGAGCATTGTCGATATCAGTGCTTGATTGGTTGTAAATAATAATTTTAGAGTCAAGTTCTAATTCTATCTTTCTAAAGCTCATATTCCATACAGTAATTAATCAATTATAAATAATGAACAATTCTGCTCTCTTAGTAGAACAACTGTCAATATTGTGAGCATAACCCTCAATCTATGAACCAGACCTAGCTTTTCTCTTGTATAATTTGACAGAACCTTCAGTGTTAAAAAAGAAAATGAATATTAATTTTTGGAAGTGTCATAAAGGCAGTCGTTCGTTAAAACCTCTTCAAATAAGATGCCTTGTGGTTAAAGAAAATGATGTGATTGCCTTTCTTTTTAAACTACTTTTCTGCTTTTTGTTGTCTTCTGAACAAAACGAGATGATCACCATTGCATAGAACTAACAATATTGATAGAGAGTGGTTAAAGAAAGGTTGGGTTTACTTAAGAAAATTGACTTGAGCAGAATGAATTCTACCCGTTTAAGTGTATAGTTTCATATTCGAGTACTTATATATGTAAAAAACTCTTTAGTTAGCTGTGCTCGTCTTGTGCATCCAACAAAATAATAAGAGATTAGTCTAGATTTTTAGATATAGAATACCCTGAAAATCCACACAAAAAAAAAAAAAGACACGTTTTTTTGTTTTTTTTTTTTTTTTTTTTTTTTTTGTCTGTCTTTTAAACAAAACAAAATCACAACTGCATATCAGATAGATTTTGGTTGGAATTTGACCAAAATTTTCGAGATGACTTGAGAACTAAACCGATATGAAAAATAAGGCCCAATCTTTATATGAAATAATTTAACCATTCCAGCTAGAACGTAATAGAAATAGTAATATTGATAAAGAAAGGAGGACGTAAAAAAGAAATAATAAGCGAAAAAGATGAAACAAAAGGAGAATTGTATACGATAAATTAAAGAGCGAGCAACAATGAATGTAATTTAGTAATATAAAAAATGAAAATACATAAAGCCGAAAACAAAGGTGAATACATTTTTTATGAGTAGGGATTTTTGAAACCTAAGAAGAAAGAAGTATTGAGACATTTAGCAGTGACTCAAAACTTTGTATTTTCCCTTTGCTTTCACTACATTCTCATACAGTCGCATATCATAGCCTCTATCTTTTTTCTTATGATTCAAGGTTTTCATGTGAGATAAAATTATATTACGATTAAGAATAAAAACTGAATATCATCCCCATAATTTTTATAAGCATTTAAAAAATAATTCATGTCATCTTATAATATCATATTCCTTTTAAATATATGTAGTTTTTTATTATTTGTTTCGTATATGCTGCGATGAAATCGAACCTTTCAAAAAATTTTCTCTCTACTAAGAAAGACAACGTTGCTTGCAACAAAAACCTTTAGTACAATAACGTGTATATTTTTTGTGCAATTCATTGATGATGGCACGAGTTTAATATTTTCTCCATATCTTTCTTTGACATAATATATATCTCATAAATCTTTTTAAGAATTAGTTTTCTCCAATATCTAAATAATTTATTTTGTTAGCATGAAATCTAAATATAATTTCACCATAAGTTATATTTATGATTGATGTATATTATACTTTCTATTGCTACAAATCATTCATAGATCATGCATAGATAGTCATTTGTTTTGACATAACTAAATCATACAAAATAAATGATCACCAAAGATATATAGTTACGATTATGCATGTAGACATAAAAATATTATCAACTGTAAATTGTAAATTATAGTAAATGAGATTCGAATTCTCAATCTCATACATTACATATATCTCCATAATGTTGTTTCTTATTTTTTAAGAGAATATTATAAGCACAATCTTGTTTAAGCACACATATCTCACTTATTGAATTGCGATGTTTATGTAAAAATTTAAATTTATTAACGTGATGATATTATAATTTCTAGAGTTTCACAATTATCATATTCATTTTAGGATGAAAACATATAGCCAAGCCTTTGATTTTATTTTTTATTTTGATTGTAGCCATAATCATCACCATTTTTATTTATTTGTTGAGGAGAAGGTAATCAGGCAATTTTGTATGGGAACACAATTATCCTCGTAAAAGAATAAATTGATATTATAGAAAAACTGATGACAAAATAACATTTTTTAAAATAAAATAATATTAAATTAAGTACGTTTAAAACTGATCTAACAATTAAATAATTAATTTTAAAACCAAAAAAAATTATAACTTACTCACAAATAGATAGCTTTTCACATTCCATAATTCATAGTGCTTGGGAATTTATCCTTTTCCATTCTAGAGAAAAGGAAATGAATAAAGAAAGAAAAGGACAATCACACAATAAATTAAATCTTTCTTCTCTTTTTTCAGTGGCAAAATCATGATCACTGTCTAGCCAGCTTAATCAAAATGGATCCATTTGGTTGAAGTTTGACTTTCCTACGCGTAAGTTCATTTTGTCTGATGAGAATTTTTTTTTCTTTTTTTCTTTTTTGGTTCATGGTAGATCTATAGATCATAAGCTACACAATGAAAATAGTTATTTCTCATTATATAATCACTAAACAAATTTAAAATTATTAAAATTCGAATCCTATTTCATTAAACAGATAATCAGAAGATAACCGTTTGGCTAATTTTGCTTATATATATTTTTTAATGGATCTTGTACTTTATATAAAGATTTTCCTCCTTTTACACCTTCATTCTAACAATAACAAGAGTAGTTTCACTCTATCCTTAAATTCCTAATATCTCACCACTCTAACAGAAGAATTAACGAATAACAATCATAACGCGCAATAATTTAGTTTATTTTTTTTAATATTTTGTTTGGCCATGTGATTTATGCTGGAGAAACTTTAATCATTAATGAATTGACTTGCATGATTCAAAAGCTAGCCATTGCTCCTGTTAAAAAATAAAAAAAATTAAAAACTAAACTACAATGATCGGTTACTATTCACTACGCTAATTTGAAATCCAAAAACTATGTGAGAGATTACAACCCAGACATCGAGGTACATCACCTATTCCCTTCAGTTTCTAAATGTAAATGCTTCAAGTTCTTAGGAGAAGGCAGATATAAACAACCTAAGATCAAACTCACAGTTAAATTTGTAAATAAATGCTCAGATTCGATGCCAGATTTTTGTAATTGAGGCCTATTACCTCTATCTGCAATAAAGCTGCATGATTAATTCACTCTTTGAAGCGTCCACTTAATACAAGCCAAAACTGGAAGTTCCATCAATTAGATGAAGAAGACTATTAGCTTTCTGTCGCAGCAGGATTTTTCCCTCTGCGTGATCTCTTTCTCTTCCTGCCCCTGCTTCTCACGGTATCATCGCCACCTTTACTTTCCTGTACAAAAACATCCACATCCTAATTATGTAAATTATCACACTGTTATTTCAGTTCATGGGCACTCGAAGATTTCAAGTACACTAGTTTTTTCAACACCTCAAAGTTATAGAACTAGTAATACTCTCCAGGATAAATTTGAATTTACACTATATCCACGTGAATACATCGTTTATACCCAGACCTCACCATCCCATGATACTCTAAGCACTTTCATCTATGGTCGTCAGTTGGCAAATTCTAAAATCACAGTCCCAAAGGCCAGTGAGTTGGATCCTTTAAAAATATACGATTCAAAATACACAGGTATTAATCAAACTCATTCAATGTTGAGTAACACCATAGATTATGCTCCCTATTATAACCGTTTCAGTTACCAAAACAACATTGTTTTCTCGCTAGTCAAAATTTACCATAAGTGACTACAATCATTTCCACTCCATTTGTATTTTTAACTCTTTGTCTATCGCAGCTCAACACATTGTGCAGATCCATGGAATCAAAGAAATGAAAGGGCCACAGCTCGGATGATTTCAACTATAAAAAATGATGATCAGTAGTTTAATTACACATCTGCTAGATGACAAGACAAGGTCTGGAATTTCAACTCCAAAAACTGAGTAGCAACTACAAATATGCAAATATCAAATGGCAGGGAGAACACAATGTCCAGCAGTGCTATTCTTTATCTCAATCGACAGTGACAAACACAATAGACAATGATAAGTACCATCCATGTTAAACAGGACAAGATTCAATTCTGATTTTAAAGATAACAATGGGATTAAAAGCATCAAACATACAATTATAAACCATATTTCTCTGGTCCATATGCTGATATCCAGCAGTACGTAATTTCCATCGTTACCTAAACATAAGAATCCAACAAAAAGTCTAAAAGCATTCAAAAATAAACTTTCACTAACCTTCCCTGACATGGAATTTGGGTTTTGACGACTCTTTTTCTTCTGGACTGAAAGTGGATTTGGACCCTGAAAAGTTTGATTAACCAAATGAGCATAGACATTCCTCTTGAAAGTAATTGGCATGCTACCATAGACAGTCCCAATTAATGATTTTTTTAATCGAAGTCATGGTAGCAAGCAGAGACATAGGGACAGATTGGGAATACATAATGATAGAGAGATGCTATGATGAAATTCCATTCATGCTTTAACTGGTAAAGAAGATATTGCAAGCTACAAAAAGAAAAAATAGAAAAGAAGAGCCAAATATCCCCACATGACCATGGTGGAGAATAACACAACAAACATAATATACCCCTTCAAGATGTTGTTCCTCTCTGGTTAAATATATGCATATACCCTAAAAAAATAACGAAGCAACATAAACCTAATAGAATTCTTCAAGCAGTTCTTCTTATGGGTTAAAAATGTTTTTGATAAACAAGCATGAAGCAGGCAATATACCTTAGCTTTCTTTCTCTTGAATTGAGGTCTATCCTTGACATCCATTCCCTTTCTTGCAGTATATCTCTTCGGCTGCATTTTCAAATTTTCATCTTCTGGATCTCCATTTTCGTCAGAAGAATCTCCATCTTCCTGATTTTCCAGCAAGTCCTTGGTCCTCTTTTTTAACAGTGTAGCTTCAAACTGAGTCATATGTGACCGTTCTTCTTCTAAATTTTTGGCAAACTGCTGCTGAAATGCTGATGGTGGCTCAAGAAAGAGGGCATTTCTCAGACCATATATGAGAGGGACACCTGGCACCTGCAGAACAGTTAATTTATCACTATTGTTAATGGCAATCCCAAGGATTATTTCTAGTCATCCATTCTGAGTAGCACTACTGGTCAATTGAAAACAGCAGAAGCTAAACTGCCAATGCATTCGTACAATTACAGGGATCAATAACAAAAGTTTACCCGAGCAACCTTACAATCCTTCCAAAAAAGATTTTCATCTAGGAGGCAATCAAGGTCGTACTATAGGTTAGGACACGATGGCAGGTAATTTTTCAGATGTCCTAACTTCTAACAACATGTCAATTGAAACGTTGAAGCATGATATGATTAACTGACTGAAACTTTAATTCTTCAGAAAATATGTACTATGTTTGAAAGAAATTCTGCTGCGATTAGTAAATAGCAATTTAACAAATCCTCAATGCAACATACATGAAAATTGCTACGGAGTATACAATCCATAAACTATTGGTAAACAAACATATCGCATTGTGATCAACCATCCAGTCTCAGCACAATTAAGGGGATAAACAATTCATTAACCAGCAAAATCATGTAAAAGAAATTAAAATGAAAAAAATAACCTCGTGAAACTTCTTCCGCATGTCAGTGTCCTGAGAACCAACAAAAAAGTGGTCAGGGTTTTTTCTCCAATAATCTCCAGAACGCAACCCTCTGCACTCTTTATCTTTTCATGATCACACCTGCCATTGAAATTGAACTCCAAAATCATTTCAAACCCAGAAAAAGGAGTAACCCAATTTCATAAATCCACCAAATTCAACAACAAAAACACAAAAAGATAAAACCTTAGAAATTAAAAATAAATAAATAAAAACTTACCTTGCAATCATAAGCAGCTTAGCTGCCTCAAGAGATTCAGCATAAGGTTTCCCAAGTCTTTTCAGCTCTGCTAAAACACACCTACAACCCAAAAACAACAACAAAACCAATAAAAAACCATTCTTGTTTCCAGTTTCTGAATATAAACTAAAAGAAAAGCAAAAGTGAGGGGACCTGGTAGTGAAGAGCTTGACAGAGCCACCAAGAATATTAGAGATAGCTGTATCAGCAGGAGCAATTTTGTTAACTATTAAGTGGTGAATAAATGTGCCGTCGCATAAGACCTTGTAAGGCTGCCGGAACCCAAAACATACTGTGTAAAATCGCACTGCCCGGCGGTGGCGCTTCTGCTTCTTCACTCTCATGTTTTTAGAATTTCAGGGATTAATTGATTGATTTTAGAACTAGAAAAGGAAGTATCTTTCTTGCTTGCAATTTTTACAGAGGAACTAAAACCCTAGCTGATGTTTTGATTTTTAAAACCCTCAAAATTGCATCTTGGGTTTAAGAACACGGTCCAATTAACAGCCGATTCTAGGATCAGACAGGTTGGGCCGGGCCTGGTTTGGTCATTGAATTAAAAAAAAAAGATTTTTTTTTTAAAAAAAATTTTGATTACATTTTCAAACTGGTTTCATGATGAGTAAATTATAAATTAATTTTAGTTTATAGAAACAAATTAGTTAGTCTTTTTTTTTTTTACAAAAATTATTTTTTAATTATATTTAATTTAATATTATTTATTTTTGAAATGGTTTTTTATTAATATTTTCATAATATTTATTTATTGTTTTTCTATTTTAAAATAAAAATTAAACAAATTAGAAAATAAAATAAAATCAATTAAAGCACTAAATATTTTTTTTCTATTTTAAATGATTGAGAAATATCCATATTTTCAATGATTGTAGTGAGAAGTAAATCAACAAAATTCAACATATCAAGCTTATGTACTGATAATATTATTTTCTGAAGTTGAAATTTGTTTTTTTTCTCCTTCAAAAAAAATTGATTGACTTGGACCATTAAAAACTAAGTTGTAACTTGATACGATCATTGCTGGATTTCAATTATATTTCTTTTGCAATAATGTTTTTAGTGGATTCTAAATAATGAGCTTTTTAAGTCCACCAATAATTTATTGTCACATAAAAGAGAAAGATGAGTTTTTTGAAATCAAAAACCGATTTTCTTTACTGAAATTTTTATTATTATTATTTGATTGAGATTTTTTATTTTTAAAATGTTTTAATTCAGACTCTCAATTATAATATCGTTTATCAATAATCGATATGATATCGTAAAATAAAAAATTTTAGTATCCAAATATATATATAAAAAATTTCAATAAGAATTTTTATTTTATTATTATTATTATTTTTTATCATTTCACCTTAATTTGATAGTAACAGTTAATTATTATTATAGATCCAGAATGCAGCACGAATATATACAGAAGAATTTCAACCCTGAAAATTAGTCTCGTAGTTGTAACCAAATTTCAACACCCTTTACAACCTAAGTAAAATAACCACAGAATAAAATGTTGCCCTTTTAAAAAATACTTTTTACTTTGCAGAGAAGGTGTCAAAATCAGCTAGATCATCAGATGTATCTCGTGACTGGGTGTGTCCCCCACCGGATGCCGATAAAGATAATAAATGGATTCCACGTGATTCTGAAGATTAAAGCAGGAAAGCAAGCAGTTTTATCTGCAAGAATGCCCTGGTGCTTCTGCTCGGATATGGCGTTTCTGGACAAGAATAGTATGGACAAGACCAGACGATGCCTCTTTTGGGAAAAAAAGACAAAGGTCCAAAAACAAGTTGTCTGTACAGCATTTGTCGGCAAATAGGGACGATAATTAAGGTAAGATGCTCCCATCCTTTTAGGCGATCAACACTAATGCGACATGATCAATCATTTTTCAATAATGCTCAAGAAAAAGAAATTAATGAAGGTGGCAATGTTCATTTCGTGAGTAAATTATAAATTACTTCCTCTCATCCAGAGAAACTAATTAATTAGTCTTTTAAAACTAGTTGTTTAGTGTTTCAAGTTTTAATTTCGTTAATAACTTAATTTTTTTATTAAATTATTATTTTTTGTTTTCAAAAAATAACCTCGTGAAACTTCTTCAACATGTCAGTCTCCTGAGAACCAACAAAAAAGTGGTCGGGGATTTTTTCTCGAATAATCTCCAGAATGCAACCCGCTGCACTCTTTATCTTTTCATGATCACACCTGCCATTGAAATTGAACTCCAAAATCATTTCAAACCCAGAAAAAAGAGTAACCCAATCTCATAAATCCAAAAAGATAAAACCTTAGAAATTAAAAAATAAATAAATAAAAACTTACCTTGCCATCATAAGCAGCTTAGCTGCCTCAAGAGATTCATCATAAGATTTCCCAGGTCTTTTCAGCTCTGCTAAAACACACCTACAACCCAAAAACAACAACAAAACCAATAAAAAAACCATTCTTGTTTCCAGTTTCTGAATATAAACTAAAAGAAAAGCAAAAGTGAGGGGACCTGGTAGTGAAAAGCTTGACAGAGCCACCAAGAATATTAGAGATAGCTGTATCAGCAGGAGCAATGTTGTCAACTATTACGTGGTGAACAAATGTGCCGCGCATAAGACCTTGTAAGGCTGCCGGAACCCAAAACATACTGTGTAAAATCTCACTGCCCGGCGGTGCCGCTTCTGCTTCTTCACTCTCATGTTTTTTGAATTTCAGGGATTAATCGATTGATTTTGGAACTGGAAAAGGAAGTATCTTTCTTGCTTGCAGTTTTTACAGAGGAACTAAAATCCTAACTGATGTTTTGATTTTTAAACCCCTGAAAATTGCATCTTGGGTTTAAGGACGAGGTCCAATTAACAGCCGATTCTAGGATCAGACAGGTTGGGCCTGGCCTGGTTTGGTCATTGAATTTTAAAAAAAGAATTTTTTTTTAAAAAAAAACGTTGATTACATTTTCAAACTGGTTTCCTGATGAGTAAATTATAAATTAATTTTAGTTTCTAGAAAAAAATTAGTTAGTCTATTTTTTTAAAAAAATTATTTTTTAATTATTGTTGATTATATTTAATCTAATATTATTTATTTTTAAAATGACTTTTTAATTAATATTTTCATAATATTTATTTATTGTTTTTCTATTTTAAAATAAAAATTAAAAAAATAGAAAATAAAATAAAATCAATAAAAGGACTAAATAATTTTTTTTCTATTTTAAATGATTGAGAAATATCCATATTTTCAATGATTGTGGTGAGAAGTAAATCAACAAAATTCAACATATCAAGTTTATGTACTGATAATATTACTTTCTCAAGATGGAAAAAAAAATTTCCTTAAAAAAAATTGGTTGACTTGGACCATTAAAAATTCACTTGTAACTTGATACGATCATTATATTTCTTTTGCATCATTGTTTTTAGTGGATTCTAAACAATGAACTTTTTAAATCCACCAATAATTTAGTGTCACGTAAAAGAGAAAGATGAGTTTTTTGAAAGTAAAAATCTAACTACTGCCTATGAATTAAAAACCGTTTTTCTCTACTTTTAAATCTTGTATTTTTGGATTTTTTTTTGACATTTCCTATGCTTTGGTTGAGATTTTTTATTTTTTATAATATTTTAATTCAGATTCTCAATTATAATGTTATCAATTAATAATCGATATGATATTGTAAAATATGAAATTTTAGGATACAAATGTTAAAAAAAAAAATCCAATCAGAAGCTTTTTTTTTTTTTTTTTTTACCATTTCACCTACCTATGATAGTAACAGTTAATTATTACCATAGATCCAGAATGCAGCACGAATATATACAGATGAATTTCGAGCATCCTTTCTTTTTCTTGTGTGAAAATTTTGCTAAAGAAAGCCTACCTAAAATCTTATTTCGAAAATGGAAGTTCAAATCACATCAAGAAAATTGATAACTCCATCATCTCCAACTCCACCCCATCTTCAAAACTTGAAAATATCAAGTTTTGACCTGCCTGCTCCTAACTTTTACGTGCCTACCATCTTCTTCTACCCAACCAATGGTGCTGTCAACAACGCAGAAAAAAGTTTGCAGTTGCAGAAGTCTCTGTCTGAAATCTTAACCCTCTATTATCCATTGGCAGGAAGATATGCAAAAGATGATCCATTAATTGAATGTAATGACAAAGGGGCAGAATTTTTAGAGGCCAAAGTTAATGGCTCTCTCTCTCAACTTCTCGGCGACGAAGGGCTCGAGATCAGGACTCTGAATCACTTGGCCCTGCAAAAGTTTGATCCAAATAATAGCTCTCCACTAGCAGTTCAATTCAACATCTTTGAATGTGGTGGAATTGCTATAGGTATATCTATAACGCACAAGATAGCTGATTCCTTCACAGGGTTCACCTTCATCAATGCTTGGGCTACTGCGTGCCGAATCGGGGTCCAGAAAGTGCATCGCCCGAGTTTCGAATTAGGCTCAATTTTCCCACCAAGTGATGCATCTAGAACCGAGAAATTTGTGGTAAGTAGAGCTTCAACTAACAAGAATATTGTCACAAAAAGCTTTGTCTTTGATGCTGTAGCAATATCAAATCTGAAAGCGGCTGCCAGTGCTAGCGGTTCGGAGCTGCCGGTCGAACACCTACCGGCACGAGTAAAGGTCGTCACAGCAATTATATGGAGAGCTTTTGTTAGGTTGGTTCAAGCTAGACATGGCAGCATGAGGCCTTCCCTCTTGACAGTTCCTGTTAATTTGCGAGGAAAGACAAATCTATCGATACCAGAAAATTTATGTGGAAACTTCAGAAGTTGGGCTACATTGCAATTTATGCCAAATGGTACTGAGAGTGAGGTGCAATTTCATGACTTGGTAAGTCGTATCCATGGCGGAATTGAAAACACTGTCTCAAATTATGCAAAGGCTTCAAGTTCTGATGATTTGTTTTTGACGGTGATCAATGACTTTCGGAAAGTAAGTGAAGCAGTAAAGGAAAGTGATGCAGATGTCTATATGTTTTCTAGCTGGTGTCAGCTCCCATTGTATGAAGCAGATTTTGGTTGGGGAAAGCCCAGTTTGCTGAGAAGAGGTGGGCAGGTGCAGAAAGAGATGATTCTGCTTTTGGACACTAAAGATGGTGATGGCATTGAGGCATGGGTGAGCTTGGAAGAAGAAAACATGCTTCTTTTTCAACAGGATCCTGATATTGTAGCATTCACTTGCTAATTAAAAGCTGCAAAAGCAATGCTTTTACGGCTTTCATTTGCTTGTTTTTTATGGCTTTCTTTACTTGCTGTTGCCTATCTTATAATAAGTTGATCTGTGTGTGTCATCAGTTTTATTAATAAATTTAATTCCCACAAAGAAAAGTACTCTAAGGCAAGAACATCAGGAATAAATGGCACCCAAAATAAACATTTTAATTTATTGCAAAAGGCAGTGATTTCTCAGGTTTTCCATGAAAAGAGTCTCATTTATCCTTCTTTTTTAATCTTTGATGGCATAGCAGATGATTGGAACTTAGTGCCAGATAGTTACTGACTTCAAGCTAAGTTCTAAGTAAAATTTTATTGGTATCCGCTAGGGTGATATTGATGTTGTTGGACCTTTTCAACTTTGAAAGTTAACTTAAAAAACGGATTAAATACACTCCGGTCTGATTATAGAATCTAGATGAGGAACTTGCCGGGTTCTTCTTCATGCCTCTAGCTGGGTGGAGGCTTACGCTTACCTTGGATTCTTATCTAAATCCAAGGACTCAATATAGGGATAAGCTGGCAAGCGGTTCAAGGAAAGTAACTTTTTGAATCCCAGTTGGCCTCGTCATTATTCTTTTGTCTCAATCCTTTTTCTTACATAATAGAGTATGATAGTGCAACATGTTCTCTTGTTAATTTATGCTAGTATTAAAATCTACTTTGTGATGATAAGAAAAAAAAAGCCTCGTCTTGGATAGTTGTCATTATTGAGATTTTTTCTTAATAGAGTATGATAGTGCAACATGTTCTCTTGTTAATTTATGCTAGTATTAAAATCTACTTTGTGATGATAAGGAAAAAAAAAGCCTCGTCTTGGATAGTTGTCATTATTGAGATTTTTTTTTAATAGAGTATGATAGTGCAACATGTTCTCTTGTTAATTTATGTTAGTATTAAAATCTACTTTGTGATGATAAGAAAAAAAAAGCCTCGTCTTGGATAGTTGTCATTATTGAGATTTTTTCTTAATAGAGTATGATAGTGCAACATGTTCTCTTGTTAATTTATGCTAGTATTAAAATCTACTTTGTGATGATAAGAAAAAAAAAAGCCTCGTCTTGGATAGTTGTCATTATTGAGATTTTTTCTTAATAGAGTCTGATAATGCAACATGTTCTCTCGTTAATTTATGATAGTAGTAAAATCTACTTTGTGATGATAAGAAAAAAAAAAAGCCTCGTCTTGGATAGTTGTCATTGTTGAGATTTTTCCTTAATAGAGTCTGATAATGCAACATGCTCTCTCGTTAATTTATGATAGTATTAGATTATTTGTAAATAAAAAGTTGAGATTGGAATGTTTCAACGAGCTTTTAATAATATTTAAGAAAAGACTATTTGCTATTTAAAAAATCATTATTGTAAAATAATTTTAGTTTTGTCTGTTTTTTATTTAATATAACAGGTAATAATTTTCTTCGTAGTTTTTGATATCATTACGCCACAAAAAAATTATCATGTATTTATTTGATTTATATCCTAAAAAAAATTGCTATCTTTCAAAAGAAAAAAGAAAAAAAAAAAGGAGACAAGCATAGCCACCTTGGTCCATGTACTATCCAACTAACTAAATTCAATTTTTTGACCTAACCTTCCTTATTAAAGCAACGAGGGATGTGACCAATCCTAACTAAGACTTCAAAATGTTTTGACTATTTTATGAGTAAAAAAAAAAAAAGATTCAAATGTATTGGGAAATTTTACGTTCCATTTAAGATGATTAGCTCAATTTCAGGCAATTGCTAAGTAGATTAAAATAAAAAAATATTCTAAATATTTGAATTATATTACAACCGAGAATGGTAAGAAAAATGTTTTTAACTTACGAGATTAGAAATTTAATTTTTACACTGTACATGTGACTTGTATATGACATGAAATTTGATGAAATTATCTTTGTTATTTAAGATAAAAGATCTATATCTACTAATATAAAGATTAATTTATGATGAGTTGATTGAAAATTTAACCATAATGATAGATTAAAAACTAGCTTAAAATATAATGATAGCTTGTAAGCTTTTTTTAAGACATATTGAAAAATTAATGGATTATATAAAGACAAATGAAAATATTAATTCTAAAAAAATAAAGTATTATTAGATCTTTTTAACCCTAATCTTTTTTTCATACATGGAACTCCGAATTGATTATTTCTCATTATTCTAATTTGGGTGATGTTGATCCTAATTATGAGAAAATTATTTAACCTGAATTCTAATAGTAATGTTAAGTATTATTAGATATTTTCAACGCTGAAAATTAGTCTCATGGTTGTAACCAAATTTCAACGCCCTTTAGTCTCATGGTTGTAACCAAATTTCAACCAAATTTCAACGCCCTTTAGTCTCATGGTTGTAACCAAATTTCAACGCCCTTTACAACCGAAGTAAAATAACCACCAAATAAAATGTTGCCTTTTAAAAAAATACTTTTTACTTTGCAGATAAGGTGTCAAAATCAGCTAGAGCATCATATGTATCTCGTGACTGGGTGTGTCCCCCACCGAATGCTGATAAAAAATAATAAATGGATTCCATTTGATTCTGAAGATTACAGCAGAAAAGCAAGCATTTTTATCTGCAAGAATGCCCATGTGCTTCTGCTCGGATTTGGCGTTTCTGGACAAGAATATACCGTACCTCTTTTATGGATAAGTCCAGACCATACCTCGTTTGAATAAAAAACAAGTTGTCTGTGTAGCATTTGTCGCCAAATAGGGACAATACTTAAGGTGAGATGCTCCCATCCTTTTATACGATCAACAATAATGAGACATGATCAATCATTTTTCCATAATGCTTTAGAAAAAGAAATTAATGGAGGTGGCAATGTTCATTTGGTGATTAAATTATAAATTACTTCCTCTCGTCCAGATAAACTAATTAATTAGTGTTTTTAAACTAGTTGTTTAGTGTTTAGAGTTTTAATTTCATTAATAACTTAAGTTTTTATTAAATTATTATTTTTTGTTTTCAAATTGCTCCTTTTTTAATTTTTTTGTTAAAAGAGAAAAACATAGATGGAGAAGATAAATAAGATATCAAAAGAAAGATAGTTTGAAAAAAAAAACTAATCTAATAAAAAATTGATTGAAAAAACAAATGATTGACAAAATTAAAACATAAAAAATGAAAAAATTAGTTTTTAAGACGAAGATGTCTAATTAATTTGTGTTATCGAAATGAGAGAGATTAATTTATAATTTACTCCTCGTTTCATTGCAAGAAACATGTGGTTAATTTGCATTCAAAAAACTAAATTACAAAAAAATAATTAAAAAATAAAAATGAATATATGATTTTTTTTTAATTTTTTTGGTTGTTTTACTAATAATAATCTCTAAAGGTGATCAAGGTAAATTCAAATCTATTTATATGATAAGAATTTGTATTTTAGAACAATACGTACATAATTAGAGATATATATTCTTAATCAAATATAAATATTAAAATATTGACATATAAAAAATGTTAGTAACAGAACAGTGGAATCAGAAATAAAATGATGAAAAAAAGGAAATGAATTAATAATTTAACATGTTTTAGAAATTAAAAAAACAAAAAACCAAAGTATTAGTAATACGACAGTAGAGTTAAAAAGAAAAGAAAAACAATTGACTGAAACAATCAAACAAATGGACAAATAACCATATATTAAAAATAAAATAAAAAATTGAAAAATGCGTTGATAATGGAAAAAAAAAAAAAAAGAGTCCAAAAATAGACACAATTGATTGAAACAAAAGGATAAAATAAAAAACTCAAAAGTGTTAATAACGGGACAGAAGAGTCCAAAAAAAAAGTTGATTGAAACAAAAGGATAAAAAATATATATATTAAAAATAAAATAAGAAACTCAAAAGTGTTAATAATGGAAGATGATACTCCAAAAAAAAAAAAAACAATTCATTGAAACAAAAGGATAAAAGAATATATATTAAAAATAAAATAAAAAACTCAAAAGTGCTAATAATGAAACAGAAGAGTCCAAAAAAAAAAAAAAACAATTCATTGAAACAAAAGGACAAAAGGATCAAATACTAATTTATATGCCCAGACACCGACGCTGATTTATTAAATTATTTTTTAATCAAATACTAACACTGATTTTTTTTACCTTAGAATAAAAAAATAAATATTATTAAATACAACCTTACGTTGTAGTATCAGAATAAACAAAACAAAATACTTAGAACATTTAGGGAAAAAAAATTACTTATCAAAAAAACTTGAAATTTAATATATATACTAATCATTAAACTCGTGCGTTGTTGCAGTTTTATTTTTTTATATATCTTTATTAATGTATAAAAAGTACTAAGTTTTATTTTCATCATACTAACATATCCGTCAGTTTTATTTTTATTTTTTATTTTGTTTTTAACAAGTACGTGGAAGTTTTATGGTAAAATTATTTTTAATATGATATTTTAAATGATGTAAGAATACTACATAATTAGTATCAATCTTTTCTTTTTATGAGGTGGAAATTATGTCCAATTATTAACCTGATTCTAACATTCCTAATAAAAAAAATTAAATAAAAAAAAATGATGTATTATCATCTGTAAAAAAAAAAAAAAAAATTAGCACTAAAAATCCTCAATTTTTTTCGGTTGATGAAGTAAAAACAAAAGGAAAGAGAGAGATATCAGACAGCTTTCACAATATATATATATATATATATATATATATATATATATATATATAATTGAAAAACATGCATGATTAGAAACTAGATAAATGATTTTTTAATATTCTAATCTAATACCCAATCAGATGTGGCATATGTTCTATTGTTTTAGACAATAAATTTTTAGTTAATTAGATTCACTCATTTACTCTCATTCATGATAGTCGTTCACACAATAAGATTGCTCATATATCGATAATTAATTTAGTTAGATTTAACTATTTTGAGAAGATTTATGTTGATAATCATGATATTTTTTTAAACAAAAATTAAAAATAATTAAATTATAAATAAATTTAAAAACGTAGGGATTAAATAATTAGTTTTTGAAATAAAAATATTAATTAATTTATTTTTCGAACTGAAGGAACTAATTTACAATGTACTCCCATATCATCATCTATTTTTTTTTTTTTTGGTTGATTGTCCTCCATGATGATACTCTAGCTAGTTAGTTCTCTCTCTTTCTTGTCTCTAGTTGCCAACAACTCGTCTCGTTCCATATCTACCAGCATTTGTTTTTGTAAAAAATAAATGATTGAAACAAAACGATAGAAGGGTTCAAATACTAATCCAGTGTCTAGAAAGCACTAAACATTAATTTATTAAAGTAATTTTTAATCAAATACTAACACTAATGCATAATCTTAAAATAAAAATAAAAATATTATTAAAAAACCTTCTCTTAAAAGGATAAATATTTGAAGCTTATAAATAAATTTGAGATTTAACATATATATTAGTACATGACCCTTACGTTGCTGCAATATTTTTTTAAAAAAACTATATATTTTTTTAATATATAAAAAGTATTAAGTTTTATTTTTATCATACTAACATGTGTATAAGTTTCATTTCTTATTGTTATTTTTTAACAAATACGTGAAAGTTTTATTGTAAACTTATTTTTAATATGATATTTTAAATGATATAATATTACGTAATTAATATTTTTTTCTTTTCATCAGGTAAAAATTGTGTCCAACTATTAAAGTAATTTCATATATTTCCAATAAAACCAATTAAATTAAATAAAAAATAGCGCATCCTACGTGGCATCATCAAAATTTTTTTAAAAAATTATATTTTTTTAAAATAAACTGTTCTGTGTTTGGTATGTATAGAGTACTGTCTTTGTGCATGTTCATTTTATGGAAATTAAAAAAACAAAGATACCTAGAAACACGAGAAGAGCTCTATCTATATAAAAAAAAGGGAAGCACAGCAAGAAGATCACTTAGCCCGAAAAAAAAAAAAAAAAAAAAAAGGAGCTACTTTAAGAGAAAATAGCTTCAAATCATTCACATTTACCAATAAGAAATCCTCAGTCCCTCTCCTCGCTATCAAGTGCTGCTACCTTCACAAGTTCTCTAATCACAAGCCTTTCTTAGTCCTTTCAGTTCATTCAATTTTTGCAGGTATATATCTCTTCTCCATGATCTCCATTATTCGTGCCTTGTCCTTTAAACATCATGCATGTGTCAGGAAAAAAAATCTTTATAAAGTAAAAACAAAAGGAAGGAGAGAGGGAGGGAGGGAGGTAGAAGAAAGAAGAAGGAAATATTTTGGTGGTGCATTCTACTCTGTGAATGGACAGAGACAAAACTAAGAAGGAAGAAAGCGAGGCGGTGTTTTTTTTTTTTTTTAAATAAAATTTTAGCCCTTTTTTATCACTTATCTTTAGCGAAACCTGGGCTCATTTATATATATATATAATTTCAAATATTTTATTTACTTTCCCATTATTTTCCATTATTTTATAGCTGGTGACGGGGAAACCAACATATTCTTTTGAATTTGAGATAGGGTAATGTTAATCATATATAATTATAATTAAATAAATAGATTTCGTTAATAATTCTCATAAATCTAGTTGATTTTTTTGATAAATAAATTTTGTAATACAATTATATATATATGATTAGTATTACTCTTTGAGATAGATTAGATGTGATTAGATATAATTAATTAATACAACACCTGATTTATTAGTTAGTAATTATTAATAATTAATCTCTTAACCGTTATTTTCTAGCTGATGATGTGGCGACGTCATATTCTTTTGCATATGAGATAGAGTAATGTTAAACATATATAATTATAATTAAATAAGTGTATTTTTTTAGTAATTTTTATAAATCTAATTGTTGATATATTTTCAATAAATGAATTCCCTTATACAATCATTTATAATTAGCATTACTCTTTGAGATTAGATATTTATTATTAATAATTAATCTCTTAATAACGAGTGCTTTCGGGACAAATTAACACTTCCAACCGGATTTATGTACATACAATTTGATATTTCAAAAATCCGAGCAGGTGGAAGATCTATAGTTGAGCCTGATTGCTACTGAGTTTTAATTTTCTAGACAATTTCGATCTTTCGGATTTTTCAAAGACAAACTAAATGATAAATAATCTTATAATAGGCTGAAGGCAGTAAAGATTTTGGGCTATATTGCAGGCAGGATCAAGATGAAAATTAACGTTAAGGAATCAACAATGATACGCCCAGCTAAGGATAGTCCCGAAGAAAGACTATGGCTCTCCAACTTGGACCTGGTTCAACCAAGACTCCATCTCCCTACAGTGTACCTGTACAAGCCGATTGATTCTTCCAATTTTTTCGAAGCCCAAGTGCTCAAGGAAGCTTTGAGCAAAGTTCTTGTGCCATTTTATCCTATGGCTGGAAGACTGGGAAAGGATGAAAATGGTAGAATTGAAATCAACTGCAATGGTGAAGGAGTTTTATTTGTTGAGGCTGAAACAAATATTGCTCTAAGTGACCTTGGTGAATTCATTCCTGTCCTGCAACTTCAGCAGCTGATTCCAACTGTTGACTATTCGGGCGACATCTCCTCCTATCCACTTTTTGTTTTACAGGTATGAATACTTATCCAATAAGAATGTTATTAATTATTATAAGTTGGTTAGGTTTAATGACTCAGTTTTACTTTATATAACATGATAGTTCTCTAATCTTTTCTTATATTCCTAATTAAATTAATTTTATATTTAAATATGTAGTAATTAAGCAACTAATTTATTTTCTAGCAGAATTTTCAAGCAAAAATACTTGAATTGATCACACGATTTACACATTAAAACTTTTTATCTGACTGACTTGTAAATATATTTAGGGACAAAAATTAATCATCATTTAACTTGAAAATCTTAACAAAAACATAAATTGAAAACTTAAAAGCATTTTTAAAGATAAAATTGGTATTAAAAAAATACATTACTACTATTATTATTATAAAATAAATTAAACTATTAACCCAATTGCTTATGATATCAAAGGAACGATTTTTTTTTAAAAAAAAATATATATATATAAGGCGCAAAGAATTGTAGTACTCCTCCTTTTCACATAATTAAAAAATTTACTATGAAAATTATTCATTATTTTTACATTCATGTAAAAGAAAGATGTACAACTCTAAATACGGAATAATTCCTTAAAAATTATCCCCGCTAATGCATTGTTAATTTCAAGTCTTTTCTCTTGAGAGTTATTTTTGCAATTTAAGAGCATTTATTAAATATTTTACTATTATCATTACAAGTACTCTTGGCCTCTTGGGTGCTGATTAAGTTGTAAAATCAAGATCAGCGTAGAATCTTTCGAAATGATATATGCATTTGTCATGATGCCTGCAGGTCACTAGATTCACCTGTGGTGGAGTTTGTCTTGGCGTAGGGTTCCTTCACACTGTAGGAGATGGTGGTGGGGCAATCCATTTGATCAACACATGGTCTGACCTAGCTCGTGGCCTGTCCATGACCACCCCACCATTCACCAACCGAACAATGCTCAGTGCCCGAGTCCCCACAAACCCTAAATTCCACCATATTGAATACGATCCCCATCCCACCATGAACAGCCATGATCCTACTACTCCAACCCAACAAAAACCATCAAGTTCCATGGCAAATTTGAAGATCACACTTGATCTAATGAATGCCTTGAAGTCCAAGACAACAGAAAACAATGAAAGCAAAACCAAGTATAGCAGCTTTGAGGTCCTAACTGCACACATTTGGCGTTGCACATGCAAAGCTCGAGGTTTGCCTGATGCCCAAGCAACCAAGCTATGCATCCCTACCGATGGGCGGTCCAGATTCCATCCTCCACTTCCATCTAATTATTTTGGCAATGTAGTGTTTCATGCCACGCCAATTGCTTTATCTGGGGATCTTTTGTCAGAACCATTTGCGGCTACAGCAGAGAGAATTCACCAAGCTATAAAGAGAATGGATGATGAGTATTTGAGATCGGTTATTGATTACATGGAAGAGGTCGGTGACCTAAAGCAGATCACTCAAGGAATTAGACTTTATGAGTGCCCAAACCTCAAGATTAATAGTTGGCTGAGGCTGCCGTTTTATAAAGCTGATTTTGGATGGGGTGCTCCATTGCTTATCCGGCCGGCAATTGCATCCGATGGCAAGGCGGTCATGTACCCAGGTCCGGTCAATGATGGGAGTTTCTTCCTGGCTATAGGCTTAGGGACTAATCACGTGAAATCCTTTGAAAAGTTGTTTTATGATTTAGATCATTAATTTCTTGGTAAAATTAGCAGCGTATGCGTGGGAACAATGGTCCGTTCTGTCCAAAACAAAAATAAATAAATAAAGAAGGGCTAATAAACTTGTATCTCGATCGGATCGGCTCGGCTTGTACCGTTCCGCTCTCTTGAAGGGTACTTTGGATTCAAACCTCTTGTATTTGTAATTTAACTATTACTATTATTTGTATCATTATCAAATTTGCGATTTAATTCTTGAGTCGCATGGATTTTATGATATTAATTGTCTCTTGAACATTTGAAAATTTAAATAAATATGGTTTATATTGATTTTAGTTTCTTTCCACAAAACAAAAGGAACAACACGCTTGAATATTACTAGCATGGTGGATTGTAGCAAAAGAGAAAATAAGGGTAATGCAATAAAAATTAGAGACTTTTTTTTTATTTTTTTTAAATATTTGATCGATAATTTTGAAAAAATTGATTTACTTAAACGAAAAAAATTAAAATTCACATACTTGTTTGAAAAAAAAATTATAATTTGGTATATTAAGAGTAATAGACACTGTATTGGTTGATAAAAAAAATGATAAAAAAAATTAAGAAAAATATTTGATTAACAATTTTAAAAAAATTAATATATTCAAATAAAAAGAATTAAAATTTATATAAAAATTAATATATTCATAGTGCAATTACAAAAGAAACTAAAAGACATGGGGTTTTTGAATAGTATTCATCCCTTCACATGTCACTTTGGATATACTTTTGCTAAAAATGATTTTTTTGTGATTTTTAAAATGTTTTTAGGTATTTTTATTCGAATTATACATTGTATTTTATTTTAATTCTTGAAGTTTTAAAATAAAATTTCTGATCTCTTGAGCTACTGCTCACTCAAGCACGTAGCTTGCATTGGACCTGCTTTTGAAGGCACAAGCGCTAAGGCTTACCTTGGGCCTGCAGAAGTGCTAGCCTCTTTTTTTTTCCACCAATTTTTATTTTTTATTATTGAATTGATGTACAAATTATGAAAAACAATCATTTTTCCATACAATCTTACTCTTATAGAATATATAGAATATGTTTTTAGATTTTAGAATAAACATATATATCGGATTATAATATTCTTATTTTTTTATTATAATTTTTTAATAAATATGATTTATTTATTTATGAATTTGGCATTTTTTATAAAAATTATCATCAAATTACTTTTCATTCTTTTTTATGTAATTTTATTTCTTAGTAAATATAATTTATTTTCTCCACGTATGAATTTTTGAATATTGTTATTTAAATTTGCTTTTATTTGCTTATTCTTTATATAGTCGATTTTAGAAATAGAACTCACTTGTTTTATTTACTTACTCTTTATATAATTAAATTATGTCGAAATCATTTATGTAATTTTTTATTGCATTATATTAATTTCAATATATTTTTTACAATTTTTTTTTTTTAGTTTATGCTACACACTCTAACCCAATAAGTATGATATTGATACACACACACACACACACACACACACACACACACACACACACACAACATCAATCATTTACTACTATTTTTTAATATTTTAAAATTAATTTCTTTCAAATAAATTAATTGAATTAATGTCTTAGAAGAGCCACCTAATAATTCAAATATAATTTTTTATACTAATATGATTCATTATGTTGTGTGTGTAAGTGTGTAACAAATGTATTTATTTAAAAAGAAAAAAAATTCATTTCATTTGTATTAAATAAGAATAAAAAAGATTCATTTGCTAATTTTTATATAAGTCTTACATTAATATTTTCTTTATTTTATCGATGCAATGTTATGAAAAAAAAATTGTGTTTCTTTATTTCCTTTCTTTAATAAAATATTTTTTTAATAATTTATATTGATTTTTATATTTAGATTGTTATGAATTTTTATTTAAAAATAAATGCAAAAGAAAGTAAAACTTATGTTTTTCTTAACTACAAGATTTTGATTAAAAACTATAAAATTAGATAAAAATTTTATTTTTAATTTAAATATATTTTAGTTAACTGATAATATATTATATGTTATTGAACTGAAATAAATATATTTAATTCAATTCACAGACTTGAAAATTGATTATTTATCACAAAAAAGGAAATAAAAGGAAAGAATGAAAATTAGATTGTGCATGAGAAATTAGAAACCATCACACACACACACATGCACGCGTGCGCGCGCGCACACACACACATATATCGAAATTCAGATTTTTTTGTTAGCGAATTTGCAATCCAAACTTATATTTATGTTTTTGTTAAAAGTAACGAGTTCAAGCTTTTTTTGGGAGTAAATTATAAATTATTCCCTTTTATTCATAAAAATTAATTAATTAATTCTTTTTAAAAAATAAATCATTAGCTCTCTGTGTTTTAATTTCGTAAATAACTTAATTTCTTAATTAGTTTTCTATTAGATTGGTAATTTTTATTTTCTAATTTTTATTTTTTAAATTTTGGATTAGAGAGAGAGAGAAAGTGGTTGAAAAAAGAAATAAAACATTAAAAAAAACAATTTGAAAAAAAATTCATTAATTCAGAAAAAATAGTGAAACAACTAAATTATTGATAAAATTAAAACATAAAAGACTAAACAATTAATTTTTAAAATAAAAATAAATAATTTATTTATTTATTGATAGGAGAAAGACTAATTTATAATTTACACTTTTTAAAAGTTACGAGTTTGAGCTTTTTTTATCAATGGTAAAAAAAATAATAGGGATTCAATGTGAATATTTAAAAAAAGGTTCAATTAATAATTTTACTAAAACTAGAGGAACCAAGTTAGCAATATTTTACTTCTCAAGCTTCGGTTTTGCCAAATTAGCAGTGCCAGTCTCATCAGTCGCTCGCTGCCATCACCAACATCCCCGTCGGCCTCCACACACTCTCTCTCTCTTGGCACGGTACAATGGAGGAGGAGAAGAAAGAGACTCCAAACCAAGCAGCAGCAGAAGAAGAAGAAGACCAAATAGTCAACCCATGGGAAGTCGCCGCCAAAGATGGCGGCAAAATTGATTACGACAAACTCATCGACAAATTCGGCTGTCAAAGGCTCGACCAAACCCTAATTGGCCGTGTCCACCGCCTCACAGGCCGCCCTCCTCACGTATTCCTCCGCCGTGGCGTCTTCTTCGCCCACCGTGACTTCAACGAAATACTCGACGCCTATGAAAAGGGTAAAAAATTCTACCTTTACACCGGCCGGGGTCCTTCCTCTGAAGCACTGCATTTGGGGCATCTCGTCCCGTTTATGTTCACTAAGTAAGTGATTAATTGATTGATTGATTAGGTAATTGTGCTTTGGGATGTTTGAAAATTCGATGAAGTTGATAAAGTTTGGGTCGTTATTGTTTTTTAGGTATTTGCAAGATGTGTTTAGGGTTCCGCTTGTGATACAGTTGACTGATGATGAGAAATGTATGTGGAAGAATTTAACCGTGGAGGAAAGTCAGAGACTTGCGCGTGAGAATGCTAAGGATATCATTGCTTGCGGATTTGATATTACGCGGACGTTTATTTTCTCGGATTTTGATTATGTTGGTGGGTAAGTTACAAGCTTATTAACTTCATTTTGAAGAATAAATCTGAAAGTTTTATGTACTATGTGTTTAAGCGACAATTCGAATGCTTCGTAGTTGGGGATATGTTCCTGAGTGGTCTGTTATAGTATGATTAACATTTGTGATTGAATGTGGCAATGCTGATTCTGTGCTTCTGCTTGTCGGTGGGTTTTCTGATGTATTATGTGGTGTTGGTTTGTTGTTGATGTCAATCGAAGCATGTCCTTTGTTATTTATTTATTTATTTTCTATTTTTGTGTGTAAATTTTGTACATGTATTGTTGTGCTGACTCTTTATTTTTACATGAAGTGCATTTTACAAGAATATGGTGAAGGTTGCAAAGTGTGTCACTTTGAATAAGGTGGACATTCTCTCTCTTTTTATTTTATTTTTTCATGTGTAATATGCCTTTGTTGAGGCACTTGTGTTGCTTTTGAATTCCTTTGCTTTCGGACTATTGCACTCTTTTCAAATTTTGCTGTTGATGTACAGGTTCAGGGTATTTTTGGTTTCTCTGGTGAAGATCATATTGGGAAAATCAGCTTCCCTCCTGTACAGGTTAGTTTAGTGCTGCTGTCTACCAATCACATATGACATGTATACCGGGTGCAGTGATGGAAAGTTATGCCGTTGGACTACCGGATTTCTCCATATTTTGATAATTGCTTTTTTCAGCTTTCTGAAATGAATGTAATATCTATGGAAGGCATCCAACATATTTCATTTGTGTTGGTGTAGGCAGTTCCATCGTTTCCCAGTTCATTCCCACACCTTTTCTCGGGAAAAGATGATCTCCGTTGCTTAATACCTTGTGCGATTGATCAGGTCAAGCCCTCTCAATGTTGAAGGTTTCTGTCCAATTTGAATATACTTTTGAATCTTATCAATGCTTCTGGAATCTAACTGTTTTGTAGATAGTGCACTTGTAACTCTTTTGAGTGTGAAATTATACGCTGCTTGCTGTTTTTGGTGTATTTGCATTGATAGAAAGCTGCCATGTAGAATTGTTGAAATTTATCATATTCTGGTGCTATTTTTCTTTCTTCGGGCAATTATTTTAATTTTCTATGTTCCTAGAGATTTGCTGGTCTTAGTTTTGATAATCAGACCATTTGGATGATTATTGTGCCTGTTGTGAGAACATCTAAACACACATTATGTGCTTGCTTCTGTTCTTACCATTGTCTCCCTTTTGTCATTTGTTCAGGATCCATATTTCAGAATGACACGGGATGTCGCTCCTCGGATAGGATATCACAAACCTTCTCTGATTGAGTCAACATTTTTCCCTGCCCTGCAGGTATTTTTGTCTTTGGGAATGACATTACTTGTGTTCTAATAAAAACTAGTGTTCATTTTAAAATGCATTTATGAAGTTCTTATTGTTGTCGCTACTACTACTACTACTAGTCTACAACTACTATGAGCACTTTCTGTAAGTTGTAACTTAAGATATGACAACTGAAAGTAGAACAGTTAAGGTTAATAGCCTTGCAAAGATATGTTTTACTGAAGTGGATAGAGGAATCGCCTATAGAAATGTCTATTGGATTTAATTAAATGACTCATTAAGAATTTCAAATATCAAAAACCAAAATAATGATGCATAACACATTTGAAGGGTGTGTCATCCCATTCGATGAAAGGAAACCTTATTATCATGCTTGGTTCTTGTTCTACTCAAATACTGTTTTAGGCTGGATTTTAGTATATCCAATGCTTGAGAGGAACATTTAGCACTGCCTTGATGCAAATCAAGATACTAAGCAAGAATTATGCAGGAAATGCACAAAATACAAATGCTTATATTTAATGATAAAATTCTTCTTTCAATCCTCTGAGAGTCTGCATAATGTGGGCTGTTTGCTTTGAATAATAATGTACATGATAGTATTCATATTTTCCGGAATATTAACCTGATGGTTATGCAGTGGGCGTATATAGAATTTTATTGAGGGATTTTCATGCTATACCTTTTCCAAGATCTTGTCAAGAAGTCTTTTATAAAAGAGAAGCAAAGGATCTTCTCAAGTGGTTTGTCCTTTAGTGTTTGTTAAGATATTAATGTGCATTTCTTGAAAGATTAGAAGATTCCTGCACAAAATACAGATGGCTATATTTAAGAATAAAATTCTTCTTTCAATCCTCTGAGAGTCTGCATAATGTGGGCTGTTTGCTTTGAATAATTATGTACACAATAGTATTCATATTTTCCAGAATATTAAACTGATGGTTATGCAGTGGATATAGAGTTTGTGGTGAGGGATTTTCATGCTATACCTTTTCCAAGATTTTTTCAAAAAGTCTTTTATAAAAGGGAAAAAAAAAAGATCTTCTCAAGTGGCTTGTCCTTGAGTGCTTTTGAAGATATTAATGTGCATTTCTTGGAAGATTAGAAGAAATAGCTTTAATAGCAAATGATTACTGAAACTCCATATTCCTATCCTCGCATTAATATTACACTCATAAAGTTATCTGCCTTTGTATTTGCTGAGAATGACATAGGCACTTGGCTTATGATTTAGTGCTTGCAATACCATCACTGATCATATTTTCCTGAATGTTGTGCAGGGGGAGACAGGAAAAATGTCGGCTAGTGATCCGAATTCTGCCATCTATGTGACTGATTCTGCTAAAGTCATTAAGAGTAAGGTATGGTCTTGAAAAGGACATTTTGCCCCTTACACACTCTTGTGTGCACATACTGTCTGTTAACATACTGAGTTGATTAGACTGTTAATCTGCCAACTTTTCTAGTGCACAAACAAATATCTGTGTGATTTGCTGTACCATTCAAAGGTACTTAATTATTTAGTTATGCATATCTTCCTTTCTCGTTTTGAACATTTGAAATCTGAACCAGTACCAAGATGCTTTTAGCTTATCACCATTGAAAGGTACTTAAATTTACGGTACTGTGAAATTAAGACCGAACTTGGGCCTTAGATGGGCTGCATTACTTAGAATTTAGAAATATGGAGTTTACGTCAATGTGATGAATAGCACATTGTATTTAGTGCTGTGCTCGAATATAATCTTTTTACTAATGCTAAGTTTTCTTGATGGAAACAGATCAACAAGTATGCGTTCTCTGGTGGGCAGGATTCTGTAGAGAAACACAGACAACTTGGAGCAAATCTTGAGGTAGCAAACACTTCAAGAGACAATTTATTTGTGCCAAAACTTGGAAGAACCGTTCTGGGATATTTTTCAAATATATAGAATTTGTGCTGGCTTCGTTAATATGATAGAATTTCTTATTGTTATTCGGGTTTATGTTTGAATTCTTGATTTATCATGGCATGGAAAGTGATGACAAACATTTTTTCCTTATGGACATTATTCAGGTAGATATTTCAATCAAGTACCTGAACTTTTTCCTGGAGGATGATACTGAGCTTGAACACATAAAGACGGTGAGATTTGTTCTTTTTGGTTGATTTGACTGACCCTCTATTTAGATATTTGGTTCTAAAACTTAGTAAGCAAACGAAAAATAAAACTTGATCAGTTTCTTTTTCTAATGCACATGTATTCTTGTTTAGGAGTATGCTGCAGGACGTATGCTAACAGGAGAAGTGAAGGGCCGCCTAGGTGTGGTCTTGTCTGAAATAGTAGAAAGACATCGCGCCGCCCGAGCCAGCGTGACTGATGAAGTAAGCCTTTTGCATCCCTCAATAAATTAATGCACATGCAGATTGCTATGGTTACTCTATTCAATCTGTATTCCACTGTGGTGGATTTATATTCTTAAATGGTTGCTGAAAATCTCAAGAAGTTGACGTAAAAAGACTTTGATATCCATCTTTCTGGCTTTTTCCTAGGTTGTGGATGCTTTTATGGCTGCAAGACCTCTTCCCAATATGTTTGACTGAATTTGAAACAATGCTGATGTACCATCAAGCTTTAGTCGAAGAATGCTCTTGACATGGATAGCCTCCTGAAGATACAAGACATTGGTTGCATCTGTTAAACCATTTCATTTTTTTCGACTCAACTCTAAATATGAAAACCTTTGTTTAGTTTTGAATTTTTATATTTCTACACAGGAAAATTTCCTCTTTATGAGAAACATTTTTGTTTTTAAAAGAATGGATTCGAAGAAATTGTCTCTCTTTTTTTTTAAAAAAAAGGTCGTTGCTTTGCCATGTAAAGGAAGAGTGAATTATAAATTAGTCCCTTCAGTTTCAAGAAACAAATTAATTAGTCCGGCTCGTTTCAAAAACTATTATTTAATTTTTTTTTACTAGTATCGATTATGTTTGATTTAATATTATTTTTATTTTACAAAATATATTTTTTTATCTATTTTTTTATTTTTTTAAACAAAAAATCAAAATAAATTTTTTAAAAAATTTATGAATAGATTTCAAAGTATGAAAATTAAATGATTAGTTTTTGAAATGAGAGACTAATTAATTTGTTTCTCTAAATGAGATGGACTAATTAATAATTTACTCTATAGAAAACGATGCTTCTTGAATGAATAGGATTTAGTTAATCTTCCAAATTATTCTGCACAGAATTCAGAAGGCAATTTGCAAAGCCGTTGAAGAACACCCTTGCCAGTGACCTCCATAAAAAATGGAAACTGAAATAAGGCTGCAGGTTATTTCTTTGGACCCGGATGCATTAGGGTAGCCCAAAGCCTCGGAGGAGACATGTTATTAGCTAAAAAAATTTATAAGCCCAATCCATTCAAAAAATTAGAACTTTACTTTTCAGCCGGGTTTGGCACGGAGGTTGCAAACTTGTTTGAAGGGTCGGGTAAAATTTTAATTCAAATCAATGCATTGATATCATCACCACCGCCACTGGCTCGCTGCCGTGTTTAGGGCGGCAGAATGATGGTCAGGGATGATAATGGATAGGGATAGGATTACTTATTAATTCAATTCTTTATATTTGGCCCATATTTATTGAAAATTTATTTTTAAAATTTATAGCCGGTCCCTATTCGGTTTTTTCGTTCATTTAATTGATGCTGCAAATAATTTATCAAGATATATTATTTTAGTTTTTGTAATTTAAAAATTATTTTGGTTCTTATGATTAATATTTTTTACAATGTGGTCTTTTATTTGTGATTTTTTTATTCTCAAAGTTTTATCAAATAACATTTTGATTTTTAATTAATAAAAAAATTGTGCAATCAGATTCCTAAGTGTTAATTGTTTTTTTTTTTTTTAAATAGTGAGTATTAGTAGGTCATAAAGTGGATATTTGTACCTAAAAGAAGTATTTTTTTTTTTTTTAATCATTATAAGCTTCAATATTTATTAGGTATTATTCTCATTCTCAATTCTCTTCGTTCTCTACTAAATTAAAATTACATCAACTTTTAATTATATTCTCACCCTTCATTCTCATCATTAGCTTTCATTTATGTTTTTATCATTTTGTTTGTGCTAACTAAATAGCCCTTTGCATTGGTCGGGGTAATTTTGGTTCTAAATTATCATTTTTTTAGTTCAAAAACAAGAGAGGCAACAAGGATTTTTTTTTTTTAATACATAAATTAGGCTTCTTGCAAAAAATATTAAAAGATGTGGGGTTTTTACTGTTTCTAAAATGTTCATCCAGACTTTATAAAAAAAACATGAAAAGATGTGGGTTTTTAGTGTTGCTAAGCTGTTCATCCAGCCTAAAACCACCATGGAGTATGGACTGTAACTCAGTCCTACTACGCACCTCCTTGCATGCATATGGGCTTTCTCTTTTCTCATGCGTCTAAAGTGGCTTGCTTTTCGCCACACGATTTGCCAATGTCGTTATATTTAACAGTTACAGAACCAAAACCTGCCGTCTTCTCTTCTCCCGCTGCATCTGTGTCAAGTGATGTGTTTGATGACTTTACTAGTCGATGATAATTTTTATAAGAAACGAGATATAATTGATGCGTTTAATTTCTCGTTTCTTATAAAAATTATCATCAACTAATACAGACATCAAACACATCACCATCATTATTTCAAAATCCAAAAGCATATCATATCATAAACATTTTATAGTCGTCAAAGTATATTGAACTTGCTAAAGTATAATAAAAAAACTATAAAATTAATTTCGATAAAATTTGATTATATAAAAAACAAGTAAATAAAAGATATGAATTATATTTTTAAAAATTGATTATATGAAAAAAAAAAAAGCAAATAAAAACAACTACAAAAAAAAAACTTATTTGAAAATCTATGCACAAGAGAAAATAAATCATATTCATTCACAAATAAAATTACATAAAAAAATAATTTGATGATAAATTTTATAAGAAACAAGAAATTAAAGACATCAATTATATATATATATATATATATATATACACACACATTTTATAATAACCAATCTATGTGAAGAAAAAAAATTGATTTTTCATAATTTTTACATCAAAATTAATTGAAAAAAGAACATAAATTGATGAAAAACATGAAAGAAAAAAATATTAACGATTGATTTTTTTATGACTTTCACTTCAATTCAATAATAATAAAAAAAAAAACATAAACTAACGGAAAAAATCAAAGAAAAAAAAAAAAAAAAAGAGGAGGCAGGGGGACGCGCCTGCCTTGGTCTGCAGGCTTAATGTAGCAGCTTAATGCAGTAGGCCAACAGACCAAACATTGCAAGGGATTAAATTTTCATTTTAAAAATTTAAGAATCAAAATGAAATATTATGTAAACTTCTGATATAGATATCAAAAAATAGCTGAAAAATCTAAAAAATGCTACTTTTATCTACAGTCTAGAAACAATGACTTGTGAGATAGTAAATTGTTCAAAAACAGATCTTTTTTAGCATATTAACAAACAAGCTAAAAGAATAAAGGAAAATAAACAGTGATTTTCACTGTTCATCTACTCTCAAAACACTGTGGATGCACTGTATATGAGAAGGCATTTTCGTTATTTTTCAACTATTTATGGACGTTGATATTGGAAGTTTATCTCATATTTCATTTTGGTCCTTGAAGTTTTAAAATAAAATTTTTATCCCTGGGTTGTTTTATGTCTCCATCTACTGCATTCAGTTAAGCTGCTCCAGTGGCCTACTTCTACAGGCCCACGGCAGGCAGCAGGCTTGCCTTTTTTTTTTTTTTGTTGCTTTTTTACACCGAATTATGTGTTTTTTCTTATCATTGAATTAAGTGTGAAAATTTTAAAAAATAAATCACAATTTTTTTTTATCTTCTTCTCTTTTTTTGTTGATTTTTTCATCAATTTATTTATTTTTAATTATTGAATTGGAGGTGAAAATTATGAAAAATCAATTATTATTTTTTTCACATAAACTAACGATTATGAAATATATATGATATTTTTTGACATTTTAAAATAAACAAATATATTATATTATATTACTCTTATTATTTAAGATCAATCATTTCATTTTGTTGTTTTCTTATAAACATTCGCATTAAATTAATTTTTTATTCTTCTTTTTTATGTAATTTCATTTGTTAATAAATTCAACTTATTTTTTCTTATGTATGGATTTTCGAATATGTTTTTTTTTTTTGTAATTGTTTTAGATGCTTATTTTTTTATATAATCAAATTTTAAAAATAGAATTCACGTGTTTTATTTACTTATTCTTTATATAATCAGATTTTATCAAAATCAATTTTATAGTTTTTTCATTGCACTCTACTAACTTCAATATGCTTTTTAGAATATAATTTCAATTTATTTTGTATACTCTAACCCAATGAATATGATCATAATATATATATATATATATATATATATATATTAGAGTTATTGATTTTATTATTAACTAACTATGTATAATGCATCTAAACTCATAACGCTAACCATTTGCTATTATTTTTTTATATTTTATTTTTTAAAATAAAATAATTGAAATAATGTTTTAAAAGAACAGATCTAATAATTTAAATATAATATTTTATATTAATATTATTTAGTATTTTGTAAATAAATATATATAAATAAAATGTATATATTCTTTTAAAAAAATCTTTTTAGCAATATGAAACAAGAATAAAAAAGATTTATTTATTATTTTTCATAGGTTTTATATTAATTGTTACTTTATTTATTCAATATAATGTTATAAAAAATATTGAAATGTTTTTTTAATTTTATATATAGATTATTATAATTTTTTATTTAATAATAAACACATAAAAAAGATCAAATTGTGTTTTTTGACTACAAAATTTATTAAAAATAAAAAAATAAATATAAAATTTTGATTAATTTAATATATTTTTTTATCGATGTTATAATACGTGTTATCAAATTAAGTGAATATATTTAGTTTGTCCATGGCATAACGCGGCAAAACAACTAGTTGCCTCTATATTTTCTTCAATGCGACTTTGTGGTCAGATCCTCTCACCTTTCTGCCCTCCTTCTATTGCCTTTCTTTTCTGGTTGATCTTTTTTTTTGTCAATTCGCAGCTTCTCCACGTAAAGACCTTTTTCATGCCCTTCTCTTTTATATTTATTTTGCTTTGTGCCATTGGGTGCTCTTCTGATGTTACTTCATTGCCCTTTCTTTTTTATCAGTTTACTCACTGCTTTTTGTGTCCTTTTTGAGAAATCTCATCATTTGTTAACCATAATATTTAAAAACTGTTTTCCCCATCTGCTTTCCTCCACTTCCACCATTTGATGCGCAGACCTCCACCCAGTGGCTGATTTGTTTTCCAATTCTTTGTACGCTTAATCGTCTAAGGTGAAAAAAATTTAATAAAAAAAAAAAAACAAAGGTTTAGACTTATCAGTTCTCTTGAAAAAAAAAAAAAAAAAAGCAAAACAAAATAAAGTTAGGTAATTTTATATTTAAAAATATATTTTAGAAAATACCAAAAAGAAGTGAAATTTTTTTGGAAAAAAGAATCATATCTATCATGATAAACTTCTATTTATCGTTACATTATATGTATATATATATATATATATATATATTTGAAAGATTTATTATTTTATTATTATTCACCCACGCATTGCATTTTTCACGTGGATTCATGTGAATTTTTAGGCTATTTTTAGACTTTTATTTGCGAGTTTTGTCTAATATTATACTTTAGTCTCTCATGTTTTCAAAAATTTTATTTTGACCTGACATCGCTTGCGTTGTAGACTGGTTTTTACATTTAGAGATAGAAGAAAACAAAAGGAGGGTAGGGAGGAGAACGATAAAGCCACTTGTGTCACCTGGTTTTTCATATTCCCACCATGTGGTTTTCTTTTTTCTATAATCTTTTTAGAAAAATATTTTTTATTATTGAATTTGAGTGTAAAAATAATAAAAATCAATCGTTATTTTTTTTCACATAGGCTATCGATGATGAAATATACATGATATGTTTTTAGATCTTTGAATGATTTATATATCTTACTCTTATTGTTTAAAACCGATCTCTTCAATTTATCATTTCTTATAAAAATTCTCATCAAATTTATTTATTTTTATTTTTCTCTTTATATAATTTTATTTATTAATGCATATGATTTAATTTTGGGTATTGCTAAATCCACTAAATATTTTGTTATTCCCACCAAATTTTTTTATTGTAAATTACCAACACACCACCACACATCAAGTTAGTGACTAGATAATGATTAAATGTAAGAGTTTATTAGCAATTTAAAATAAAAATTTTGTGGGAATAACAAAACTCATGGTGGATTTAACAATACCCTTTAATTTTCTCTATGTATAGATTTTCAAAAAAAATTACAATATAATTATTTTTTATTTTTTAAAATATATTGATATAATTTATATGATAGATTCTTATAATTTTTAAACGAGAGTATTAAAAAGCTAAAGTGTAGTTCAAATAATTTATCTAAAACTATTTTTAAAAAAAAATCAATCAATCAATTTAAAAATTAGAATTCACGTGTTTTATTTCGATCTATTAACTTTAATACATTTCTTCCAAATTAATTATTTTTAAATATTTTTTGATTTATACTACACTCTGAATTCACTAAATATGATCATGATGTATATAAAAAAAATTAGATCATTAGTTTTATTTGAAATTAACTATGTATATTTGGACATAGCACCAACCATTTATACTTTTTTTTTCAAATAAAAAAATTAAAATAACATTTTAGGAGAATCACCCAATAATTCAAATACAACTTTTCATATTGATATTATTGATTGTTTCAAAAATATATAGATAATGCACATAATTTTTTATAAATAATCTTTTCATCAACATTAAATAATAATGAAAAAAATCATTTGTTAATTCTTATACAAGTTTTATGTTAATTATTGCTTTATTTTTTATGCAATCTTGTGAAAATAAAGCATTTTTAAATTGTGGATTAAAATTTTTATTTAAATTACTGTAAGTTTTTATTTAATAATCAATGTATAAAGAAATCCAAATCATGTTTTCTAATTACAAAATTTATATATATAAAAAAAACATAAGGAATGAATTATAAATTAGACGGAATTTTTTTTTTTTACCTTTAATGCAATATATTTTAGTTGATCTACAATATAGTACAAGCTATCAAATTAAAATAATTTTTTCAAATGATTTTACATATTAATTTTATCGACTCACTCGCATAGCACGCATAGCCAACTAATCTAAATCTAATTCAAAAGGAAATTTAATCTAAATGTGTAAAGTTGGCCAAACAATATCAGCCAATTTAGAAGCATCACACCTCCATTTTTCTTGGGATCTATTCTCAAATTCACTAATCAATGCCAAATAGAGATTAGGCGTATTAAAAATATTGATTAATTTGCGTTGATACTGTGTCCCAAAATCTGATTTTAAAGGATATTATAGGCTCTTAGATACCATAATTGCTATGGATTAGATTTACTAGCATCTTTATAGAACTACAAACCAAACCTTTTTTCAGTATAGATAAATATGGATATTAAGTTTTCCTCCCTTAATGAAGCATAGTATTGGATTTTCATATCTTATGGAAGATTTGTTTTTTGTTAACTTTATCTAATCCCATGATTATTCCCATATAATACACATAGAAATTTTGCATAGATATGAAAAAAAAAATGAATATTGAATAAAGAGAACTAAAAATAGTCTTAATTTATACAGATTACAAAAAGTGTTACTGCAAAAAAGAGCCTGGAAAAATAGAAGAACTACTATGGTTTGACTTTGTTCAAAATTGCACAAAAAAAAAATTCAAATTAGTTTATCCTAAATTGGAGTGTTTTTTATTATTATTATTATTTTTTTTAATATAACCTGCAATGGATCTAATAAAAATAAAAAATAAAACTCTTAGATTGAATGAGTGATGATGGAGTTTTTCTTTGCTGGTTTCAGATAAGATTGATAACAACTCACTCCTTGACTATCCCAAAAGTGTTAAACAACGTAATCTAGTTGTAATTTTTCTTACATCACACTATCAATCTGCGTAATAAGATTCCAATAATCACGGAGTAAATAAAAGGTTTTTCTTAATTAGCTCAGAAAATAAGATACAATAGTCTCCTTGTCCATAAAAATATATATTTTTTTATCTAAGTATCTTATCTCATGTTGAAAATATAATTAATTATTTTCAAAACGAATGCAATAAAGTTTAACTCCTTTCGACGAGTTTGATTTCAAAGTTCAAATATTAACGAGAAATTCATTAGAGAATCAATTTATTTATTATTAGATAAATAACTTATTGGTTTTATTCATAACTCTTTAATAAATAGAAAAAATGCTTTAAATTGTTGCTCTTTAGTGGCAATAGAAAGAAATAAAAATGGATATTTAATTCTAATTACAGACAAATTTAAAAAGTTTACATAGACACTCATTTAAAAATAAATAATTAAAGAGTATGTAGAATGATGAATTTTTCCCTTGTATCACAAAAAAACGAAAAAAAGAAATTATTTTACGAGTGAGTGGTGCTAATTTTATGGGAAGATTGTTTGTGAAATGTTTAAAATCATTAGATTTATGAAATTTATTAGGGAAAAATTTTTGGGAAGTGATCTGTATGAAGACGAATGGTAAAATTAGCAAATGTATGACGGATCTTACAAAGAAAAAAGAACCCTTCTAGATTAGGATTAAAACGCTTTGGCAACTCAAGAGATTTATGGCAAGGTGATGCAAAACACTGGATACACACAATCCATTACTCATAAATGCAAAATCCCACAAAGAAAGATAAGCCTTTGTCGGTGAAGAAAGTCAGTTTTTGCTTTTAAAAGGAGACACTGTTCATAGGGATCGTCAAATCAGGACAAGAGACACTGCCCCCACTCTTCTGTCTTCTTTTGTCTTAAAATATTACGATAACTCTCATTCTCTATCTCGTCCTTTACAAAAACCAGCGGTTTCAATGTTTTGGATTGGATTGGCCTAACCTGCTCGACTTAAAAACTTGACCCTTCACCCTCCTCTCCTCCCATTTCCCATCTCCTTCCTCTTACTTTCTTGGGTTCTTGTTAAAGTGATTTGCTTTACTTTCTACCCCACTATTTCCACCATAGTCACCCCACTAGTTCACACAGTCATCAAGGCTCCTCTTTTATCACATAGTTTACTCTAGAGGACTATAATATATACCCCTTGTTGGAATATTATATGCCCTTTCTTCTTTTTCCTTTCTGAAACTAAGGAAAACATAGTCTTTGCTGCGATATTGACCTGTAACTCTCTCTAACCACAGTGTCAAAGACCACTTCTTTTGTTTGCTGGTAATCTTTCTTAGCATTTTTTTTTCAGCTTTCTATCATTTGAGTTTTCTTTTTGGTTTTTCTGATATGTGTTTGTGTTCTCGTGCGCTGTGTTTGCTGTTTCTAGTTGGTGGATCTATAAAGCTTGATTATTGGGTGTGGATGCTTGAATTTTTGTGGGTTTAGATTTGGTTTTGGGATATGGTTTTTTGATTAAATTGAGAATAACTGAGAGTTGTGTTTAGATCCAGGTGTTTGATATTATTTGAGGGCTATTGTCATATTGTTTGGAAAGAGGATTGAATTTCTATAACTGGTCAGTTTTTTTTTTTCCTGGAAAGTCCGACTTAATTTTTCGTAGAAGGTGAGATCTGGACAGTCAAACAAAAGATATATGGGTTAGATGATAAGATCAATTGATTTAAAGTCTAGTTTTTTCCTTCAATATTTGATCAAAAGACTCTGATTTGATCACAATCCATCTCTGCTCATGTATGAAGTCTCTGTGTGTGCTGCATGTTGATCTGTTTACTTCTTTCAATATAAAATAGTTTATGGTTCTATAGACTTTGGAATTTATGTTTTTCAGTAAGATATTTGTGAATTATAAAGAAGTTATTGATGTGTGGGATCTTGTTTGCATAATTATGCTTCAGTAAATGAAAAAGTGGATTATTGAATTGTGTTTAATGATCATATACACCTTATCTTTTTGGAAATTATAGGGGGTTGAGCAGTGTTTTAATACTGTAACTTTTACTAATGTTTACAGGTTTTGTCGGAAGTCGAAGCTTGGTGGAGAGTGGTTTGAAGAATTAAGGTTTGGGGATTGAAATCTATTTGAGATTCTTAAAAATTCTAGTCAATCTTGGGGGTTTCATTCTGTGAATGATGTCGATGTTTGATGAGATGGGCTTTTGTGGTGACATGGATTTCTTCTGTGCTCCACTTGTGGAAGGAGATGTGGCTGCTCCACAAACTGAACAAGAGGCTACTGTGGAGGATGATTATAGTGATGAGGACATTGATGTTGATGAGCTTGAGCGAAGGATGTGGAGGGACAAAATGCGTCTCAAAAGGCTAAAAGAACAGACCAAAAGTAAGGAGGGGATTGATATTGCTAAGCAGCGTCAGTCCCAGGAGCAGGCCAGGAGGAAGAAGATGTCGAGGGCACAAGATGGGATCTTGAAGTACATGTTGAAGATGATGGAAGTTTGTAAAGCTCAAGGTTTTGTTTATGGGATTATACCAGAGAAGGGAAAGCCAGTGACTGGGGCATCAGATAATCTTCGAGAATGGTGGAAGGATAAAGTCAGGTTTGATCGAAATGGTCCAGCTGCCATAACAAAGTACCAAGCTGATAATTCAATCCCAGGAAAGAATGAGGGTAGTAATTCAATTGGTCCAACCCCACACACCTTGCAGGAGCTTCAAGATACCACCCTTGGTTCGCTCTTGTCTGCACTGATGCAGCATTGTGACCCTCCCCAGAGGCGGTTTCCATTAGAGAAAGGTGTTTCTCCACCATGGTGGCCTTCTGGAAGCGAAGAATGGTGGCCTCAATTGGGGTTGCCGAAGGACCAAGGAGCTCCACCTTACAAGAAGCCTCATGACTTGAAGAAGGCATGGAAAGTGGGTGTTCTCACAGCAGTGATTAAGCATATGTCTCCTGATATTGCCAAGATCCGCAAGCTTGTGAGACAGTCCAAGTGTTTGCAGGATAAGATGACAGCCAAGGAAAGTGCTACTTGGCTTGCAATTATCAACCAAGAGGAGTCATTGGCTCGTGAGCTTTACCCTGATTCCTGCCCACCATTGTCGTCATCCGGAAGTGGATCTTTAGTTATTAATGATTGCAGTGAGTATGATGTTGAAGGAGCTGAAGATGACCCAAACTTTGATGTGCAAGAGTGCAAACCTGAGATGCTTAGCTATTCTAATTTAGGGATGGAAGGAATGAGGGAAAGGCAACCTCTTCGACAACAAGCATATCCAATTAAGGGTGAAGTTATCTCCAGCATGGATTTTATTCGAAAGAGAAAGCCATCCAGTGATATAAACATGGTGGATCAGAAGATCTACACATGTGAGGCTGTTCAATGTCCTTACAGTCAAATCCGATTGGGTTTCTCTGACAGGGCTTCTAGAGACAATCATCAATTAAATTGCCCATACAGAAGCACTTCATTAGAGTTTGGAGGGTCAAATTTTCACGTTAATGAAGTCAAGCCTGTCATCTTTCCTCAACCATCTGTACAATCCAAGCCAGCTGCTCCATTGGTGAACCCAGGCCCCTCTTCTTTTGATCTATCAGGAGTTCCAGAAGACGGGCAAAAGATGATCAGCGAGCTCATGTCAATCTACGACACTAATATCCAAGGCAATAAGAACACGAATCCTGTTAACAATTTGGTCACAGAAGGTCACAATGTTTTCCAGCCAAAAATCCAACACCAACAGGACAATCGCATTGTTTTCCAGCCGAAGATCCAACACCAACAGGGCAATCACAATGTTTTCCAGCCAAAAATCCCACACCAACAGGACAATCACTTCCGCGGTCAAGGCAATGTCATCGACGGAAATATCTTCGAAGAGTCCAACATCAACCATAGCCAACAAATGTTTCCTCATGAAGGGGATCAGTTTGACAGGTTTAAGCCTTCGAATTCTCCATTCGAGACAAACCAAAACAACAATAGCTTCAACTTGATGTTCAGCTCTCCATTCGATTTGTCCTCTTTCGACTACAAGGAGGACCTACAAGGACTGGGAATGGATGCTCTGCCAAAGCATCAGCAGGATGTTTCAATCTGGTACTAATAATAAGTTACCAAAACTCTCCTTGGAGTGGAACGACTTTTGTGATATTGCATTATACATCCAGTGCAAACTTACACTGGCTAGAGACTGATATGTGGCCGCCATTGTATTATCTTCTTTCTCTTGTTAGGTATAGAATTTAGATATAGCTAGCAAGCAGGTACCAAATGGGCTAATAAAGTTTGTGTTAAAGTCCCATTAATTAACCTGCTGGTTATTACATGTTAAGGTAAGATATGACTGTCAAATAAATAAGTTTAGATGTATTTACTATTTTTCGGCTGTTACATGGTTAATCACTCAACCATGCTTCTAGGGTTAGGAATCTCATCTGATGGTCTGTAAATCTCTTGTCATGCCTACGTCATGTTGGCTGCTGCTTGCTGAATGAAAAGGTTGTCTTGTGAGTCTTTAATGGCCAACCCCATGTGATTGCTAGACCCTACAAAAATTAGTTGAAGATGCCAAGTTGACCAGGATTCTTCTTTAACATTAATTTTGATCAAGTTGGCTATTCGGCATGGTGGGTATGGTATCGTTCAACTCAAGGACGGCTCCTCTTGGAAGTTCTTGAGATCTTTTCATCGCTTATGGAAATTTGAACAGCTGTCAACAGTCAACATTTTTGCGTGATTTAGATGCAAGAATTGAAAAACTTGTCGTCTCAATCTTGTCTTCATGTAGGTCCCTTGTTACAAGACAACACAGGCTAAAAACAAAACATCCATGATTTTCAATGGTTGAAGCTTAGCTTTTATGTATTTATACCAGTAAATTATAAATTAATCCATCTAATTTAGAAAAACAAATTAATCAGGTTTTTTCTTTTTAAAATGAATTATTTAGTCTCTTATTTTTTAATTTTATCAATGATTTAATCTTTTCATCAGTTTTTTTAATTAAATTGCAGATTTTTTTTTCAAAACGTTATTTTTTTATGGAAGAAAAGGAAGAGAATGGATGGAGGGAAGAAATAAATATAAAAAAATGGTGATTTTTTTTAAAAAAAGACTAATTTAATAAAAAATTGAAAGAATTAAATTATTAAAAAAATTAAACATAAGAAATTAAATAATTATTTTTTAAAACAAAAAAGATTAATTAATTTATTTTTTGAGACGAAAAAAACTAATTTATAATTTATTCATATTTATACTATTTACTTATAAATCACGTGAGGAATTAATTTTCCTTCCGTCTCTTACCTTCTCACCTTTTTATTTTTTTAATATTGATCTGTGCTCTTCGAGTAGTGATGGTGGGAGGAAAGTGGCTGAGTAATTCATCCTTCGACAAGCCCTTTTAGATAGCCACCATGATTTCCTTAGAGGAAAATTATCCATCCAATCAAGTCTTATCCTAATTATTATTTTTAATTGTTACTATTTATTTATTTATTTATTTATTTTGTCTTTATAGATCAATCCAAATAATACAGGGCTAAGTGTTAACTCAAAGAACCAAACCAAATTTATCACCATCCATAGTTATTTTTTAGAAAAATTTCAATCATTAAATTTATGAGATTCATTAGCAGATTTTGCCTCTATTTTTTAATCAATGACTTGCACGAACATCTTCTACGAAAATCCCTTCTTTTTTGCGTTTTTTTTCAATAAATATTCTGTAAAATTAAGATTATTCTGCATCAAAATGTTGATTAAAAGATCATTTAAAGCAAAAACTAGTTTGTTGATGAATTAAGAAAAGAGTTTATGGTTCCTCCTTGGAGTAAATTATAAATTAGTCCATCTCGTTTTAAAAAATAAATTAATTAGTTTGTTTTCTTTTCAAAAACTAATTATTTAGTTTCTATGTTTTAATTTCATTAATAATTTAATCATTTCATAATTTTTTTAATCATGTTAATGATTTTTGTTCTCAAATTGCTCTTTATTTGATTTTTGATTGAGGAGAAAGAAAAGAAGTGGATAAAAAAGAGAAATAAGACATCAAAAGAAGTAATTTGAAACAAAAAAAAATCATTAATCTAACGTAAAACTAATAATAGGAATACGTTATTGATAAAATTAAAACATAAATAACTAGATTATTAGTTTTAAAAATAGAGGGAGTAATTAATTTATTTATCGACATAAGAGGAACTAAATTATAATTTACTCTTCCTTCTCTATCTAGCCCAAAAAAAAAAAAAAAAGACGCTGACTACAGTTAATTTTTTAATTAGCTGAATTGGAAAGAGTGAAGATCTAAAAAAAAATTAAAGCTGAGTTAGCAAACTTCAAGGATCTTTAGCGTACATTAATCAAGCAGTTGAAGAAGAAAGACATGACAGATCACAAAGCTAATCAAATGTTTCAAGAAAATGTAAATTATGATAAGGTCACTGCGACGAGGCAGCAAACCGTGCAATTGACCTTAGCCGGGATGCAAAAAACCATTAAAAATAGGAACAATATTGTTCTTGTCAAGGGCATCTCTCTCTCTCTCTCTGTATGTATATATATCTTCAATCAGTTTTGGCGACCAAATCATGTTTTTGTTTATATATCTTATGAAAATAAAGCATTTTTTGAAATTTTGGATTAATTTTTTTATTTCAATTATTGTAAGTTTTTATTTAAAAATCCATGCATGAAGAAGACCAAATCATATTTTTTAATTACAAAATTTATAGAAAAATCACAAGGAAGAATAAATTATAAAGTAGATGGATTTTTTTATCTTTAATTCAATGTATTTTAGTTAACCCAATATAATATAAGTTATCAAATTAAAATAACTTTTATAAATGATTTTACATATTAATTTTATCCGATCCGAGACATAATACGAGCAACCAACTATTCTAAGCCTTTTTTTAAATGATTTTACATGTTAATTCTATTCGACCCATTATGTGATGCGAGCAACCAATTGGTTTAAACTAAATTCAGAAGGAAATTTAATATGGATGAGTAAAGTTGCCCAAAAAATATCAGCCAATTTAGAAGCATCACACCTCCATTTTTCTTGGGATCTATTCTCAAAATTCAATAATTCAGGCCAAATAGAGATTAGACGTACTAAAAATATTGATTAATTTGTGTTGATACTGTGTCCCAAAATCTAGGAAACCAAAATCTGATTTAGAGGACATTATTGGCTCTTAAATACCATAATTACTATGGATTACATTTACTTGCATCTTTAGAGAACTACAAACCAAACCTTTTTTCAGTATTGATAAATGTGGATATTAAGTTTCCTTCTTAATCACGTAAGAAATAAATATAAAATACAAAAAACTGGCGATTTGAAAAAGAAAATGATAAAAGTTTGAAACATAAGAAACTAAATGATTAAGTTTTAAAAAGAAGAACACTAACCAATTTATTTTTTAAAACGAAAGAACTAATTTATAATTTACTCGTATTTATACTATTTACTTCTTAATCACGTGAGGAATTACTCTTTCTTCCGTCTCTTACCTTCTCATCTTTTCATTTTTTTTAATATTGATTTGTGCTATTCAAGTATCAGCTAGGAGCAAAGCGGCTTAATATAATTCATCCCTTAACAAGCCCCTTTTAGATAACTACCATGATTTTCTTAATGGAAAATTATCCATCTAATCAAGCTCATCCTAATTATTAGTTTTAATTGTTACTATTCTATTTTTATTTATTTTTGGTCTTTATAGATTAATCCAAATAATATAGGGTTAGTCGTTAACTCAAAGAACCAAACCAATTTTATCACTATCAATAGATATTTTTTAGAAAAAATTAAATCATTAAATTTATGGGATTCATTAGCAGATTTTGCCTCTGTTTTTGAATTATTGACTTGCACAAACATCTTCTACGAAAATACCTTTTTTTTGCCTTTTTGTTATATAGATATTCTGTAAAACTAGGATCATTCTGCGTGAAAAATGTTGATTAAAAGATCATTAAAAGCAAAAACTAGTTTGTTGATGAATTAAGAAAGGAGTTTATGGTTCCTTCTTGGAGCAAATTATAAATTAGTTCCTCTTGTTTAAAGAAACGAATTAATTAGTATGTTTTCTTTTAAAGACTAATCATTTAGTCTCTACGTTTTAATTTTGTCAATAATTTAATCATTTCATGAGTTTTTTTATTAAATTAGCGATTTTTTTTGAATTACTCTTTATTTGGTTTTTGGTTGAGGAAAAGGAAAAAAATAGATAAAAAAGAGAAATAAGACATCAAAAGAAGGACAATTTAAAAGAAAAAAATCATTAATCTATCGTAAAACTAATGAAAGGATTATGTTATTGATAAAATTAAAACATAAATAACTAAATTATTAGTTTTAAAAATAGAGGGAATAATTAATTTGTTTCTCAAAATGGGAGTTACTAATTTATAATTTACTCTTCCTTCTTTACCTAGCCCAAAAAAAAAAAAAAAAAGCGCTGACTACAGTTACTTTTTTACTTAGCTGAATTGGAAAGAGTGAAGATCTAAAAAATAAAATAAAAATCAAAGCTGACTTAGCAAACTTTAAGCATCTTTGGCGTACAGCGACCAAGCAGTTGAAGAAGAAAGACATGACAGATCACAAAGCTAATCAAATGTTTCAAGAAAATGTAAATTATGATAAGGTCACTGCCACGAGGCAGGAAACCATGCAATTGACCTTAGCTGGGATGCTAAAAAGCATTAAAAATAGGAACAATATTGCTCTTTTCAAGGGCATATCTCTCCTTCTTTAGGTCATCTCTCTCTCTCTCTCTCTCTCTCTCGATCTTCGATCAGTTTTGGTGGCTGGCCTTTAAATAAATAAGAGTTTCGGGTGTTCTTAATACACTTGTTAAAGAGTTATTTAATGATTTTAATCTTCACCATATTTTCTTTTTTCATTTAAAATTTACTGTAAACAATTAAAAATTGTTTTATGTCTTTAATAAATCATTGATTTTTATTTAAATATTCGATTTTTTTTTTTTTACAAAAATAGAGTTTAATAAATGCACAGTGAGATAATGCTTAGCGGTTGTTTTAAATGTGCTTTTTTAAATAAATAAATATAGAACAAGGAATATAATATTTTCAAAGCATGCATGGGGCCATTTTCCATTATTATAATATGGATCAATGTTTCTGGCCATTCGTTATATATATTTTAAGAAAAATAATATCATTGGGAGTGATGGGATCCCATGTTCTGAGTTATCTATATTTATTATTATTTTGAGAATCATGATTTGGGATTTAAATTTGGGTAGAGTACATTTTTTATTCAGATTTTTTTTTAACGTTTGGTCATATTTATTAAATCTAAACTATTAAAATTCAAAACATGCTTAAGAAGATGATTTTAGCACATTTTTAAAATGAAAAAAACACTATTTATTTTCTCAAAAAATATGATTAGTTCTGGTAATGATGAACTAGAAAAGACCTCCGAAAGATTCAAATCTGTAAATTTTTAGACTTCAAAAAATACATGGTTTGGACTTGTTAGGTTTTCCAGTCCTACTTGTTTGCATAAAACGATGGCCATCTGACCTTTTCTTTGGGCTTGAAAATATCTCGGCCCGGTGACTTAATTTCATCTGGGCTGGACTCAAGTCTTTCCATTACACTTAAGGCTGGAGGAGCTGCTCCCTTTAGCAGGCCTTATTAGGCCTTTCGTTTTTTCAGCTCTAAGCCCATTATTATTTGAACGAAATCATTGCATACTCGCTACTACTTGGCTAATCATTTTCCACTTGGATTAATCAATCGCAGCACCTCTGGACTTGGAGATTTAAAGACTTATTTCGAGAGAGAAATGAATTTGTTTTTCACTTTATTATTTAGAATTAAAATTAAAAGTAAGTATTTCTTCCGTCTCAAAAAAATTATTTTATTTTTTATTTTCGTTTGTTCCATAATGATTGTTTGGTAAAATCATTTAAATAATATATTTTACTACAATATCTGTAATTAAATTTCATCGATAAATGATTTACAATTAAAAGATGGTATTTTTGAAAAAATCAACACAACAACCTATTTGAAACTAAAAGGATATGAAAAAGAGCATTTTTGTTTTTAATAAAAACATCATTCTTTTTTTTTTTTTTAATTTCAAGTGATAAACGATTTGTTTTTCATGTCATTATTTAGAATTGAAATTTAAAAGCAAGTATTTCTTTCGTTTCAAATAAATTATCCCATTTTTTATTTAAATGGTTTTTTGTTCGAATAATTTATTTTACTACAATACCTGTAATTAAATTCCATCGATAAAGAATCTATAATTTAAAAAAGATATTTTTTAAAAAATACGAATAAAATAGATGACAGAACATGTCAATTACATATATAAAAAGTCAAATAGCAATTTTTTTAAAACTGAATGAATTAAAAAAAAAACTTTTTTATATAAACATCATTCTCGATATAAATAATCAATTTATCAATCGAAGAAAAATTTAATTTCAATATACAAAACTTGTCAGAAAACTTGAAATTTAAAAGAATCAAGGCAAAATACTATCAAGAGAGGAGACAGACATGACAAATCAAAAAGTGGAAGAGATAGAAGAGGCCATTCGAGTAGCCTGGGATGCCCGGCAAGGGGCATGGATGCCTTATCACAATGTGTACATTAATTTGGACCCCTTTGTGTTAAAGGACAGGCCTATGGGTTGCTCTCAAACTAGCAAATATACTCCCCTATCTTGACTGTAGTGGAAGAGGAATGAACAGATGGCCCTCTTCGAGGTATAATTTGACCTATTTTTCTTACCAAGAAAGACAAGTGCTTGTGGTTTTTCTGTACAATAAAGACAAAAAAAATTTTACCTCGAAATAATTATATGGTATAGCAGGGTTTTTTATTTTTATTTTATCAAGTATCCTTGTCCCACATTAGAGATATGATAAATTATATTTGGAACAATAACGATAAGTTTTAATCCTTTCGAATCTTGCATATTGACAAAAAATCCATTTAGGGACTAGTTTGTTTATCACTTAACCAACAACTTGTTAATTGATATACCAATATTTATTATTATTATTATTATTGATGATTCAATCTTTACTTAAATAATAGGATAATTTATAATTTATCTTTATATCTCTAATTTAATTAATTTTATGTTTGAATATACATTATGTCTAATTTATCATTCGATGAAATTTTTAGGCTAAATTATCCAAATTAGTCAAATAATTTACACATGAAAGCTTTCTATTTGATTGATTTACGAGAATATTTTGAAAATAAAATTAGTCATGTGCATTTACGTGAATAACTCAATAATTTGATTTGAAATTCTTGACAAAAAAATAAATTAAAAACTTAATTTATATTCAAAGATAAAATTGATGTAATTAATAATAAAATTGAAACCTTCCATAAACCCATTTTTTGTTTTATTTTTTATTTTTCTAAATTGGGCTGTCTATAATGTAAAACATTTCAAAAACTCTAGATATCTTGTAGCCTAATTCTTGTTTTTGTACTTTGCAAAAAAAAAAATTCATAGTGATTGAATATTTTATAAGATCTATTTCTATATCATTTTTATTTCTCAATTAGGTGTTTGTTGTACATTAATTTCAATTATGGGAAGAATAATAGAAATAATTGTAAGAACCTACAGTTTTAGTAGCTCTTTCTTTTACACCTAGAAGTGTTTTTTTACCCTTTTGTATTTTTTTACTCAATGTGGAATATATAGAAACAAGGAAAAGGAGAAGATGAGGTGGCAAACAACCATTGCTCAGCACAAATCTATAATTCCACTAGGAGATAATTAGTGATTTTAATAATGACAATGCATTAGGATTATCTTGGAGACTTAATCTCCAGTTCTCCACAATGAGCCGTAAAAAAAAAAAAAAAAAATTATAAACCCATCAATTCACATAATCTAATAATACTTTAAATAAAAAACAATTAGAGATAACAACTCAATCTGTCATCATACAATAATAACATAATTATTCAATCTTTTATATAAAAAAAAGGTAATTATTCTATTTATCTTTGTATATTTAATTGAACCAATTTTATTTTAAATATACATTAAGTTTTCAAATTAACTTCTTTTTTGAGATTTTCATACTAAATTACCAGAATTATTAACGTGATTTGCATATGTTTGTTACTCTTAATCCAAATAATTAATTTAGTTTAAAAACCTTACAAGTTAGTCCCAAATACCTCAAATCTTGACAGAAAACATTGGAATTAGAAACTTTTGCAGTAACTACAAAACCAGGTAGGTTACAAGTCAAAACACCAGCTAATCTCAAACAGACTCAACCTCAATATTTTATCTTACCATGTAAGTCTGTAACCAGCCATTACCCAAAAGTAAATCTGTCCTTTTCTTGATAGTTATTGCACACTTCCAATTTGACAAATAATATAGTAACATTACACCACTCACCTACTCCTACTTTTTCTTTGTCTGATCTGCTATGCTCTCACTCTCTCCAAGCTTCATTAACCAGTTTTACACTTCTTGGTTGTGTTTCTTTGTCTTTGCTTCTTCTAGATAGCATTCGCTGTTTTTGCACATTTCTAAGTAGCCACTTGTGTTTCTAACCTCATACTGTCCTTTCATTTACAAAGCTGGTCAGGTTCCTAGAACTTTCCTTTACTGCTTTGTACATTGGAAAAAGGAGTGGACTTTGTTGACCTGGAGTTGCTTGTTTTTGCTCCCATTGTTGTAAAAATTGCTTATTTGGACTTCATTGTTGTTTGATGAGTTGCTTAGCTGATAAAGATATAGAATTTGTGCATGTTTGTCTTCCTTATGTCATCAAGTTTCTGCCTTTTTTTTTTTTTTTTCCTTGTTGGGTGTATTTTGATTTAAGTGGACTGAAAGTTTCCATTTCTTTGATAATGGGGTTATGATTTTTGGGTATAATCAATCTTTGAAACTTATATTAGCAAACCTCACTAGTAATTTTTGTTTTTGGTTCATTTTAATGTTTAATATCCCACTTGTTCTCTAGTTGCTTGGATTCTCGTCTTAATAGTATCAAATGTGATTACATTTTGATTTATTTCCTTTTATACTTTAACCTTATGGTCTCCACTTTTTTGTAACTTCCGGGAAGTCGCATTTGATACTTCTTGGAAACCAGTTCAATCTCTTTTCTACTGGTTCTTTGGTGGTTTGGGATAAGTCTTGGAGCAATGCAAACAGTCTGTTTGATTTTGTTGTTGCTGGTACCGGTTGCATTAGGACAATCTGATTTCGAAGCACTTTTGGAGGTCAAGAAGGGCTTTGAGAAAGACCCATCTGGGAAAGTTTTTGATTCATGGGACAGTAAGTCCTTGACATCTGATGGGTGTCCTCAGACCTGGTATGGAGTTGTCTGTGTTAATGGTCGTGTGGTTTCAATCAGTCTAAATGATGTTGGTCTTACTGGAAACTTTAGTTTCCCTGTTCTTGCTGGCTTTAAAATGCTTCGAAACTTGTCAATTTCGAACAACCAGTTAATGGGTACTATCTCGAATGTTGGTTCCATTGAGTCCCTGGAGTTTTTGGATCTCTCATCCAATTTGTTTCATGGGTTTTTACCTTCTGGGGTGGCAAAGTTGAAGAATTTAGTGCTCTTGAATCTTTCTTCGAACAATTTTGAAGGCATTGTTCCCTCTGGTTTTCGCAATCTTGAGAGCTTGGAGTATTTAGATTTGGGGCATAATAGCTTTTCCGGGGATATAATGGGTCTTCTTTCCCAGCTGGGCAGTGTTGTTCATGTTGACTTAAGCAGCAATCAATTCTCAGGTTCATTGGATTTGGGGCTTGGAAATGCTAGTTTTGTTTCATCAATTAAGTATTTGAATATAAGCCATAATTCCTTGGTTGGTCAGTTATTTGCTCATGATGGAGTGCCATATTTCGACAGTTTAGAGGTCTTTGATGCTAGCAATAATCAGATAACAGGTGCTATACCTCCTTTCAAATTTGTTGTGTCACTTCGGATTCTTAGACTTGGGAGCAACCAGTTATCAGGCTCTTTACCAGAAGCTCTTCTGCAGGATAGCTCTACAGTGTTGACTGAGCTGGATCTTAGCCTCAATCAACTTGAAGGTATCTTGACCCTAAAATTGTACTGTACTCTTTCATTACGTATACCTTTTTCCCATTTCCTTGTGAGTTGTAACTTCTGGTAAAGTAGACTCAAAACTACTTTGGCCTTCGATCTATTCCCTCATGCGAATTGCAGCATTGGAATTATTTGTTTGCTTATAAAATAGAATTTTAACAACCCTGGTAAGGATAACGGAAGAAGTATTCCTTTCCCCTTTCATGTTTAAACATTTAAAGTCAATGTGAAATCAGGAAAATATTGAAAACTATTACTGCAGGAACACTCTTAATGCAGTAAGCAATTTGAAATGCATTTATAATGTAGAGATTTTCGTTTCCCAACCTTCTAGTATGTGTTTCAGTTTTCAGTGGTTAACAGTTATCAGATGATTTGCAATTCGAGACTTTTTATACCATATCATCTAGTGTATCAGTAATTTTAATTGACCTAAATCCGTGGCAGGTCCAGTAGGAAGTATCACCTCTACAACTCTGAAGAAGCTGAATATATCTTCAAACAAACTTTCAGGCCCTTTACCAACTACTGTAGGGCACTGCGCCATCATTGATCTGAGTAATAATATGCTCTCAGGGAATTTTTCCAGAATCCAGAATTGGGGAAATTATGTGGAAGTTATTCAGTTGAGTTCAAACTCATTGACAGGGACTTTGCCTAACCAAACTTCTCAGTTCTTGAGGCTGACTACACTGAATATATCAAACAACTCATTAAATGGTGATCTTCCACCGGTGTTGGGTACATACTCAGAGCTAAAAGTGATTGATCTTAGTCTCAATTTTCTTACCGGGTTCCTCCTTCCAGATTTCTTCACCTCAACAACATTGACTGACCTCGACCTGTCAGCCAACAATTTCACAGGGGAAATACCTCTTCAGGAGGTCCAAGACTCCAGACAAAATTTGAGTTTGGTGTCTCTTGACCTGTCACATAACTCTTTAGATGGCTCTTTGCCCCCAGAAATCAGTAAGCTCCATAACCTGTTGTACCTTGACCTATCTAACAACAAACTGAATGGCAGCATCCCTGCGGACCTTCCTGACGGATTGAAAGGACTTGATGTGTCTTCTAATAATCTTTCTGGTGTGGTTCCTGATAACTTGAGGCGGTTTCCTGATTCAGCTTTCCATCCAGGAAATTCTTTGTTGATTTTTCCTTATCTGCCATTCTCACCAAAGGGGGCTCCAGCCCTGGTAAATATAAAGGGGGTCGATCTCGTATGAAACCTGCTATCAAAATTGCCCTAATTGTAAGTATGGTTGGTGCTGCTACTCTATTAGCTCTTCTGTCTATGGTGATTTATTACCGTGCCCACCGGCTGACACATGGTACCAGAAGTTTGAAAGGAGATGAGAGAAACGAAGGTGTTTCGCTGGAGGGTTCTTCCATTTCTTCATCAGGAACCAACAAGAATCCAAGCCAATCATCTGCTTCAATTAGCTTCCACCAAAGTCACTCCCTAGCCCAGATGGGGTCTGCATATGATCAAGGGGACACATCATCAGTTCCACAGAAGTCTAAAAATCATCTCGAATCAATAAGAAAAGATGAAGGGTTAACTTCTCCTATGTCCCTTTTGTCATCTTCAAATCCATCACCTTCTAAAAGCCCAATTTCATCTGAGAATCCTGGTGCGATGAGAGTAAAATCTCCAGACAAACTGGCTGGGGATTTACATCTTTTTGATGGCTCTCTAACGTTCACTGCAGAAGAACTTTCATGTGCTCCAGCAGAAGTTGTTGGGAGGAGTTGCCATGGTGCACTATATAAAGCTACACTTGACTCCGGTAATGTACTGGCAATAAAGTGGTTAAAAGAGGGAATAGCAAAAGGGAAGAAGGATTTTGCAAGGGAAGTAAAGAAACTTGGGAGCATCAGACATCCAAATTTAGTTTCTCTTCAGGGTTACTACTGGGGTCCAAAGGACCACGAGAAGATGCTAATATCGAAATATATCAACGGCCAATGTTTAGCCTTCTATCTTCAAGGTAAGAATCTCTGGTGATGCAGAAGCTTTTAGAATGCTTTGCATGCCTTATCCATACTCGTACAAAATCATCTTGAATAACATGTATACTCATGTATTGCAAAGTTCTGATTGGCCTGAAAAATCTTCAATTACTGGATGTTTTACACTGCAATCTGGTGGGCGCCAAACAATTTTCTCTATATGTTGCGATGCACATTTCAATTGGCACTTTCACCATGAGAAGACTTCCTGACCACATTTTGTCTGTCCTTGTTCCATTTAGGGCATTATAAAATGTTTATCTACCTCTCTTTTTTCCCCCTTAGGTTATAAGAATATGCTGTGCCATTCTGTCAGTTGAAATGTCAACGATTTTCAAATGCGCTATTATGCATCATAACTAAACGAATTACTCAAGTCTTCCTTTTACTATCGCCCATGTTTTTTTCCTCTTAGACAAAATTTGTCCAAGGAAACGGGAAGATGGGTTACTGACAGAAATTCTACGTTGTTTCTTTTCTTATGTTATGCAAGATATTTTACTTTTCAAGGATTTACAAATTATCTTTGTGTCTTGTGCAGAATCAGAGCCAAGGAAACTTCAGTCTTTATCTCTTGATGATCGGCTAAGGATTGCTGTTAATTCTGCCCGGTGTCTAAACTACCTACACAATGAAAGAGCAATTCCCCATGGCAATCTCAAATCAACAAACATTTTATTAGAACCTCCAAACATGAATCCATTGCTCACTGATTACAGTCTCCATCGAATACTGACATCGGCTGGCACAGCAGAACAAGTTCTGAATGCAGGTGCTCTTGGCTATCGGCCACCTGAATTTGCTAGTTCAAGTAAACCCTGTCCGTCATTGAAGAGTGATGTTTATGCATTCGGGGTTATCTTGTTAGAGCTCCTAACTGGAAAAAGTTCACTGGATATAGTTTCTGCAGATCAAGGAGTGGTTGATCTGACTGACTGGGTGAAGCTATTGTCTGAAGGGAACCGTTCTAGTGAGTGCTTCGATAAACTGCTTGTGGATACCCCTAATGTAGAGGCACCCAGAGTTCTTGATGAAATACTCCAGGTAGCTCTTAAATGTATCCTACCAGCATCCGAAAGGCCTGACATGAAAACTGTGTTTGAAGATCTTTCAACAGTAGCATTATGAAAGGCACCTCACAGCAGATAGAATTTCTAACCATTGTTTTCGCAACTAACCCAGTTTATTAGTTTTACTGTTCTTTAATTTTTTGGAGGGATACTGCTTCTAATTGTTTTCATTACCAGTTAATGTTCTTAATCTGCAGTTTATCCTGTGAATAATGTCTTTGGATAGGTGGTTTTCTGGCTTTTTTAGTCTGAGGAAATTAGGGAAATAAAGATTTTCTCAGATGGGTGGGTTAAGCCATTCTTTGTTAACCCTATCTGGTAATGTATAATCTTAACAATGTTCATTTCAAGATGCAAACATATTCTTTTGCAAGTTATTTATTAAAATTTTTACTTCTTTTTTTCCACATTGTGACAGCGGGAAAGAGTACTTGCCCCTCTAGCAAAATGAAAAATGGTGGATGATGACATTCTCCAAGTTCTTGTCTTTTACTTTTTATGTTTTCTCTGTAAGAATGAACCTATAAGTTCGTCTATCTTAGGTTTTCATGCAGATATCAGCTGGCATTCTAGCTTGTTCCTTGATTTTTCCGAACAGATGAATCATGGGAGTCTGGTGTGCAATGTTTTCCCTGTGAAACGTAAGGAACTTTTTTACTCGTGAATTCTCCTCATACTTTTCCCATAGATTGAGATGATGAAAACTAAGATTCAAGTCCCATAACATCGATTAATGCATCTTGTGATGAATTTTAACGCGAATCAATTAAAAATTCCTGGCAAAAAATTCAGCAACGTGATTAATCTTTATTTTCATAATCGCCAAATAATCGGTAATTCCTCGGAAAAATTGCAAAACAATCGTTCACTTTTTTCCGAAATCGCCAACTCCTCGCTAATTAATCGTAGAAGCAAAATTTAATTGTCAAAACCTCGCACATGTTGGTCCCCGATTCATAGCTATTTACTCTGTAAATAGCGAAATCCTCGCCAATTAATCCAAAAAACATCATTCTTTAGCGATTAATCGGCATTCCCTCTGAAAATATCGTCCACATACTTTGAAATAATCGGGAAACGTCATCATTTAATCGGCATGTTTTGCGACTATTTGTCAATTCCTCGCCCATTTACTCGTCTGTGTGCAAAAATCGGTTTGTAATGAAAACACGTGTCAACAAATCGGCATTTTCTCGTCAATTAATGGGAAATAGGGGGCTCTTATTTACGGTGATCGGCAAAATTAACAAAAATTTGCGGAACTCTATTCTACCACCTGAACTTCATTTTTATCCCATCTTGTTGTTTACAACTTTTCAATATTATCCCAAAAGTTTATTGATAATGACAATTTACTCCCAATCGTTAGATAACTTATATTTTTTAAAAGCTTTTTTAGATTTTTTCGCAAGACATTATAAAGTGGCAATTTTTGTTGGAAAAAAAAAGTTATGAAAAAAGTTTTTAACTTATTTTTCGTTGATAAATATGCTATGAGTAATTTCTTAGGATCCAGGGCACCACAAACTAATTTTTGCATATTAAAATTTAATATTTCTCTTGTGGAGTTTCAAATGTATTACGAATCATTATATTTGCATCGATGCATTTATCAGAATTTTCTTCAAGATCTTCTATTGGATTTAAACCAAACAATAATGTGATTACAAACTCATTAACTCTCGAGTTAAGATTCCAAAGATTATAAATTTGTCAAATTATTCTATATTGATTGTGAAAAAAAACTTGAGTGTTTGGTTAAATGCAAGAAAAAGTCTTTTTTTGATCTTGCTTTTGGGTTAACAAAGACCAAATAGCACCTAACGCTAACATCAAAGCTTAAATTAAATAATTTTTAATGTGTTGACACTATATAAATTGATAAGAAATAATCAACTTAATATTCATTGTGTGAAAGAAGAATTATTGAATTAATTATCTCATATTTATTGTGAAAGAAAAAAGTATTTGATTATGAATACGAGAACTAACTTTACTCTTTAAGCTGTTTTTTGGAATTGAAAAGATTCTAATAACATCCAATAGAACATTATAATCAAATGGTGGGACTTTTAACCTAAGCCCCCTCCTCAAATGAAGATTAAGCATTTTATTTATAACCAGGTAAAAAAAGTTAACGATCATACGTCTTGAAAATAATGTATTGTGCATATACATCTTGAAGTACTGGAAATATACTTGTTGGGATAGAATAAACCAAAACTTTAGTTGGGTATTTTGGAGATCGACGCTAAGAAGAGAAAGAAAGAGAAACAAAGACATTAAGGAGGGAGAACGAGTTTCTGAACGAAAAAGGAATGGGTTGTAAAATAATAGGGGTATTTTCCTCTTCTTCTTTTGTTATTATTAAAATCAGTTTTTAATTTTTTTCATTCAGATAAAAAAATTATTTTTTAAAACTCACAATGTCATATGTCAATCATTGACGGGTGGAGTCCAATAATAACATATTCATTAGTTGAAAATAGATATCATCATAATAAGGAGTTCGAAGCAAAATTTTACGAAAAGTAAATGGTTTTAATTAAAAAAAAAAACCCGAAGAGTATAGAGTCTATGTATATGAGAAAAACCGAATAAAACTTTTCAATATCATTCCAAAAGTTTATTAACAGATACAATTTACTCCTAATCATTGATGATTTATTTTAAAAAGCTTTATATATATTTATATATATTGTAAGACATTATAACATGGATATTTTGTAGGGAAAAGAAGAAGAAGAAGAAACGTGTGAAAATTGTCAACTTTTTGTTATTTTACTTAGAAATATGCTCCAAATTTAAGTCTTTCTCCTCAAGGTAAATTAGATTAAGCATTTTATTTATAATCAAAACAAAAAATTAATTTTTATACGTCTTGAAAATAATTTACTGTATACATACACCCTGATGTACTGAAAATATACTTGTTGGGGTGGCAAAAACCAGAACTTGCATGGTTCTTGGCATTAGATTTACGTCTCTTCGTAAGGTTTTTTTCGTAAATTTCGTACTTCGAAGTGTGAAAATTATTGCTTTCCTCATATATGTATATGTGCAGATTAATAGAAATGTCAGGTTTGCAATATAAAATCTTTATATAACTAACCAATGCTTTATTTTATTTTATTACATAAAAGAAATTCAAACTCAAAACTCTTTTTAAAAATACTAATTAATACCAGTTTAACGATCGATGCAAATGGTATAGATGACGCTACATGGGCTACATGGCAGTGGACAATTATCATGGACCACTAGAAGGGCCCATGATAATTTTGGAATCCAATCAAACATATTATGGACCTTGTTTTGGATCTCACAACAGACTTCCATTTTAGTGCTAAAGAAACCCACTTGTAATAATGAGCCCTAAGGAATGTGAAAATCTTAGTTAAAAAAAAAAAAAAAAGGGAAAAATAAATTGTGATGCTGAAAATAATTGCAATCGAAATATAAGAAAATAAAGAACCAGAAATTTTACTTTTGGAAATTCATAATCTATATAAATTGTAAAATTGGAATTTTTTTTGGATAACTTGTTGATTGACATGAGAATGCGACATGTTATTCATCCATATTAGAGATAGACTAATCATTTTTCGGATGATAATAAAAAAATCTAACCTCTTTCAATTAATGTAACTTCAAGATTCCCACCCATATTAGATATACGATTGATCGTGCTTGGGGTGAGAGAGATAAAATTTAATCTCTTTCAACAAATACAATTCAAGGATATGAACTACATATATTTACACAAAATTTGTCTGAAGATCAAATTACTTACCATTAGAGTAACAACTTGTTGATGCTATAAAGTAGGTTTTTAAATATAAACACATCATCCCTATTTCAAAAAAACAAATAACAAACAAACAAATAAATAAACAATCCAAGGATTAAAAATAAATAATGTAAAAATACATTAAGAAGATATTAACATAGTAAAAAATAAATAAATGAGATAAAGATGTGACAAGTATCAACTTCAATTTATTTAATTAAGATGATGTTTATCCAAAGAAGTTTTGGCTCGAGATTGAAGTCAAGCCTGCACAAAACGAAGTGGGGGTGTTCTGTCCAAGTCACCAATTGATCTTTCTTCAAACCAAACTTGTCATGAAACATTTTGGAGACCTAGTCTTCCTTTTTTCACCATCCGAGAAATAATTATCATTAAATATAAAAGTGAGCAAAGCCCTTACATGCAACAAAACAAAATATGAGTAAAACAAAAAAAAAGTTTAGTGAGCGATATTCATTTTTACTAGTAAAAAAAAAAAAAAACTGGCAATATGCTGTCCAGTTGCAGAAATTAGCAAGGCATCAGAAATTTTACTTTCGCAAGTGATATCTAATCAAACATCAAGCTTGTTGCAAGCAGAGAGTTTCATAGTTTACTTTGGAAAACATAGAAATGATGAAAGTAAAAATAAGCAAGCAAGGAAATGACAGAGAAGGAAAAACACAAGTGCAATAGTTTGTACTAATTTATTCTATGCGCTAAACTGCAGATTGAGAAAAACAGGTAAAATCATATATATATATATATATATAAGAATTTATTATAAATTATACTAATTTATTTAAAAAATAATAATCATGTTTTGAAATCCAGACATAAAAAAAAATCATAGTTTTTAACAAATAAAATTTAATAAAAATAAAAATAAAAATTTGACAATTTTAAAGAAATAAATTTAAATAATAAGAATAACATAATTTAAAATATATATTCAAACTAAAATTTGAAAACATATAATATATATATTTTTCTCATCAAACTCTGTAAAAAAACCAAAATATAACGATTAGTTTTTCATAATTTTTGCACAAAATTAAAATAAATTAGCCAAAAAAACAACAAGCTAGGCATGCGCTTCTTGTGCTGTAGACGACATGTAGTCCTCCTGCAACTTCTAACAAATTTAAGTTCGTTGGAAAGTCATTGAAAATAAGAAGACTAGTTTTCGACCTCCTCAATCTAATTTTAATGCCATTTTTTGTCCTAAACATCTCAAAATCATTGAAAAAAACTCAAAAAGTTCATTTTTAACTTTGAAACTCATTTTAATGTACTTAAGAAATACAAAAATTCAAATCAAATTCAAAATTTTAAAAATATTATGAATTCTCGATTTTTTTTTCAATTATCTCATGGCGTATGATCACTGTAAACAAAGTCTTCTCACTAAAATGAACATATTTGACAACAAAAAATGTTATAGTGAGAGAAAAATCAATCTTTAATGTAAACACCATGAATTTTTTAGTTTTATTGCTAATGACAACTCAAAAATCATCATTTTCTTTTGGTATTCACCATCACCACGAACCATTCAAACAATTTAATTATTAGCAAAGTAAACACCTAATCTCACAAAATTCATCAACTGCTTCAAACTAGTAATGTTTAATTTTGTTCGGCTCCCCGTTTATCCATTAATGGCCATTAAAAAATAACCATCCAGATGGTAGGTTGGATTAATTTATTGGCTTGGTTGAAAGGGTGTGTTGGTTTCGTAACAACCTCAGAATGGAGATTGAATAATATATTCTATTTTTGATCGGATCATATAAATGAATATAATTATTTTAATGTGTAAAAACTTATTTTAACATATAACTCAGCTGTAAGTAGAGTAAATTATAAATTAGTCCATTTATTTTTTTAAAAACAAATTAATTAATCATTTTCTTTTCGAAAACTAATTATTTAATTCTTTTTATCGATATTGATTATTTTTAATTTAATATTATTTAATTTAAAAAAATCTCATATTTGTATCAATTCCTACATATTTATTTTTACTTATCTTAGTCTTTTTTTTAAAATAAAAAATGATTAAGTTATAAGAAAATTTGAAAATATAGAGATTAAATAATTAGTTTTTTATAAAAAAAACTAGTTGATTTATTTTTCAAAACTAAAGAGACTAATTTATAATTTTTTCGGCATAAGAAAGATTGATTATCGTATTGCAACTTAATACGTATGATATGTTTTAATTTTATACATTATGACTTTTGAAGGTAAGTAAACAAATAAACCATGCAAGTTCCTCATGTTTCATGTTTCTATGCTCAAAGTGATTTTCGGCTTGGTTGGCGTGGAAAGAATGATTGAAGGACGCTTTTGGCTGTATCAATTAGTCAAGGAAAGGGTACAGTAATCATCAAATAGCTGTATGTTTCTGAACGCAGTCCAAGTTTACTGGCCCGTTGCATTTTCCTGGCTAAAGCCAGCAATTCTCCCACTTTCTAAGCAGTATTAGACCCTCGAAACCATTAATTTACGATGGCACAAATACCCATTTCTATCTGTTTTTTAATTTGGAAAATTAAGATCTCATCTATGGCTCTATTCCCTTATAAAGTAAAGAAATTAATAAAGAAAAAGAAAAACTAAAGAAGATTAGAATATCTTTTATTTTAGAAAATATCAATTAAAATATCTTTAATTTAGGAAACATTTTTTAGAATATTTTCTTTTGTGACGCTATATATATATGGAAGGTAAATCAGTTATACGAATTATTGATTCAATACTTAGGAATCTTGATGGATATGATTAAGGATTCTAATTAATGTAATTTGTATATATTCATAAATATATATAATGAAAATTAATTCATATTTTCATGGTATCGAACTTTAATGATTAAATAGTTACGAATTCGAATCTCATTACTTCTACTTTCTTTTCTAATTAAAAAATTTAAACACAAGGTAAAAGTAGACATATGTAAGTTTCAAGCTCAAAAAACATTAATTTGAGAATAAGTGTTAGAAAATAATATAAACTATCCTTAAAGCTTCACGTAATCTTTTGAATTGAGATGGTTTTTTTTTTTATATATGTACTTTTACGTTTTTTTTGTTGTGGATATATTTCCTCCTTGTTTTTTTTTTTCCAAAATAATTTGAAAAAGGTACTGTTGGACGCTCTTAATAATCTAAATTTTGTAACTTTAACAAAGGGCACTAAAATGCCCCCTTCAAGTTTGACTATATTAATTAATCGTGCTATTTTATCATTTGAGAAATCACATAAAGACCTCAAAAACTTACTCATAACCAACAAGTTATTAGTTGAGTGATAAGCAAATTGGTTTTCAAATAAATTTTATACTAATGTGTAAAGTTTGAATTCTGAAATAGCATTTGTTGGGAGGGAATAAATCTTGTCATTTCAAGTATAAATACAATTAATATTATCTCTAATATGAAATGAGAATACTCGAGAAAAAATAAAAAATAAAAAACCTTACCCGTAGTCTTTTTTTATATATATAAATAAATAACCAACTGATTGATGGTGTCATTTAACTTTAGAGAATGGTAGATATTATCATAATGTGTGGTCAAACACAATGACATGAATGCAATTAATTATATTGGTTTCGTGAGCTATCAATTTTTTTTTCCGTGCATTCATGACTTCTATGTTAAAAAATAATTCGTACTTATTAATTACTTACATCACACATTTTTCTTATCTTTTGCACTCGCAAGCAAAATGGGAGGAATAAAATTTATTAAAATTTTTTTAATGTATTAGATCAATAATAATGTAGGAAGTGTATTTTTAAAATCATTCGAAAAAAGATTTAATCTCAATTAACCTAGATCGATGTAAAAAATTACTAAATTTTTTTAAATACACTATGCCAATTTAGAAGATCTATTTTTAAGATCATTCGAAAAGAGAGTGAGTTTCAATCAAATTGATTAAAAATATTCTTATTTAAAAAAAAAATCCTCCAAGCTATCTCGATGATCAAAAAGAAAGAAAAAACCCCCCAAAAAACATGCTGATTTTGGTCTTTCCCTACGCAATGCTGTGTGTGCCAACTGCCGCCTAGCAAGCAAATTTACTTCACAACAAAAAATAATTAGAATAACGAAGAGATAAGAATATATATGGTTTATTTATGACAATTAAATGAAATTACATGCACCTGAGAAGGAAGGATAATGCATGGTTCCCTTCCTAATCCTTGACTCTTTCGACTCCTCAAGCGTGTTGCAATCTTCTTGACAACAAACAGTGAACTGTCCTCCATTTTTACTCCTTCCACACATGTCCAAAACATCCATATAAATCAACTCTCTCTTCCTCACTCTTTCTCTCTTTAAACTCTCTCTTGTACGTACCAGACTCTTTCTCCACCCTTCCCTCTCTTACGTACATCCAAACCATAAACAAAAACAGTACCTAGCTAAGACAGAAGAGTTCGTGACTGATCAAACCGGTCTGATCGTGTCTTTATCTGAATATTTCAGGTACATGGTGATAATATCATCTCTTGACATGCAAGCAAGAAAATGACAGAGAAGAAAAAACACAAGTGCAATAGTTTGTACTAATTTATTCTATGCGCTAAACTGCAGATTGAGAAAAGCAGGTAAAATCACACACACACACACACATAAAAATTTATTATAAATTATATTAATTTATTTTAAAAATAATAATCATGTTTTGAAATCCAGAAAAAAAAATCATAGTTGTTAAGAAATAAAATTTAATAAAAATAAAAAATTAAATTAAATTAAATAAAAAATTGACAATTTTTAAAAAATAAATTTAAATAATAAGAATAATATAATTTAAAATATATATATTCAAACTAAAATTTGAAAAAAATAAATATATTTTTTCTCATCAAACTCTGTAAAAAAACCAAAATATAAGGATTAGTTTTTCATAATTTTTGCACAAAATTAAATAATAAAAAAATTAAAATAAATTAGCCAAAAAACCAACAAGCTAGGCATGCGCTTCTTGTGTTGTAGACGACATGTCGTCCTCCTACAACTTCTAACAAATTTAAGTTCGTTGGGAAGTCATTGAAAATAAGAAGACTAGTTTTCGACCTCCTAAATCTCATTTTAATGTCATTTTTTGTCCTAAACATCTCAAAATCATTGAAAAAAACTCAAAAAGTTCATTTTTAACTTTGAAACTCATTTTAATGTACTTAAGAAACACAAAAATTCAAATCAAATTCAAAATTTTAAAAATATTCTGAAGTCTCGATTTTTTTTTCCGATTATCTCATGGTGTATGATCACTGTAAACAAAGTCTTCTCACTGAACTGAACATACCGAAGCCAAGTTTGACAACCAAAAATGTTATAATGAGAGAAAAATCAATCTTTAATGTAAACACCATGAATATTTTAGTTTCATTGCTAATGACAACTCAAAAATCATCATTTTCGTTTGGGACTCATCATCACCAGGAACCATTCAAACAATTTAATTATTAGTAAAGTAAACACCTAATCTCACAAAATTCATCAACTGCTTCAAACTAGTAATGTTTAATTTTGTCCGGCTCCCCATTTATCCACCAATGGCCATTAAAAAATAACCATCCAGATGGTAGGTTGGATTAATTTATTGGCTTGGTTGAAAGGGTGTGTTGGTTTCGTAACAACCTTAGAATAGATGGTAAAAGAAAAATCTCTATTCTAAATTTATATTCTGTTTTTGATCGGATCATATAAATGAATATAATTATTTTAATGTGTAAAAACTTATTTTAAAATATAACTCAGCTGTAAGTAGAGTAAATTATAAATTAGTCCTTTTCTTTTTGAAAACTAATTATTTAGTTTTTTTTTTATCAACATTGACTATTTTTAATTTAATATTATTTAATTTAAAAAAATCTCATATTTTTATCAATTCCTACTTATTTTTTTATACTTATCTTAGTCTCTTTTTTTTAAATAAAAAATAAAAAATGATTAAGTTATAAGAAAATTTGAAAATATAGAGATTAAATAATTAGTTTTTTATAAGAAAACTAGTTAATTTATTTTTCAAAACTAAAGAGACTAATTTATAATTTTTTTCGGCATAAGAAAGATTGATTGTCGTATTGCAACTTAATACATATGATATATTTTAATTTTATACATTATGACTTTTGAAGGTAAGTAAACAAATAAACCATGCAAGTTCCTCATGTTTCATGTTTCCATGCTTCAAAGTGATTTTCGGCTTGGTTGGCGTGGAAAGAATGATTGAAGGGCGCTTTTGGCTGTATCAATTAGTCAAGGAAAGGGTACAGTAATCACCAAATAGCTGTATGTTTCTGAACGCAGTCCAAGTTTACTGGCCCGTTGCATTTTCCTGGCTAAAGCCAGCATTTCTCCCACTTTTTAAGCAATATTAGACCCTCGAAACCATTAATTTACAATGGCACAAATACCCATTTGTATCTGTTTTTTAATTTGGAAAATTAAGATCTCATCTACGGCTCTATTCCCTTATAAAGTAAAGAAATTAATAAAGAAAAAGGAAAACTAAAGAAGATTAGAATATCTTTTATTTTAGAAAATATCAATTAAAATATCTTTAATTGAGGAAACATTGTATTAGAATATTTTCTTTAATGACAATATATATATATATATATATATATGGAGGGTATTTATACGAATTATTGATTCAATACTTAGGAATCCTGATGGATATGATTAGGGATTCTAATTAATGTAATTTGTATATATTCATAAATATATAATGAAAATCAATTCACGTTTTTATGGTATTAGAACTTTGATGATTAAAAAATTACGAGTTTGAATCTCATCATTTTTATTTTGTTTTCTAATTAAAAAATTAAGCATAAGGTAATAGTAGATATGCGTAAATTTCAAATTCAAAAAAAATTTACTTGAGAATAATTGTTAGAAATTAATATAAACTATTCTTAAAGTTTTACATAATCTTTTGAATTGAGATGATTTTTTGATATTTTTTTTTATGTGGGTATATTTCCCCCTTATTTTTTTTTCAAAATAATTTAAAAAAGGGTACTATTAGACACTCATAATAATCTAAATTTTGTAACTTTAACAAAGGGAACTAAAATGCCCCTTTCAAGTTTGACTTTAATTAATCATGCCATTTTATCATTCGAGAAGCCAAATAAAGATCTCAAAAACTTACTCCTAAGTAACAAGTTATCGGTCAAGCGATTAGTAAATTGGTTTTCAAATAAATTTTCTATTAATGCATAGAGCTTGAATCTTGAAGTAGCATTTATTGAGAGAGAATAGATCTTGTCGTTTCAACTCCAAATAGAGTTAATTTTATCTATAATGTGAAATGAGAATACTTTAGAAAACCCAAAAATAAAAAAACTATCCCGTAGTCTTACATATATATATATATATATATATATATATATATATATATATATATATATATATATATATATATATATATATATATATATATATATATATCACCAATAATCAAGTAATTGATGGTGTCATTCAACTTCAGAGAATGATAGATATCATCATAACGTGTGTTTGAACACAATGACATGAATGCAATTATATTGGTTTCATGAGCTTTCATTTTTTTCCTTTTTATTTTCCGTGCTTTCATGACTTCTGTGTTAAAATAATTCCTTTTATTATTATTTACCTAACATCACACGCTCTGTTTTCTTTTGCACTCACATGCAAAATGGGAGTAATTAATTGAACGCCCAACCCATTGCTCTCATCTATATAGCCCTAACTCATCCAAATATTGCTAAGAACATTAAGTAGAATGTACTAAATCCTTTTGAATACACCATATCGATATAAGAAGCATGTTCTTAAAAATGTTGAAAAAAAACCGCTGAACTATTTTCATGATTAAAAAAAAAAAAAAAAAAAAAAACTCAAAAACCATGCTGATTAGGTCCTCCCCACACAACTGCTTGTGCGTATCAAATACTGTGTGTGCCAACTGCCGCCTAGCAAGCAAATTTATTTTACAACAAAAAATAATTAGAATAAGGAAGAGATAAGAATATATATGATTTTATTTATTTATTTATGACAATTAAATGAAATTACATGCACCTGAGAAGGAAGGATAATGCATGTTCTCTTCCTAATCCTTGACTCTTTCGGCTTCTCAAGCGTGTTGCAATCTTATTGACATCAAACGATGAACTGTCCTCCATTTTTTCTCCTTCCACACATTTCCAAAATATCCATATAAATCCACTCTCTCTTCCTCACTCTTTCTCTCTTTAAACTCTCTCTTGTACGTAGCAGACTCTTTCTCCACCCTTCCCTCTCTTACGTGCACCCAAACCATAAACAAAAACAGGAGCCTAGCTAAGACAGAAGAGTTCGTGACTGATCAGACAGGTCTGATCGTGTCTTTATCTGAATATTTCAGGTACATGGTGATAATATCATCTCTTGACATGCAAGCTAGCTTAATTTTGAGTTTTTTTTTCTTCTCTTTATTATCGTTTCTTCTCTTTAACTTTTTTGGTTCCTCCTCTTTTTTCTCAATTTTTTTAGGTATATGTAGCATAGTATGATCAACTTATGTTTCTCTGATTATGTCTTTTGGTTCTGTTGTGTATGGTAAAGTACCATTTTGTAATTTTATTTTTTCTCTGTTTAGACTTCTCGACCTGAAAAAAAAAATCATAAAATTAATAATCCAAAAATTCTACGGAATTTTTTTTTTTTTTGGGATCATGATTAGCTGATTTCAGAAATTTATTTAATTTTAGATCATGATCGATTGAGTTGAATAATTTACCTAATTTTCTCTAATTTGATTAGCAATTTTCGCAAATATTCATATGTTTTTCTATATTTAGCGATTTATCAACAACAAAAACTATATTTATTGGCATGTTTTTAATGTAGATTTGACACATGTTGTCTTCAACGTGCATTCCATGACTCCATTATATTTATTTTTTTCTACATATAAAATAGAATATCATCAGAATATCATCAGAAAGCATGTATTTTTAAATTATCCATTGATCAATTATTAACTTGTTCGAACTATTTTCATGTATTTTTAAACTAGAGAAGGTGCCTTGCAATCTTACTTAATTTCTTAATCAAACATTTTTTATGAATTATTTTTTTGGTAAAAAATATCTGGCGATAGCTAAAATCTGAAATTTTATATAGGATCAGATAGCAGACTTGTCTTTTTAGCAAGTACATAATTTTTGCTCTACTGTGACTTAGCTGTCATTTTGGCACATTGATTTTTTTTTCCTTTTCCTTTTCGGCATATTTAAATAATTATATATGTATATAGCAGGCTTGTCTTTTTAGCAGTCCAATCAAATCAATTTTGTACTCTCTTTTTTATGAGACAGTAACATTAAATTAATTAATCTATGCTCTTCAATATGATTCATTTCTTGTCTTTCTTCTCTACCAAATCCTCATAAAAGTTAACAATTTGTTTCAATTTGCATAATTATTTTCTCGTCATACAAGTTTTGAGAGCATCACCAAATCTTTCATTAATATTATAAAAACTAGCTTCACATATTTTTATATTTTAGAAGTTGTATTCCATCTATATTTGTATATCTTAATTTTATTAAATATATCCTTTTAAAATTATTATGTTCAAAATTTCTCTATCTTCATCCAAACCTACAGAATTAAAGTTCAGATTTTATATTATATTAAAAAAAATGCTATGATTTTTTTTTACAGAACGTTTTACAAAATTATAATTTTTGTGTACTAAGACATTTATATTAAACAAATCATTGTCATTAGAAGAAAAAAATTTCATAGCATTTTTTAATAAGAGGTATTTTGAATATATTAAATCTAAAATGGGTCATGTGCCAGTCACATAATATAAGAAATTATAACAAAAATACAAATTGGAGACATCTAATTCTAAAAAAAAATTAGATAATTAAGTATTTAAGGATCAATTGAACATGATTTCTAAAATAAAAGAATATGTGAAGCTTTTTGTCCTGGATATTATTTACAAAAAAGGGAGAAAAAAATGTCCTATGATTCCAACGTGTTTTCTTTTTTGACAATTAATGCTTGTTATTGATTGAAATTATATATTAATTTTCCTTAATTTTCACCAAATCCAAACTTTGTCCAAAATTCCGCCTCTATCCTTAATCTCGAACACGGTTTCCACTTCTTTTAACAGGAAACCATCAACGTTACTCACTTTTTATGTCTTTTAACATATGAAATCCCTTGTTTACCCCTCCTTCGCGTAGATGATCTCTCTCACGCGGTCTCGTGTTTAAGACAGACACACCTATTTAAGACGCCAAACATAACATAAAAAAATCTCTAACATAACTTCCTGTTTCGTTCTTTGTCGTTTACAGATACAAAGCAGTAGTCTCAACTCACCGAGTCAATCGTCATCAACAACAGCAATGGCCGACCGAGTTCATCCTCGTGACGACTCACCGCCACAATCTACTGAGTTCAAACCTTCACCACCACCACCACAGAAAGATGCGGATCAAGCACATTACCCACAGTCACCATCAAAACCCGTAGCTCCTGAATCAGAGAAACCAGTCCCACCACCACCAGGAACATACGTCATCCAAATCCCTAAAGACCAAGTCTACCGAGTCCCACCACCGGAAAACGCACAACGCTTTGAACGTCTCTCCCGCCGCAAGGTTCGTCGTAGCTCCTGCTGCTGTTGCCTTTGCTGGCTCCTCTCACTCCTCGCTGCCTTCCTCTTCCTTGTCGGCGTCGCTGCAGCTGTTTTCTACCTCGTTTTCCGCCCCGAGTCACCAGATTATGCAATCGAGCACATCTCCATTAAGGGGTTCAATCTGACGTCATCAAGACCGATCTCTCCGGAATTTAACGTCACTGTGAGAGCTAATAACCCTAACAATAAAATTGGGATTTATTATATAAAAGGAAGTTCCGTTAATGTTCACTACGACGGCGTTAAATTGGCTACGGGATCGTTACCGGTTTTCTACCAAGGGAAAAACAATGTGACGGTGTTTGCAACAATATTAAAGGGGTCTGCTATTGAGCTAACGAGTGGTGCTCGTACAGCGTTAGTCGACAGTGTTAGTAAAGGAACGGTGCCGTTTAAGCTGGCTCTGAGGGCTCCGGTTAAGATTAAGGTTGGGTCTGTTAAGACATGGAAGATCACTGTTAAAGTTGACTGTGGTATAACGGTGGATAAGTTAACGGCTACTGCAAAGATTAGGTCTAAAAAATGTGATTATGGTGTGGATTTGTGGTAGGGTATGGTTAATAAATTTGGTGTTTTTTTTTATTAATCTTAATTTTTTGATGAGATTCGGATTTTGGTAGTGGTATGCATGTTACAGAATTTGGAATATATATCATGAATTAATTCTTTTATTTTAGTCTTTTTCAAATATTTTTTTTATTTGCATTCAAGTTGCGGGATTCATGTTAGGGATTAATGGAATCCATGTTGTGGCAGGATTCTATATTTTTCTGATATTGCTCAATTCCTTTGACATAAAAATTTAAGTTACTAATTCATGATTTTGTCTAATTCTTCTTTCGATGGAATTTTCATATTTTCTTTTCGATTTAATCTCTGGTAGAAAAGATATGTGTAGACGGGAAACCTGTTTTGGACAAATCTATGAGCGGGATTATTGAGTTGCCTGAAACGGTTGTCTACAATGATCTTTTCCTTTCTACTACGTTGTTAATCTATTAATTAGGAGATTCTGATTTTGTTGTGGGATCTTCTAATCACATAGAATTTGATTATATTAAATATAATTCCTTCTTCAAATTTCTAAAGATCAGATATACTTGCATTTTCTCTTTGTTCAGTATAAATATATTCTTATTACTATTTTTGTGGTTATTGATCATTTTATCAACTACTAAGATTTGCTTAAATCGTAAATAGATGAATAATGAATTTCTCTATTTTCTTTAAAATACTTCTTTTTTTGCCATTGTCGGTCAGTTTATCCTCTATTAGTGCACATCTACCAAAATTTAAGAATGATGAAAAGAAACCCAGCTTTAAAGAGAATGGTATTAACACATTCTTGAATCAATTTTTGTATATTTTTATGGGATTTTAAGTAAGTTATTTGGGCTTACAGTAATATATTCACAATTTTTTCTTCTTATAATATTCTTTAAAATTAAAAATTTAAATGATAATAAGAAAAACCAGTTTATTTAGAATACGAGCTAAACTCTAAGGAAGCGACTTGGATTTGTCCGAACTCTAAAGAAGCTGGGATTTGAGAACTCAGAGCGGACAACTAAGAAAGATACATTTAACAATATTTTTTATTTTTTATTTTTTATTTTTAAACATGTTCTGTTTATCATGAATAATTTGGGATTTGAGAGACTGTCAAACATCTCAAACAAAATAAATCTGACAACTTCTGTGAAAATGTCCAAAACAGCTGGAGATTAAGGAAAAAATAAGTGTCCAAATGGACAACTTGGGAAGATATACGAAAAACTTGTATTAACTGTGGACAAGTTCTTCGTTGAATAAATCTAAATTTGAGCCATGTCATGAATGCCACAATTTGGACTAATTCAGAATTTGGTCGAGAAAAAAAATTAAATATACTCTGAAGCAATTCCTAGTGTTCTTCAACTTGTAGTGACATGAACGGTTTTTTAACCAAAAAACAAGCATTAAGAAAACAGGCATGACAGTGACAAAGTCAGATCAGTGACCTAGTCTGCCTGAATTCTTTGGTCACATTAATTTTGGGTTATATTTTTCTCATTTTAATTCTGATTTTCTGATATAAATACCTAGCTCACCAGCCACTAATTAAGGTTTGGATCTTTAAAAAGGCTATGCGTGGTGCTTATTTGTTGTGAAAAAAAAAATCTATAAACTCTGCATAAAAATGTGAATTGGCTAAAAAATTAATTAATAATATCAACAGTGTCAATGCAGAGCAATTAGCTACACTCTAGTTTTTCAAAACAAATAAAATAATCCTTTTAGTTTCAAAAAATAATTAATTAGTCCTCAGATTTTTCAATCCATTCATAACTTAATCCTTTTTGTCCTTTTTAATTTATTTTAATTTTTTATTTTACGAAATGAAAAAAAAGAAGAAAATATAAAAGGACTGATGAGAATTTTTTTAAAAAAATAAAATAATATTTAATTAACAATAGTCAACACTAGTCAAAAGACTAATAAATTAATTTTTAAAATAAAAGGAATTATTTAATTTATTTTGCAAAATTAGAGAGACTAATTTATAATTTACTCTTTAAATGCATGTATCCCTGAAATTATGCCTTAATTTCTAGCCTTCTGTGATCAATTACCGGTCAATGCCAGTTGGCGTTGAGTTTTGAAATTATGTTAATGTTAGGCTGGAGGGACCCCTATTTTTCTAACAGAAGAAAAAAGATTACTTCCTTTTTCTTACGATGACCTGTTCTCGTGTTTAATTTCTTTACGTTGACTTCTTCTTTTTCTTCACTAGCTAGAGTCGTTTTTTTTTTTTTTTATGTTGATTCAGGATGTCCGACCAGCTTACGTGCACTACGACTAATTCCCGAAGCCTACTAAATATCCTGCAAGCCCAAGGACATGTAAGATATCACAAAAATGATAAATATACATGAAAAAAGTCGAACCCGAATAATCTTCAGGGGATAAGCCCCCGTTCCACTAGGCTAGAGTCGTTTTCTTGCTATTGTTCTTTCTGGGCACGAATGAATTACAGATTTGTTTTCTAAACCCTAATGTAGTTTTCAAGCTGCCACTTGAACTGATGCACAGCCCACAAGTTGGAAAAATTCAAAATTTTGTAAACATTCAAGTAAAAATGTTTTGGAGCCAGAATCAATGATATTTTCAGTGTTGGTGAGATTGATGTTTTTACTGGATCAAAGAGATGGATAGAACCCAAAATACGAAAGAATCAAAATAAAATTTATTTTTAATACAAAAATATAACTGCTCCATTCACCAAATAACGACAATATTAACCATTACCGTTATATTGCTGTCATTTAGAAGAAACACCAATGAATTCTCTATAAAGTATAACAAAAACAAAAATGTCTATATTAATTAAATAACGATCATTACATTATATTATTTAAAGTAACTGCAGTTATTTGAAACTATAATTCTACCAGTTTAGTGATTGGGATCAACCCTAGAACTGAAACCATGCAGACAGTGATATAGAGAAACAGGAAAATATAAATACAGTGATTACAATATTGAACACGATGTAGCATGTAATCCAGAATCCAGACACGACACAATGGGGGCAGAGTTTTATCTGAGTTCCTGTAGTAATTAATTACTAAAGAAAAACAAAAAGGAATAGGTAAGAGACTGTACAGATCCTCTTCCATTGAAGAATAGCATTTTTTCATTACACGGCTTTTGAAATACAATACCACCCCTTTATAACATCTTTAATTTGCCAATAAATTTTTATTAGCCTCTTTATTTTCAGCTTTGATTTAACCTCTAACAGCCACCAAGCACTCTTTTATTCCTTTCCTCATTTACAAATGCGGTATCCAATCGATCTCCATCCGAAATGCTTTGCCTGTCAGAATTCCTTGCTGTTATGGTGATACAATGCAACAAAATTGTTCCCTCTTCTCTGTAACCATGCTCTTTTTTCCAATTAAGCAACTTGCTGTTCGGATTTCAATCCTTCATACTTACACTTGGCATCCTGGATTTCCTTTTCAAGTTCTGCATACACGTTGACAGAAGCCTTAGCAAAGTTGTACAACTGACTAAGAAATCCCTCCAACCTTGATCGAAAAGGCTCAAAACCTATAATAAAATCCTCCGATGCCTCATCTCTCAACATGTTAACTGCTGAATCACTGCCGTTATCAGCCTTCCATGATGAGATGTTTGCATTCTTCCCATGGTTCTTCTCTTGGCGTGGTAAATAGCGAGAAGTTTCAGCTGCTAAAAACTTTATAGATTCTGTAACTTCCTTTGCAGGCAATTCCTTAAGCTTGTCCAACCAGACACCACAGGTGACATATACAGGTGGGCCATAGTGTCTTAACGTCGTCGAAGGGGTGTTTTGCCTCCTTTTTCTCTTGACAGGTTTGTGTGGAAGAGAGACACATTTAAAAAGCCAATTATTTATAGCCTCCAGGTAGGAAATCTGAGACCCAATCCACTTTGTAAAACTTGAAGATAGGGAGCTGAGTTCTTTTTCTAGATGGACAGTAACCTGACGATGAGACTCAGACTGTATAGAGAATTTGGCATTACCATTGTTGAATGCTATTGTAATGATGTTGAACTGAAGCTTGTGGCATTCAAGCATCACTTCCCACATCCGACTCAACCTGCAATCAGCAGAGGGAGTGAAAACCAGAGTAAAATATTTACTGAAACTATATGCATAATTCTCTCTCAGACAACCAGCTTAATATATAATTCTTTTCACGAATTAGTCCCATGGCAAGGACTAGTCCTCTGCCATAATCAGTGAAAGGAATATGACCTTTTGTATGAAAGTCGCGTCTCGATCAGACCTTTTATTGAATTTGCAAAAAAGAATCCATTCATTACTATTCTATTCCTTTCATTTTTTGTTTCATATACTACCAATAAACATTACTCAAGGCAATACATAAGTAAAAAGTTCCCTATGGGTCTGCTACATGGTATATTAAAATTGAGCAAACCTTTCAATTTCATGCTTAATTTATAATGCAGTCATGATATGAGACGGAGTTTAGCAAGACGTAATCATGTGGAGCCTCTTACAACATAAGTTGCACAGGAAGAATATGAGGTGATATTGAATATGCCGAAATCAAATTACAGTTTGACAGAGTCAGTCAACTTCCATTCGCCATTTGGTAATTAAGTAATGGAACAGAAAAATACATACCCTTCAATTAATTCCTCGAGTTGTGGCTGGAGCTCTTTGTCCCTCAATTCCTCAATCCTCTTCGAGATAGAATCGATTCTTTGAAGGGCAACTCTGATCCTCGAGTGCAGATCTTTAACAACAGCACGAGTTTTATCAATTTTGGTATTATGGAGACTTATTCCACTTGATTCCAGTTGTCTCAAATTTCTACAGTGCATGTCATACTCCCTTCTGACCATCTCACTAGCCTGAAATATGGAGGAAATAATATTAACTTGTGAAGAACTTTCTACATTTTCTTTGTTGCAATGTCAGATTTTAATCTCTCTCATTACTTTGAAATCAATAAAGACAATTGAGCTAACATACACAAAACGAGATTCCGTAAAGAGTGTTTGCTTGACAGAGAACAAGGCCTATGAACAACAAATAATGCCACAACGCATCACCACTAAAATTTTCCTTTTCCTAGTTTATCCTATTTGAACAAAAAATCAAGTCGATCAATATTTTGTATTTTTTTATGGCCAGTAATTTATATTGAAGGATGAGGACCATTCAACAATTATAATCATTATATTAACCAATATTGGATAGACAATCCAGGGACAGAGTAAAAGGAAAGGTGCAGCCTTCCGTAGGAAAGGGAGTGACAAATTCTGTAGCAGGTGACATAGCAAGAATGAAGGCAAAGAAGGCATATTTCCCTTTAAAACTACTTATTTGGATATTCGCTTTTGATTCCTGCACCACGTGGACCTAAACATTCATTTTGATTTCCTACACCATGTGAGTGACTGAGACGCAGTTAGATAATATCTTAAAAAACAGAACCCTAATAGTAAGAAGGATAAACTGCTGGCATGCGATCATTTACAACAGATCTTTGTGCAATTTTCTGGTCTCGGGCGAAGTTGGCAAAACAAGCAAACTGCATTTACTATCATATGAAAATCAGGCAATACACGTAAACAGCAGTAATATCAATAGCGTAACCATTTTAAGAAACCACAATACCTTGACTTCATCATAAAGTTTCCTCTCCCAAGCATATAGCCTGTCTAAGGTCGAAACATGACTGCCAGAGGTCATACAAAAATTATCAAAAAGATTACCAGCCAGATTCTCTGAATCATCCTTGGCATTTAATCCAAGAAGATTCCGGGATGAAGATGATCGTGATGATGTCGTCCTATGCCAAGTTAAGTACTTCACATCATTTTGGGCAGGCTCTAAATAAACAGTAGAAAGAATTAGCAAGTTATAAGGGAACTTTTTTAATTGTCTTAAGACAATGTTCTCTATAAGATTTTTAAGCAACAATCATACATTTTTATATGACAGCTTACCATGCAATCCTAAATAAAACAGTACAAACAATAAACCAATCCTCGAAAAATATTCTATTGATAAACTTTGATGTGTTTCTTCTTTTCTTTGCTTCCCTTTTCCTACGAGAAAAGACTAGTATTTTGTATGTTGAAATGGAAGATGACTCATCTAAGGGCATAATTTTCATTAATTCAATCCATGTTGCAGGAACGATTACATTAGATCTTTATATCTGGTATTTCGTTATATATATATATATATATATATATATATATAAACTCCAGCAACATAGTGAAACATCAAGTAGAATTTGCTTCCGTAAATTAGAACTTAAACATAAATCAAAATGAATCACTCAATCACCCAAACTTTACACAATATGCATCCACGACAGACAGTCCAGAAGTTAATGCCCACATTAATATGACCACAACGTGAGAACATTGTCAAATGGATGGTTAAAAAATAATTTGCATTAAGCTAAAGGGAGCTACCTTCTTGCACTTGGCTAGGGTCTTCCCTGCAAGAAAAACAGGCCTTGAAGAATGTAGATGCCACTGATCCATCTGCAAGAGTAGAAAATTTACTAGTTAAGGGCCTTCACTCACTCATAAATCATAATTGAAAAAAGAACATCGAGTAATTTCAAATTGCCTTTAAATTATTGAATTTGACATGTAGTTTTTGATCTTCAACCAAAAAGCCAGTGTCCTAATTAAATTTCTACAATGCAGGCTATAAACCAGGTATAAATCAATAAGCCCCACCGTAGCAAATCAATCTGGTCAGTCACTCTTGTCTTTTAAATACTAAATGATGAGACATAGGAAATTTGTTTGAAAAGGTTTTCAAGACCTCATAAACATTCGCGCCTTCTAATTACATCACAGCTGCTAAGAAACAATAAGAGAATAAAAAACAAACTTGAAAAATATTATTCCCCTAAACCAATAGATTGGGAGGGAGAAAGAGTGACCATACTTTCTTTTCCAGGAGCTATTGGACGGAAATGCAATTTATTTGCTTCAAGCATCCTCGGAACTTCTTGACCAGATTCAGAAGCTTTTATAAAGAGATATTCTATATCTTTTATGCTTGAAAAGAAGTCCTTAGAAGAAACGTTATTTTCTGATTGATCTTCCTTCATCGGTGTGTTCTTTCTGTCAGCTGAAACAGTAACTGCTGATGATGGTGTTCTTAATGGCGACAAACCAGGAGAGTTGCCTTTCTCCCCATTCAACAACTCAGTTTCTGAAGCTGCAACCCCAGCAGAAGGCGTGGTTGGTGAGGCACTAGGTGCTACATGATCATGTACCCTGTTAAGATTTTCAAAACTTCGAACCAAAGTATCTGCAGGAGGATCATCAAATTCATCTTCCGAACCCTCAGATTCTGCACTTTCATGAAATGAAGCTTTCTCTTCTTCGTCTTCCAGCTCAGGAATTCCTTCCTCTTCCCTGAGCTGTATTAAATCATCAGCACCGTCCAACCCATGGTTCATTTGCCTTCCATCTTGGAAAGAAAATTGGTGATCAATAGGATGAAAAAGTTCGAAGTAATCCCATTGTGGAGTCCCTGATGGGACTGATGAATCTTCAAACTGTGATGTTTCATTTTTTTCAGTGGAACGAGTTGTGGTATTCTGTGGGGTACTGGATGAGGTTACTGTCCCTGTAACAACTACAGGAGGTTTCTCTTCAACTTTTTTAGAAGAAAAGCCCATAAATTTCATATGATGTGCCTGAATCCGACTTGAGCTGGGAGGAGATGGTGAAGGAGAAATGTTTTCAGCTACATCAACAGGGTGAGATAAAGATGGAGAGGAGACTGAGAAATGGGAAAGAGACTTCTCAGTCAGAGCAAGAGGCTCTGGCGTTGCATTAGTGGACGTGTACAACGAAGATTCGATAGGAACTTCAGTTTCAACAAACTTCCTAAGAGCAGTTCCTGTACTTCTCAGCGAGTGAATATACATAACATGAGCAGCTGCTAGTGAGCACCTGCCATCAAGTGCTTGCCTAACAAATTTCTTTCTTTCACGACAAAGCTGCAAAGCTTTGTCTTCTTCTGTTTTAGAGCTTGCAGCCCCCATTTCCCAGAACAAAATGTTTCAACGCCCAAACAATTAAATTATCTCGGCATAGGCTTCTTCCTGAAAATCAATGGTTTACAAATAATAAAATCAGAGAAACCTCAAAGAGAGCAGTAATTTGGCACTCACCTACCAAACTCTACGCTATACATAACAGGTATAGCACATTCCAAGTAATCAAATCTTAGCAATGGAGAAAACTTCAACAAATTCAAGATTTCAATTGAATAGAGAGGAAACTACACATAGATTTCTCCAGAAACTTTCTCCTTATCTAAGTAATTTCAGATGTTTGTATAACGTCGAGTCTTGAATTTGTCCCAACAACCACCCACAAGAAGGAGAAACATAAGGTCGTTCCAATTCTGGAGCTGATGAAGTGAGATAAAGCAAACCCAGGTAGCAAATAAACATACTGAATTCAGTTAGACACTCAATTCAATCATTGGAAGGGCAAGAGGATCCTAAAAATGAGGGGGCAGAAGAACTGAACTAGTATCAAAATCATGACTTTGAACAGCGACTTTAACCCTTGGATCCAAGAATATGCCTAACATCAAAAACCATTGATCTAGACTCTTGTACCAAGCCGAGGAAAGAAAATTAACTTCAATTTGAAACAAAAAGCTAAAGAACTAATAACTCAAAAGCTCTTAAATCCAAAACTTATGTCTAAAAAGAAGCAAACCCAAAAAGAAAAGTGAGAATCTCTATGGATGTTCATGCGTGCAAGCTCCAAAGCAAAGAAAACACTAATTATTTTGTATCAACAACAAACATCAAATTACAAAATTCTGCTAGCAAAAAAAGAGCTTTTTGCAACTTTTTACAACCTCTATCTCTGCTTACTTTACCAATTGTTAAAAAATAAGAGAAGGGAAACCCACCAAGGAAGGCATAGAGAAGAAGAAACCAGTACCTCAGAAAAAGAAAGACAACCCAGTAAACAGAATTAATTTTGCATTGAAAGAGATCAAATTCAAGGCAAACAGAACTCAGCAGAGCTAGAAATGAAAAAAGAAAAAAAAAAAACACAACACTTTGATGCCAAACTAGTTAAAGCAAAATTCACATGAACCATAAAAAACCCATCAATCTTAACCAATTGAAAACACCAAACAACCAATAAAAAAGACTGCCAAAACAATTAGAAATCCATCAAACACCCAATAAAAAAAAGTCCAAAATAAGAAAGCAATGAAATTAAGCTACTTAGTGGGTCACCTGAGAAAAAGAAACGAACTGATGTGATCCAATTAGAAGAAGAAGCTACTAGTGTATAGTGTGATTGCAAGAGGGAAAGAGAGAGAAAGAGTGAAAGCATGGAATTCAGAGCAGACACGGACTCAGATGAGAAACAGAATCATCATTTCTTCTTTTAGTATTATTGTTCAGATACAGAGAGAAATAATAAAGAATTTTGGTTTCAGACAGAAAGAGAGAGAAAATGTACAGACAAAGTAGTACACTTGAGATATAGATAGAGAAAGAGAAGGAGAGAATCTGATGGAGGTGAGGTAAAGCAAGGTAAAGGGTAGGGAGGTTCCATGCAGAAACGCAATCTGGAAAGAGAAACTAAACATAACTTTAACACTCTTCTGTTTTGTTCTGTAAGATATTCAATTATAAAATAGTCCCTATATTTTCAAAAAATGAATTAAATAGTCCCCTTCGTTTGATAACTAATTAATTAGTTCATTAATCAGTGTTGATTATAGTTAGTTTAATGCTATTGTGTTTCAAAAAATGTCTTTTTGATCATAATTTTTTTTAATTATTTTTATTTTTCTATTTATAAAATAAAATAAATAGAAAAATAATTAAAAATTTTAAGTTATAAATAGATTTAAAAATATAAGGATGAGTTAACTATATATTGAAAATACAGAGACTATTTGATTCTTTTTGAAAACCTAAAGAGACTATTTAAAAATCTTTTGAAAACATATAGGGACTGATTTATAATTTGCTAGTTCCGTAGGTAGTTCTCTGTAATTTGGGACCCACTCAGCTCTGTATCATACTAGGCAAACCCCTCTTCCTTATTAAGAAACCGTCACGCGTGTCCTTCACGCTCTCTCCCTCTCTCTCCATACTCTCTCGATAGTTATCAACGAGTGTTAGATTTATCGAGTTTGATCCTTGACGTTAGAATGATTAAAAGCTTTTATGGATTTATTTTTGCTCTTGATTCCGTACTATTTTTAAATTTGTTTTACTGCTTTATTTTATTTATTTTTGAAATCATTTTGATTTTTTTTAACGATATTTATGATTTTCAATTATCTAATATGTATCCAAATTTAATTTTAAAATTCAACAAATTGACGAAAAAATTATATATTTTTTATAATATAAAAGGTAAAATTTAATCATAATTGATTTTATAAACTAATTCGAAAATATTTTTACTTATTGAAGAAAAAACATGTCGAGATTAAATCTTCATATACATCATTTGAAGATGATAACGTGAGAATAAATTCTCATAACGCAAGAAATTATTAGACGAGTTTGATTTAATTGTTAGTCCAACTGCTGTTTTTTTTTTTATGGTGGTCGGTTGCCTAGTTATTTCTTTACAGATTGTGACAGTATGTTTTTGTTAATTTTCATTCTAATAATTAATGTGGGTTTGAATGATGTTTTCGGTTTTAGTTTTATGATTTTATGATTAGGACAGGCAGATTATTTTAATAATGTCCACGTGTCAAGTTCATAAAGCTAAACAATCTCAGCTCCTTCTGTACGCTAAAATTCTTACCAATCAAATATTCTCAAGCCAACCACCTTGTTTTTTATTTTACCTCGTTCAAAGATTTAAAATTTTTGTGCTACACAATAAATAATAATCCTTTATTATAAAAATAATTATAAAAACTCGAGATTTACCTTATTAAAAAAAAACAATTAGATATAAAACCGCTGAATTAAATTCATAAGTATTGTTTTGTTGATTTATTCGTTGATATAAAGTGAAAAAGTTATCGTATTACTTGATCATCTATTTATGTTAATTTAAGAGGTTGTTGTTAATTTATAATTCTCAAATGTTATAAGAAAAATGTATTTAACAAGAACTTCTCCAATATGTATGATTAGTTAAAGATTACGCTGCCATAAAGAAATGTAGTCTAACGATAGATGATTAATTTGATTTGATTTGACAAAAATCAAAATTTAATTTCACTATATAAATATGATTATATATAATTATTTTTTAATAGTATCAGATTTTAGCTCGTTTAGTTTTAAAGAGAGTCTAATAATCGAAAAAAATTTAGATATATTCTAACAATAACAAAGTTGTCTTAATTTAATCAACATTAAAATTTAATTTTCACCATTCACATATAATTATTTCTTAATAGTATCGGATTTGAGTTTAGTTGATCTAAAAAAAAATCTAATCAAAAGCTACAAAGCGTTGGCTGAGCCAATTACTTGTAATTATATATATATATAAATATATGTTTATAACTGTAGATTGAAATTTTTAAATCATTTTTTATAGGCAAAAATTGTAATATTACAGTTACCTGGTTTTCCCTTACCCTAAAAGAAAAAAAAGAAGAAGAAATAAATAAAGAAAATATTGATTCCCTTGGCTATTCCAGGAGTTTCAAAAAACAAATCACAACTTTTCCACAAATTATCATGCCACGTCAGCATTTATGCGCCACTTTCTTTTTTATCTTAAAAAGTTTTGAGAATTTTTTTATATATATATATATATAAAAAGAGAATTTTAGAACAAGTTCTGGCAAAGTTAAATTAAACAACTACATATGTCCAAGGAAAGGCAGAACTGATTGGATAGAGTTAAAAGACAATAAAGTGGAGATTAGACAAATTTTAGTTAAAAAAACAACAAAGTGGAGACTAAGCAAATAAAAACAAAAGGAGTGTGACGTAGAAAGCATCTCTTTTTGTGGGTTCAGCATCAATGCTTCTGCACAAATCATTCATTAACCCAACAGTTGATTAAAATCTATGTTATAATATTCCTATAACACGGATTCCAGCTAAGTTATGGATCAAGTTCTGTAGTAACACAATACTTTATTTTCAATTTATCCTATTTGTACAGGAATTTTAGGTTTCGATCTTGACATATAATAGATGGAGCGAATGGTAGGTTTTTAGATAAATATCGGCATGAAACGTATAAGATTAATTTTCTGATAAGCATATGAACAGCCAACTTAAGTATCTATTGATATTTCCTGTCAATATTTTATTTATCATTCCAATGGCTTTTATATTTAGACTAATTGATAATAAAATATTCTAAATTTTTTATCATAAAAGAAAAAGTTCATAATTTTTTATTTTATTTTGATCGAGATCTTGAATCTTTTTTCGTTTATAATTAAATTCTTTCGTCTAGATCATCGATCACAAGCGATACTGAACATGTATGTAAAAAACATCTGAAACATTAAAATAATAACATATATTCTCTTATTTGCGTCCAATATAATTTGAAATTAGCCAATAAAATAAAAAAATTTAATTAAAAAAAGATTTAGAATTATATATATATATTATAAACTTTTTTTCATGTTGATTGAAAATTCAGCATATTTATAACCAATTAGCCTTATATTTGCACATTTTTTAGTCATTTTTTTATATATAATTTGAAATTTACTAATTTTTCAGACATCCTTAAAAAAATGATCCGTTTCTTTCTACAACAGACGACGAACTAAACTAAGATGAAGAAGTGAGTTCCTGTCTACATACCTTTGACTTTTACGTTCCAAAGCTTTAAATTACAGTTTGACTAAAAAACTAGCGTGCAAGAAAAGGTGAAGAAGCTGGAAAGGGGAATGTAGCTCATCAAAGCCGAAGCCAAGTAAAAAAGCACCAGAAAAGATGGCTTTAACGAGTTTAATAATTCAAACTCTTTATTATTTAATTACCATCCATGTGATTAGGATCCAAAGTTCTCTTAATTTCAATTTTTTATCATCTTTTTTGTTCTTCTTTTCTTTACTCAATTTAATATTAAGAAACCATTAATATTTTATAGATGTAGAATCTTTTACGTGATATCTGATCAGATAAAAGTATCCGACATAATTATTCATTTGGATTCAATTTAATGGATATTTTTTTTTGTTAAAAAAATAGAAAAATAAGCAAGCTATCTCACATTATTTGACAAAAAAAAAAAAACGATGCATTCATATCACACCATATTTTTATCTGAAAAAACTTTATCATATTTATGTCGATATCAAAATTAAAATAATTTGGTTTTTGAGAAATTTCTACCTCATCTATATTGAAGTCGAAACTTAAAATCTTTATAAGAAAACATTTATCATACCTATATTGGAGTCGAATTTTAAAATTCATGAAGACGTAAATAGATAATTAATTACAAACTGTAATTAGTGAAATTTAAACTCTCAGTTTTATCTATCAAAAATTTATTTATATATATTAATCTGTTATTAACATTTAATAGTAATATTAACTGAGCTAGATGAACGTTTCTTTTTTTATTTTTTTTCCTCAACGAATAAAGAAAACATCGTGTATATGTAGAATATACACGTCGACATTTTTTAGTCTTTTACATCTTAACGTATATGATCTAACCAAATAATTTCTTTTTGGTAAAACACAAAGACAGATAAATGAGAATTCTTTGTTGAAGCAAGCTGCGCAGGTTGTCAATGGTGTTTTTCTTTTCCCCAGGAATTTTCTACACTCCTTGATTTCATAATTAATATTTAATTTACTTTTTCAAAAAAAAAAAAAAAAAAAAAAAACTAGGGCATTTCAGATCGAATTTCAATTGTTCTGCCTGGTTAAAATCACAGCTGTCTACAATTTATGGTTGAAATCTGGAATGAAATCTTACTTTTCGAGAAACAAAATCCTGCATTTAGAACGAAATGCTTTCCATGTCCTGAGCCTTGTTTTCTGTCTCTCTTTTCATAGAACGTTTTGCCCATTTTTGTGCTTTTCTGCATCTTTGCATGCATGCCATACATTTGTCAGTTTTGTTGTACAAAAGATCCTAGAGCACTAACTTTGGACATTATTACTATAACATTCCATTACAGGATCTCTAGAAGCTTATTTTGGATTGTAATTAGTTGGGTGGTTTGTTTAAGACCTAAATAGAATAATCTATTCTTATGTTATAGAGTAATTATTTAAAAGTTTTTATATTTTTAATTAAACTAATTTTATCTTTAAATATAAATTAAGTATTTAATCTATCATTCTAATAAGATTTTCGAACTAAACTTTTAAAATAAGTCACATAATTTGCACATAAAAATATTCTATTTGACCTACTTGTAAAGGTGTTTTAAAAATAAAAAATAATTGTGTATAAATTATGTGAATAATTTCATTGATTTGGCATAAAATTCTTTTAAAAAAGGATAAATTGAAAATTTAAAGTATATTTAAGAATAAAATTGAATTAATTAAAGAAATAAAAATAAATTAAAAAATTAATTTCTTTATATAGAGTAGATGGAGCTATTAACTGTTTTTTTTTTTTTAAAGAAAAAAAAACTCTTACAGGGCTAAGTTTTTTACTGGGAAAATTATTGGAAAAAAAAATCCTGAACCAAACCTAACATCAAATCGTGCCTACACAAATTGATCACTGTAATGATTTGTAATGATCATCAGGTTTTGAATAGATTCACTAAATCTACTTTTATATCCTGATTTTTTCTTCTTCACTACATCCAAGAATTGGGCCCTTTTGTATACAATTTAAGCTAGCCCACGTTATTTATCAGGTTCCTTTTTTAGTGGAAAATCTTTGTTTTCTAGTCAAGAATCAAGATGATGTCTGGTTAGAATATTTTCTTTTCTTTGTTTTTTTTTTTTTTGTTTTTGTCAATTTTAGGATTAATTAAAATTAAGCTGACCACTTCTCGAGCTAATTCAGCAACAGAATACACTTAGTTTTGTTATCGATTATTAAATTATTCTTTAGATCAAATTAGTCCAAATTTAATATCAATAAAAAATAATTATGAGTAATTATTCATAAATAATGAGAATTAAATCTTAATTTTGAGTATACTAAATCAACTCCTTTATTGCTAGACTCTTTGAGAGAGATTAAACACAATTAATTAAGGTTTTTATAATTAATCCAATTGGATCAATTTTAAGAAAAGGCGTTATTAGGTAAAAAAATTAATAAATCTTCAACTTAATATGTACTAATATTATACTTTAATATAACGGACAACAAAAATGAGATTATTATCCAAATTTTAATTATATTAAACGAGACATACAGGAAGCATCCGTACGTTCTAACGTTGTAATTGCAATTATAATAAAGTAATTTGATAGGGACTCGTTTAAAAGTATGGAATATGTTCAGATCTGTCGTAATAAAACAAAGAAGATAAAAAAGAGGAACTTCCAAATGGTCCTCTTCAACTTGACAAAATCCCATGGTTTTGTCTCGAGGACTGTCCCTACCCAGGTAAAAATAAAAAATAAAAAATAAAAAATGACCCTCTTCTTCTTCTTCTTCTTCTTCTTTTCTTTTTTTTTTTTCCCTCCTTAACTTCTTCATCCGCCAGCCAGGAAAGTCTTGGCCTATCCAGGATGCTTTAGACTTGTTGGGTCGCCGCCAAGGAATCTATGAGTCGTTTACACATGGGATGTTGATGACTAAACACATGGAGAAAGACGTAAAAGATAGAAAGTGGTACCAACTTGCTAAGTTGGGCATCATAGCTTTTATTCATTTATAAATAAAAAGATAATTTTTATCAATTTCTACATTGATCGATAGATATTAAAATTATCATTTTTTGAACTATATCAATACTGAATCATACATAATTTTTATCAATTTCTACATTTGATTTTGTTTTTTTCTTGTTTATCAAGAGCTTCATGAGTTTTGGATTACACAAAAAAAAATAGTTTTGTATTATTATACAATTATCAAATAAATTTAAAATTATTAAAACTCAAATCTTATTTCATTAAAAATTATCAGATACACAATCGTAAAACTAAATCTATTTACATGCTTAGGGCATCATTTGAGAAGCACAAAAAACATCATGTTGGATCAAATCTGTAATTTTAAAAGGATTATTGGGTCTTTCAAATTGGGGATGAAGTTTAGTATTATTTTTTTTATCCCATTCTATTATGAATCTTCCTTAATCAATGTTTAACTTTGGTTGATAGAACTTGATGTTAAATTTGACCACTGATAAAAAAAGATGTTCAAAATCTCTCCCAAGCAAAACATGTCATCCAATTTGAAAGTGTAGAGCTTAGGAAGTTCGAATTTGGCATGAAAGATTTTTTTTTTTTTTTGGTTACGTTCTTCGTGAAAGAAATAAGTGTGTTGTTAAGCATCATCGAGAGAGTCTTATTGTAGGAGTTGCTCAATTCGTAACCTAAAAGACGACTCCTACTACCTAAGTCCAAAACAAAGGGAAAATTGGGGGTGGTGGTGGAGGGGGAGGAGGGGTTGGGGTGGGTTGGCGGTGGTGATGGGGGTGGGAACCGGCCTAATTCCTAACGAGTTGCTTTTCTTGCAAATTACAGGAAATCCTTTATGTTGTGCAGTTCTTGCCCCCATCGAAGGATTTTATATTAAGAAAATGTGAAGACTATAATTGCCAATGAAAAAAGTGTGTCAATTTTATTTCGAGTAAAAAATCAAACATTACCTGGATTTTAATTCATTTGAAAATCAATTTTTAACACTTGATTTTGTATTTTGACTTCCTATAAATTTTATTTTTTTAGATCTAATCCATTTTATAATTTTTAGCTATCACATTTTTTTTAAAAAAATTCATTTTGTAGAAATCTTCTAAAAATTTTCAAGATCGAAAAATACATTTTTTTTATTATTAAAAATATAGAAAATCAAGAAAAATAGACATAAACTCGAATGATTCTAAATTTTTTAATGAGTTCTAGATAAATCTCATTAAATAATTTTCATCATAAAACTATTTATGTAATTATTATTTTTTTAGATAAATAATAGAAAACACAAGGATGTGTTAATTTTTTTAAAAAAATATTCAGAGAGGTCAAAACACAAATTCAAAGCTGAGAGATTAATTTTCAAAATAAAATTTAGGAGGGGTTTTACTTTTTTTAACCTTTTATTACAGTCGAAAACTTTGCATGTAGTGTGGCATTAATTTTAGATCTAAAATGAAACTCAACTAAGCATAATTACTAATGCAGATCTTGTGATCTGCTGTACTGTTTTGAACTTAGTTACGTTGGCATTTGTTTTTATGAAGAAACTTCTGGTTTGTGGCTTGATGCTATTAGGGTACTAAGAGAATGGACACTCTACGGCTTTCTATGGCAATTGTCGACGAGGCACGAGGACACAGAAGGCTGATCCTGGCTACTTAATCACGATTAGGCTTACTGTTGTATCCCAAGCCCATGCCAAGCGGTGGCCTTGGCTCAGTGTCAAGGCCGAACTACAGCTCTCAGGTGGTGGCCAAGGTGCCGCATTGGCCTGTTTAAGGGGCAGGTCGGAGTTAGATTCAAAAACTAACGGTTTCCTTTTAATGTGTCGAGTCCATCTACAAGCCCAAAGTTTTTACACTTCAGCTAAAAGCCCCTTCAGGAATACACAATTTAGAACCTGTGTTTTCCACTCGAATTTGATGAGTCCATTTGTTTTGAACTATCCTAAGTGGAAGCACAATTTTCCTCCTGGTAATACCACAAACCGGGGCATATGTTTCTGCCCAAGATTGAGTTACTTTTCTTCAATTTTTTCCTTTCAGGAAAAAAAAAAAAGAAGGATTTTTGAATTGTTCATATGAGGTCTGAGCTCTGACGTTGGAGCATATTTGGTATACAGTTGGACAAACCTTGCTGCTTGCCCACATAGGCAATGTCTTGCCTGAGCATGTTTGATTTACTATATACCTAATATATATGTTGATTCAATCCTCCATTTTTTTTTCTTGGTGAGGTTCGGGAATATCCCCATTCATAGGTCCGAGATCCATATCTATGAGTTGAAAGGTCCGAATGATCAACTCTGCAATCAGCTGTTAGAACCAATAGGTGTTTTGCCTTTAGAGTAAAACATAGAACAAAACAGTATGAGCAGCTTGTGTCATTGGTGGAGGGAGAGAAGGCATTTTCCCGTCCACTCTCAAAAGTCTTCAAATGAGTTGGTGTGATTCTATGGAGTCGCTGCCTGATGGGATGATGACAGTGATGAGTAGAAACCATCGGAATCAGTGCGTTCTAGAACAGTTGGAGATACAAGGCTGTCCTTCGCTCAAATCATTTCCTAGAGGGAAGTTGCCTACCACGCTCAAGGAATTGAGGATTGATGGATGTGAAGAATTAGAGTCTGAATATTGGTTTCTGGAAGGAATTATGCAGTTTGTGTATTTGAAGTTCTCTATCACATCCCTTCCAACTGGCAAGTTTCCTACTTCTCTAAAAACATTTGAATTTTTCTGTTGCAGAAGAATTCAATCACTGCTTTCCCTACTTAACCTCTCCCATCTTACTCAATTGATAATACAAGGTTGTGATGAGTTGGAGTCGTTCCCAGATCAGGAATTGCCCCTCCCTAATCTGACCTCTACAGATACATTTCATTGTAAGAAAATGAGGTCTCTACCCAATCACATGGACAGCCTTCAACAATTATGGATCAGCAATTGCTGCGGTCTGGTGTCCTTTCCGGAGACTGGTTTGCCTCTTAAGCTAACTTCACTGACCATGAGGGGTTGCATGAATCTGAGACAGCCAATATCAGAGTGGAGACTCACATCTCTTGAACGACTCCAAATGGGGTTCACAAGTCCTTACTACAACGGATGTGTATTGCTTTCCTGATGATGGTGGTGTTCTGCTTCCCACTTCGCTAGCTTCTCTTAGTTTCTCTAATCAAAAGAAACTCAAATCCATATCCAGTGGCATCCAACATCTCACCTCTCTTGAAGAATTAGAGATTTCTAATTGTCCTGAACTCTATGTCTTGCCAAAGAAGGGCTTTCCTGCCACACTTGGATGTCTACTCATCAATTCCTGTCCTCTTCTAGAAGAAAGGTGCTTAAATAAGGGAGGGCATTATTGGCCCATCATTGGACACATCCCTTGGGTTGAGATTTATTAAGAGATATCTGACAAAGAGACATCCCATGAAGAGATATTTGATGAAGAGACATCCTATGAAGAGATATCTGGTGAAGAGGCATCCGATGAAGAGATATCTGATGACGACACATGTAATGAAGAGGCAATGCACACATTAACCATTATCATAATAAACCATGCTCTACAGATTCGCAGATTTTATTTCTCTAAATCCCACTGAGCTTCTTTTCGTTAGTGGATCTTGTTCTCTGATTTTATTTCTCTAATATATGATGTTCAGGAGAAACTTTGGTATGTTTCTTTTCGTTAGTGGATCTTGTTCTCTGATTTTATTTCTCTAATATATGATGTTCAGGTATGTTCCATGTTTGCATGCACTGTTTTGTTTTATAATTTGCAAGAGAGAATCTTGCTCTAATGGACCAGAATTGAAAACTCTGTTCCAGAAATTAAACATTCGATAATTGCTAGCTGTTCTCCCTATCAGGAAGACTCTTGCGTTTTCTGTCAGATCATGAGAGGCTAGGAGGATTTAATGTTGTCAAAGTCATAGGAAAAAATTGGGTCTAAAGTGAAGATTTAGAGCAGCAATTTCTTTTCAGGACTCGGTGGTCTAAAGCCAAAAAGGGTGCAAGCCATCTGAAGTAGCAAAACCCAGAGAAATTTAGACCTTTGAGCTTTTTGTTCAACAGTATTTTTGTTGATGACAATTCATTAATGACTTCTGATACAATTATTTTTATTTACAACTTGTCTACCACTTGATGGTGCTGATTAATTTTATTTACAACTTGTCTACCATTTGATGGTTCTGATTAACACTTGAAACTCAGGAGGGTCAATGACTGCTGATTTAATATAATTTTATTTTCTTCTTCTTTCACCACTTTACAATCTAATAGCATTCCTTCGATCTCTTCTTCTTTCTCCTCTCTGCAATTTCTCATCTTCAAACCCTAAATATTTCTCAGAGTTGACTTCTCTTTATTCCTCCTCTTTCATTTTCTTTTCTTTGTTTCCGTACTTCTTAATCTCTGAGCGATCTTTCTCTTCCTTCAAAGTCCTTGCCTAGCAAAAAAAAACCATAGGATCCCTCGTTGTTACTTCTCTCTAGAGTCTTCTTGTGCTGTCAGCTACGGAAGCTAACACCAGTTTCTGTAAGATATCAGTCAGTAATTTTCATTTTCAAAGTTAAGTTCAACAGCTTTGGCCATCTTTAATTAAGGGTTCCAAGCTCTCTGCAGATTCAAACAGTTAGAGGTAATGCTAAAAACTAATAAGTCCATATGTATTGTCTTAATTAGTTTCTTTTCATTTTTTTTCATGTTGTTCTGCTAAGATGATTTCTTGATCACAGACTTGAAACTACGGCTATGCTAAGGCTAAGCTTTGATTCCTTCATTATTTTTCTTGTTTGGTAAAAAATTTGGCAACTTTTTAAGTTCCTTTAAGCTCTGTAGTTACAAAGAGGGGGGAAAAAAAAAATAGAAAACAGGTTTCTTTTAAGCTCTGTATCTCTTAGCCATGTACCTGGTGGTTTGAAAAGTATTCTTGAATAGCTTACTTTTCCACCCTTCATATTCTGCTAACCATTATTATGAGTTGCAAGCTCTCTTCTCTTTGGAGATATAAAGAGGTAATGCACCAAACTAATAAATTCCATGTTCATTGTCTTAATTTCTCAGGCTAAACATTTCAGTCAGTGTCTTTTTATTCATTGAGCTGTTAGAGCTTAAAGATGATTATATAGTTTGCAAGCAATCAAATTTTTGCTCTTCGTATATACAATTACTGAAAAAAATAAATTTAATGCCATAAACTAATGTTTTCGATTATTGCTCTGCATTTTCCAGCTTGCTTTCAGGTTTCACAAAGTTTAACCATCTTAGTTAGGGTTCCACCAAGTTTCTGCAGTTTCAAACAGGTAATGATATCTCTAAGCTAATAATTCCATGCATGTTCACTCTCTTATTTAAGTTTCTTTTAGTATAATCACTAAACAAAAGAATCAGTTCAAACCTCTTGTTTTACATTTAGCCTTTTCTATTCCAATTATTTCAACTTTAATTTTTATTCAATATTTTAACAAATCTGGTTTGTGTCTTTAGGGCCACTGAAGAACAAAGAAAAATGGTTCTAGCTGATCAGCAATTTCGGTCTCATGTTGAGGAGATGAGTGATGGTCGTTTGAAGTGTAATTTTTGTCAGCATATATTTGCTGCACGTACTTCGATTTCGAGGATCAAATGGCATTTTTCAGGAGTTAAAGGGCGTGGTGTTGCAATTTGCCAACAAGTCCCCAGAGATCTTCAAGAAGCAGCTTTTCTAGCGACTGATGGTGCAAACAAAAGACTTAAGACCATGCCCAGTTCAAGCAATAATGAGGTGGGCTATGCCACATCAACTTCTCCACAAGAACAGAACAACGAAAATGCAAATCTGACAAGGGATGCAGAAAGGATACTAATGGAAGAGAGAAATTTATTAAGTGTTGAAGCAGGCGTTCAGATAGAAAACAGGACCAAAGAAACACCGCAGCCCAGTCAGAGAATCACTCCTGAGAGGCCTCCAGTTGTGGAACATGAGACTAGAGGAGCAGCTGTGCAGACAACAGATCTACTGGATTTAGCAACACCAAATAGTTGGGCTTAGGTGTTAGCTTTATCGCTGAAGGATCCTGTCTTGATCAATGAGGCAAATACTTCAATTTCAACTTCTTTGCAAGCACAAAAGGATGAAGAAGCAGAAGCTGATCCCTTGGCTGCTCTTCAGCTTCTGGTTGGAAAACTTATCTCGGAGTGGCAATCAAGATTGCTGCAAGTTCGCGCAATGCTCAATGATGCAGAACAGAAGCAGCTGACAAATCAGGCTATGAAAATCTGGCTCGACAAGCTCAGAGACTTGGCTTATGACGTGGAGGACGTACTGGACGAATTTGAAACGGAAGCCTTGACAAGCAAGTTAAAAGGTGCAGAATCTCAAGCCAGCACAAGTACAGTGCAACCAAGTGCTGGTATGCCTAATGGGCCCAAGCTACAGGAGATTGCTGCCAGATGGGAAGATATCATGAAGGAGAAAAATGATCTTGGCTTGGACATAAATGTTTTAGCGAGGTCCAACAAAGCGAACTGGAGAGCTCAGACAACATCACTGGTCAAGGAACCTAAGGTGTATGGGAGGGAAAGCACCAAAGAGGATTTAGTTCAATTATTGATGAAAGACGAGCCAAGCAACTCTCCGTATTCTGTGATTCCAATTGTTGGGATGGGCGGGATTGGGAAAACAACTCTCGCTCAATTCGTCTACAATGATACGAGGGTGAAGTTTGACTACAAAGCATGGGTTTGTGTGTCTGATGATTTTGACATTACCAGACTAACGAAATCAATTCTCCGGGGAAGATGGGAAACTCATGATTTAAATGAGCTCCAAGAGCAATTGAAGGAGAAGTTGCATGGCAAAAAGTTTTTCATTGTTCTAGATGATGTCTGGGATCATAACTACGAGGATTGGACTACACTTTGTGCTCCTTTTGCCACAGGAGCACCAGGAAGTAAAATCATTATCACAACTCGTGGAGAAGATGTTGCTTTAAGGATACGTTCTGTTGATCCTTATATGTTGAAAGAACTTTCATATGATGAATGTCTATGCCTCTTTGCCCAACATTCTCTGGATGCAGAAAATTTTGACGCAAATCCACATCTGAAAGAAGCAGGGCAAAAGATAGTAAGAAGGTGTAAGGGATTGCCTCTGGCAGCAAAGACCCTTGGAGGACTTCTACGCCATAAACAAAACCTTGAAGATTGGGAAGATATATTGAACAGTGACATACGGAAGTTATCTGAAGGAGAAAATGCCATTCTCTCAGCTCTAAGATTGAGCTATCTTCACCTTCCTTCCCATCTGAAGAGATGCTTTGCTTATTGTGCAATTTTTCCAAAAGACTACGAATTCGACGAGGAGGCGTTGGTTTTGCTCTGGATGGCAGAGGGCTTTCTGCAGAAAACAGAGCAAAGGAAGCAGGGTAAAGACTTGGGCCACAAATATTTTAAGGATTTATTATCAAGATCATTTTTCCAAGAGGGCGGGGACAGGAAATCACGGTATGTAATGCATGACCTCATAAGTGATCTTGCTCAATCTGTTAGTGGAGAAATATGCTTTTGTCTGGATGATAAGAAGTCAAGTGGAGCAACATCATATGCAAAGGTTCGCCATTTGTCGTTCGCTTCTCACTGGCATGACACCTCACAAAGGTTTAAGGCCGTCAATGAAATGGAGAGTTTGCGGTCATTCCTGAAAATTCCAAATTCACCACGTGCGTGGTCCAGCTTATCAAATAAGGCGTTTGATGACTTGGTACCGAAGTTAAAATGCTTAAGGGCACTATCACTAGCTTCTTACATTTTCAAAGAGTTGCCGAGATCTATTGGTGTCCTAAAGCATTTGCGCTGTCTTAACTTGTCTTACACTTCAATTGAAAAGTTACCTGAATCATTGGGTGAACTGCTGAACTTGCAGACATTGCTATTGTGTGGCTGTAGATTTCTTGTGGAGTTGCCAGCATGGATCGGCAATCTAATCAATTTGCTGCACCTTGATATAAATGATACACCTTGTTTGAAAAAGATGTCATTAGAGATATGTCAGTTAAAAAATCTCTGCTTCATGCCTAAGTTTGTTATTGGAGATGGCATTGGACTTGGGATAGGAGGGTTGACGAGGCTTCCAAATCTCCAAGGGCAACTTCATATTGAGGGCTTGCATAACGTTACAAATATTCAAGATGCAAAGATGGCGAATCTAAAGGAGAGGCATGGCTTAGGTGAATTAGCATTGGGATGGTGTTCAAAGTTCCATGATGCACGAAATGAAAGCCATGAGAAACAAGTCCTCAGCTCACTAGAACCACATAGAAGTCTAGCAATGCTTTCAATTATCTCATATGGTGGTACAGAATTTCCATCCTGGGTTGGGGATCCCTCTTTCTCTAAATTGATGAAGCTAAAGTTAAGTCGTTGTCGTAAAAGCACATCATTGCCATCACTTGAAAAACTTCCTGCTCTTAATCATTTGATCATAGAAGGGATGGATAAGTTGAGAGGAATTGTTGTTGTGAACTTTCCATCTTTGGAGACTCTGTACATAGGGGATATGTTGGAGTGGGAGCAATGGTACGGGTCTGATGGTCTCAATGAAGAACCAGCTGGTGGAAAATTTCCTAAGCTGGTTGAGCTTACACTGCAAAACTGTCCTAAGTTAATTGGGAAATTGCCCAGGTGCCTTCCATCCCTCAAAAAGCTTCACATTTCCCGTTGTCCACAATTAACAAATTTACCTGAAATGCTTCCATCTCTTCACGAGGTGACTTTCAGAATGGTGCCTAATTTCACCTCCCTCACGACCTTGGAAATTAGTGGAATTTCAGGCCTTGTGGTTTTACCTGAAGCATTTTTAGAGGCCTTAGTAGCTCTTGAGGATCTGAAAATTGAAGAATGCCGTGAGCTGAAGTACTTGTGGCAAGATGGAGTTGATGTCGACAAACTTGCTAATCTAAAAAGTTTGAGTATCTTCTTGTGTAAGCAGCTTGTGTCATTGGTGGAGGGAGAGAGAGGCATTTTGCCGTCCTCTCTCAAAAGGCTTGAAATGAGATGGTGTGATTCTATGGACTCGCTGCCTCATGGGATGATGGCAGTGATGAGTAGCAACACCAACAATAGCAATCAGTGCCTTCTAGAAGAGTTGGTGATAGAAAACTGTCCATCTCTCAAATCACTTCCTACGGGGAAGTTGCCTACCACGCTCAAGAAATTGATTTTTAATGGATGTCGAGAATTAGAGTCTGAGTATAGGTTTCTAGAAGGAATTATACAGTGTGATGCCCATCTTGAGTATTTGCGGGTATCCAAATTCTCCATTACATCCTTTCCAACTGGCAAGTTTCCTACTTCTCTTAAAACAATTGAATTTTCCCGCTGCAGAAGAATACAATCACTGCCTTCCCTGCATAACCTCTCCCATCGCTCTCGATTGAAAATAGAATTCTGTAATGAGTTGGAGTCATTCTCAGATCAGGAATTGCCCAGTCTTACCTCTTTAGAAATATTTGATTGTCTGAAATTGAGATCTCTACCCAATCACATGGACAGCCTTCGACAATTAATGATCAAAAATTGCTACGGTCTGGTGTCCTTTCCGGAAACGGGTTTGCCTCCTAAGCTAAATTTATTGAGAGTGGAGAATCTGAGACAACCAATATCAGAGTGGAGACTCCATACACTCACATCTCTTAAACGTCTCGAAATCTCCGATACAACAGATGAGGATTGCTTTCCAGATGATGATGGTCTACTGCTTCCCACTTCGCTAACTTCTCTCCATATTCATAATCAAAAGAAACTCAAATCCATATCCAGTGGCATCCAACACCTCACCTCTCTTGAAGCATTAACGTTTTGGGATTGTCCTGAACTCCAAGTCTTGCCAAAGGAGGGCTTCCCTGCCACACTTAGAAATCTACAAATCTTGAATTGTCCTCTTCTGGGAGAAAGGTGCTTAAAAGAGGAAGGGGATTATTGGCCCATCATTGCGCACATCCGTCAAGTTGTAGTCTACCCAAAAAGCCAAAAGCGAATAAGGTAATTCTTCCTTCGTTTGTTTGACATAAAAAATCGTTTCTTTTCTTTACTGCATCACCGTACTTCATTTTCTAATCTTTTCCCCTTTTTTTGCCCCCCTGCACAATGATAAAAATATAAAAAAAACTGCATTAATTGCTACATCTTTTTTACAATATTCAATTGTTTTTAGGCAAATTCATATGCTATAGAACATTTATTTTATTTTTTTTAAAAAAAACCTCTTACTTACTATTTTGTAATTCCCCATTCATTAATTATATTCATAATTAATCTTTTAACAGCAAAATTGTTTCTTGCTAAATTTAAATTTTTAAAATTTTGAATGGTATTTATACTATCTTGACCACTTATGAGTGAATATTTTCAATAAAATCTTAGCAAAATTCATATTTCCACTTTTGAATTCAATTAAAAAATTTGTAAAATAAAAATAAATAAATTATAATAGACTCTTTTGAGATATTATAAAATTGAAATTACCTTTCGAAAGTGATTTAACACCGTTAGCTTAAAAAAAAAAAAAAAAAACTTCAACTCTTTCATGGTTATCAATCTTAGTCTGGCCTCTAGTCCCTCTTTATCTTCATTTACTTAATTACTTATGTTTCACTCCTTTGATTATGATTTAACTAAAATCACAACTCTATTTAGCTTGTGCCAAAACTGGTTATGCACAGGTTGAAATATACTTTCAGGTTATAATCCTTTCTGACTACTACCTCAAGCATTCTAGAGAGAATAACTTTTATTATTCATTGACCAATTCTGCCAGTTAACCATCCGATCAACTGAACAATAACAGGGATGATGGACTTCGATGTGGCTTAAGCTAGGGAGGCATGCTAGCTAAATAAGACTTGAAGGACGGATAGACTTACCCCAGAAATGTTTTGATGGCTTGAGTTTGAGCACTTGCTTCAGGAGGAGGCCTGCTTGGAACTCGCTTATTATATTGGAACAGTTAAGTTCTTCCACCAACAGAGTCTCTGCTTTGCTAAAATATCTCGCTTGAATCCTTAAGTTTCATTGCTTAGAAACAATTGAAAGGGTTGTAATCTTTCAGATGCCTTTCTGAGAAATTCTATGTCACCTCTTGCAGCAGCTCATTTATCTACCTTGTTCCTTTTAATCATGAATGCCTATGTCTAGTGTTCCTTAGTGTCTTCTCACTTCTTGCAGCAGGTGGCATTTCATAGTACAACTTGAGGTTTTGCTCTCTGCTCCTTCCCCATGTTCCATATGAGCATATAAGTTTTCTTGTTTTCAGATGTAAGCATAATTTGCTGAGTTTCAAGCTGATGCATCCTTTCCAGTAGTGAATGCAGTCTTGCTCTTTAAGTTTTTCTGCCTCTTGAAATGAACATATGAATGGACGAAACCCTAAATCAATTGATTGTTCTTGGATGCATTTTGCAATTGGCCTCTGAAACTGCATTTCTACTACAGACTTTCAAACTTAAGGACTTTGTGACAGGAGCAAATAAAACTTCATTCAAACAAAGTTTCCTTTGAGTGTATATCTACTTGTGTTACATACTCAAAACCTTAGCAGTGATTCAAGAATTTGAGATCAAGTGTCAGATAGAATGACAATAACCTTAACTTGTAATAAACTTATTGTGAACTTTAATGCTGTCAGTTGTCCAGGTCTCATGTCCTCTTGGATTTTAAGAATCTCAAATCCAAGCCAAATTGGGAACTGTGTAGACTTGATTCAGTTCCATACTCCATTCCAAGCCAAAGTCAGAAGGATATATTCTACTTATATTAAGTTATGCTGACAGAAAATGTTGAAACTGGAACATAGTGCTACTATGTCTAATTTCACACGGACAAACAGGTAGCCTTGTCTACAGATTCTGAACTTTCGTACATTAACTATGCTCTGCAGATTCTGATTTTATTTCTATAATATCCTGTTGAGCTTTGCCACTATAGATCTAACCTAATGATTAGAATCAATTCTCTCTGCAGTTAGGAAGGAGGACTAGCAATATTTTAGCCAGAATCCAGACACGTACACCCATGGATATAACCTCACGAAGGTATGTTGTGTTCGCTAAAGTTTTAACTTAAGCATCCATTTTTTTCCATAGAATATTCGCCCTAGTTTAAACCAGTACCTGATTTTCAGAAACTGCTGTGTTTCATGGTCGTAGGCACTGTGTTTCAATAATTTCTAAGGAATAGAAGCTTGGTCTGAACTCTCTTCTATACGAGCATGAAGTTATAATAATATTTCTATGGAGTATTTGGCTAGCAAAGCACGTATGAACAATTCTTGCTGTTTTGCGTCTTGGTAGGAGTGTTGCTTCCTGTTTCAGATCATGAAAGGCTAAGAGAAGAAGCTTTAGGTTGTCAAATTTCTATGAACAAGAAAGCTTAGGAGTTAGGAGAGGCAAAATACTGGCCAGTTCTGTTGTTGGCTTGTGTGTTGCTGTTCACTAGCTGGTTTTTGGCTTACCAGCATTTCTCTCCTCTTTTACATAGAAGCATGCAAGTCTTTAAATTTATTTTGAAGACACTTCACTTGGAACCAAATTTTTGAGACTCTTCCTGTAACGTGCAGTCTGGGACCTTCAATCTTTCTGTTTTTAAAAAATGCACGAGTTCAATAGATTTGAAGTTACAAGTCCAACAGAGTAGGAGTCATACTGATGTAATGAAAGCATCCCTGTAGCATATAGAGCAAGCCAGAAAATCAAGAAATGGCTCACTTATGAAGTAGCTTCTTGAGCTGTGTTCCGACAGCAAAATTGAGAATACAAAGATTGAATACTGAAATGTACAATATCCAGTCCAGCTGATAAACCTACGATTAGAAACAAAGGTTACACATCACATCGCACTCCCTAATCTACGTTTTAGAAAAACCATAGGAAAGAATATAACAAAGCAGCAGAAATAAAGAAGAAGAACTACTGATAGTTGTGGTGCACCGTGAGCAAATAATTGAATCGTCTTATATTATTCTTTGAAAACACCTGTCCTCCTCGCACCGGCTTGAGACTGGCTGTGAGCTGCGTGTATACATGCATACAACCACACACACGGAGAAACATGCATGCCAAAACCAACTCTTGGAAGCAGTCACTGGCCCAAGCACATCATAGAAGCTAGCACAGAATCCAGCATATACAAAACCCTTGGAAGATGAATGCCCTTAAATGGAATTTTGCTGCATAATTTTCAAAACTCTAGCTCTATTAAGAACAGCAATTGCAGATTATTGGTTAAAATACCACAATCTGAAACCAGAAAACAAAGCACATTCGTACAAAACACCGGCCATGGACGGAGAATTTCAACCATAACAACTTCGTTTTTGACATGTACACAAGTCAGGAGATAACCAGCACTTCCTAAGGAGCAAATAACCATCAGAAGGCTAGAGATACAAGGGAATACCATATTTACCTAACCAACTAGCCGATTTGATTCCATATAACCAAAAGCAATCTTAACCCATGACACTAGAAATCAATTAATATCAGAAACTAGGCCGCCAGAGATATAGCAACATAGACCATATAATCAATCACTTCTAATAACAGAAGTTCTGCCAAAAAAATGAAGAACCCACAAACCAAAGTAAAGCACACCCTGCATTAGAATTTGTAAAATAGCATGCATACTCCAAAGGCAACCCTTGTTAGTCTGAGTCCATGAATTCATTTTGAACAGAGAAAACTGTAAATGTCAATTAAAATGCAAATAAAATTAACTAAGGCAGTAAGAAACAGAATTAAAGAGGAACTTAGTTCACTGCAAGTTTTGAGAGTATCATGTATGGCGAAAACTCTTATTATTCCCATAAGCTCTGTTTCTGTCAAGCATTCAGTTCCTAGACAACAACAACTTTTCTTGACACATTCAATTGAAACGCGCATAAAATATGAAGCAGGATTTGAAGAAGAGCAATAATTGTCAAGAACAGTGAACTTCTGTCGTGCAAGGACGTATAGTAATACCTAGGACGTTGGAAGAGGCCCTGGGAGAATATAAATTAACTTAGACCATAGCTATATTGCACCAATATAATTATCCAACAATGTGAGATGAAAGAAAGAATTAAGAATTAATGAACTCGGTCAACTCATGCAACGAAGAATAATCTCATTGTTCAACTCCATGGTCCCAGAAAAAAAAAACACAAACTGAAACCTAGGCTAAACAATTGAACATAAGGTAACATCAAACAAGGCAACAAGCAGGAAAAAAGGGTAATGTATGGTTTAATCCTTAGTCCACACACATCCCTCTAGAAAGAAGGATTGTGGAAAACACACAAACAAAATACCAGACACATGGTGCATTCCTTTTTGAAAACATCTGCAAAAGGTCAATCAAACTGGACATAAGAATTGTTACAAGAATGAGATCTAAAAGAAAAGGGAAAAAAATAGCCCCTATAGGTAAGCTTAGATTTGAGCCTGGTAGAAGCAATAACAAAAACCAATACCTTAAGCCCTAGCAAACACCCAAGTTACTAGTCCTTTACTTTAAACCCATTCCCTCAAATGCTTGATGGGGTCCTAAAACAACACACAATCAAACTTAATCTTACCCTTAGCCTAGACACTCGAATTTAATGCAAATAATAATAACAACAAGCAGAGGAAGGGAAAGAGTAAATCTCCCATGTTAATCATTCAATGTCCAAATGAACTCCTGTAAAATTGAAGTTATCCGGTAAAAGAATCCTGGCAAAGATCAGATAGTGGTTATCTTTCTTTATAATTTGAAAATGTCATTGCAACGGAAAAAGACAAAAACAAAAAACAGAAAACAAAATCAAAACACACTTGGCGAAAATAGTGTTTTATTCTCATACGCGAGTCGATCTTATGAATAATTTTTACAATGGATTCTACTAACGTATGATTATTGGGCTAAGATGATAGCACATCAAATACTTTTGATTTTAATATCTGATATGTGGGCCAATGGTCAACCCAATATTAAATTTATTTTTTAAGGGGGAGGGCCCATCATAGTAGCTTGCTGCTGGGGTCCTCATACGTCGCCTTTGCGTTGCACTACTGCAGTAGCCTGGCGCATCCCTCCAATCTAGTTCAAGATTTCTAATTCATTTTTTTAAAAAAATTATTAATTTAAAGATATATTTGAGGAAAAATTTCTTATAAATTTTAGGCTTGAATTATATATTTTATTTTTGTTTTTTTCTATACATTTTTAAAACTAACGAGGCTGAAATTCTATATTTTATTTTTTATTTAAGTATTTTTAAAACTAACAATGAGTGAGTTTCTATTTTTTTCTCTCTCAAAATTTGGCCGTTGGGCACAAATGGAGTAATTCTGATAATTGGACAATTTTTCACCTGAATTACTCAATATTTACCCTTAATTAACAACATAACTTAATGGGTGTCTTATGTGACATAGTTGTGTACTATCACCTCATCATATTATATCATTAAATCAATATTATTGAAGAAAAATTATTTAATTAAAATACACTTTTTTTTCCTTGGAACAAGAAATTATGGAGTAAATTATAAATTAATACCTTTATTTTTATCAAACAAATGAATTAATCCATTTTTTTAAACACTAATTATTTAGTCTTTGATATTTTTAAATTTATTGTTAATCCTTTTGGTTCTTTTAATTTTTTTTTTAATGAAAAAAATTGAAGAATTGATGAGAAAAATGAAATTTTATGAAATAAAATAATATTAAATTAAACATGGTGAACAATAGCTAATGAACCAAATAATTAATGTTTTAAAAAAAATCAAATAATTTTTTCTTAAAAATAGAGGGACTAATTTATATTTTACAAGAAATTATGCTATGTCCAATTCTCAATGCTCGATGAGTTGATGGTCTCTGGATCCAAGAGGATACCAAAAGCTAAAATGCTAGTTGGACTATAGACAGACCACAATTGTCTGAGGTTTACGGCAGCCCAATAGTCTATTGGGCTAAATAATAAAGTCTTGTTTACGTCATAGTAACCAACTAGTTTTATTGTTATTGGGTAAAGGTCCAACATATCCTTGTATTATTTTATTTATTTTAATCAAATTCTTCTATTAATTTTTTCAATAAGCATATTCCTCTATTCTTAATTTATGTATTAATTTTATTCTTCTGTCTAAATTTTCTGACGACTATATCAATTTTCGGCTACAGATACATAAGATGCTGATATGTGGCTTTTTTTTTAAAAAAAAAAAATTATCAAAAAATTTAAAAAATTCAAAAAAATCTAAAAATATAAAAAAATTCCAAAATTCTCTTCTTTTTCTCAACCTTTATGTATAGAAATAAATAATTATTTTCAACCCTCAAATTTTTTTTTTTACTTTCTTTCAAATTCAAACCAAAAAGGAAATTTTTTTATATATAAGAAGGAACAAGAGCAAAATTTTTTTATTTATTTCAAAAATTTATTTTGAAAATTTCTTTCATATCCAAACCCGAAAAAAAAAAAAATGTTAACTTTCTAATAGGAATGAAATAAATTTTCAAAAAAAAAAAAAAGAGGTTTGGATTTGAAATAAATTTTTATAATAAATTTCTGAAATAAATTTTTTTTTTTAATATGTTCCTTCCTATGCATTTTGAGATTAATTTTGGGTTTGAATTTAAGTGAAAGCCAAAAAAAAAAAAAAAAAGATTACGGGATAAAATTACTTATTTGTTTTTATACATAAAGGTTGAGAAAAAAAAAAGGGCATTTTGAGATTTTTATTCTTTTTTCCAGATATTTTTGGGATTTTTTTTGAAAAAAAATGTTGTGCATCTGTGGAAAAAAATTGATGCAGTTATTAGAAAATTTAGGTAGAGGGACAAAATTAAAACCTTAATTAAGAGTAAAGAAATGGGATTAGTGAAAAAAATTAATAAAATGACCAGATTATTAATCTTTAACATTTTTATTACCTGAAGGCCATCCAAGTAGACTAACAATGTTTTAAATCATCCTTGCATGGTTTGTTCTGAAAAAAAGAGAAATTTTTCTGTTTTAGTAGTATTGATTTCATGGGCTGTTCCCACGAATTTGCTCTCTTTCTTTCTTTGTGGTTGTGCAGAACTATGAAGCAATTGTGAAATGTAAGAACTTCACTTCAGATCAATGTTCTGTACACCCCCCACTAACGACGGTGGGTCATCATTCCTCTGTTCTGTGTTGGAAAGCAAGTGTGAAAGCAAGTAAAAGTTGCCGATTCCTTCCCTTTTTTCCTCTTTTTTCTCTGTCTTCGAAACGAATCCTCTTGCTAAGTCAAATCACTACGCAGTACAGTAATCTCTTTCCTTGTTTTTTCACTTTCTGCAATCCTCTGAGCTTTCTTCTACTCTCTACGAAGTTTTTTTTATTTTATCTTCTCTTTTTCCTTCTTGTTTTTCATTACTT